AATCCAAAACCCAAGCCCGAGCCTCAGCCTACGTACGCGTCCCTCGAATTGATTGGGGGGGGCCTTGAAAAATGGATTGTATTGGGATGAGGGGGGAAACACTTCTAATTAGAACGATTTCCAAACCAAAACATGGTCGATGATCCAGAGATTCCGATTTCCCGTTCCGGCACCCACACAAGGCCCCAAAATATCTTCGAACACCAGAGCCAGGTGATCGACCACCAGGCGCGGGGCACGTCCACGACCAACGCCCCGCAGACCATGCGAGTTTGGCCCCGGCGGCAAGGTGGCCAAGGGCACCTTCGTGCGGGTGACCGAAGCTGACGCGGAGCGCGTCACGCTTGCCGAGCTGCTGCGGCACACGCCGCTGCGGCACACGCCGCTGCGGCACACGCCGCTGTGCCACACCATCACCTACGCCAGCTGCCAGGGCTGCACTCCGAGCCCGGGTGTGGTTGCTGGACGCGGGCGCGCAGCACTTTAACCTGCGATGGGTTTGAGCAATGGTGGGGCTGGCCGACACATGGCCAGCTTGATTGTCAAAGATGTGAAGAAGTACGAATCATTGCCACCAGTTTGCGCTCGATTGTCAAAGATGTGAAGAAGTACGATTTGTTGCCGCCAGTTTGTGTTCCGTTTTAAAAAGATTGATAGAAGCACGATTTGTTGCCACCAGTTTGTGCTTGGTTGTCAAAAATGAGAAGAGGTACGATTTGTGCCACCAGTTTATGCTCGGTTGTCAAAGAAGTGAAGAAGTACGATTTGCCACCAGTATGTGTTCGGTTTTAAAAAATGGAAAGAAGTACGACGTGTTGCCACCAGATTGTGCTTGATTTGTCAAAGATGGGAAGAAGTACGATTTGTGCCACCAGTTTGCGCTCGATTGTGAAAGATGTGAAGAAGTACGATTTGTTGCCACCAGTTTGTGTTCGGTTTTGTAAAAGATGGAATGAAGTACGATTTGTTGCCACCAGTTTGTGTTTGATTGTCAAAGATGTGAAGAAGTACGATTCATTGCCACCAATTTGCGCTCGACTGTCAAAGATGTGAAGAAGTACGATTTGTTGCCACCAGTTTGTGTTCCGTTTTAAAAAGATTGAAAGAAGAACGATTTGTTGCCACCGGTTTGTGCTTGATTGTCAAAGATGTGAAGAAGTACGAAGTACGATTTGTTGCCACCAGTTTGTGCCTGATTCTCAGAGATGGGAAGAAATACGATTTGTGCCACAAGTTTGTGCTTGATTGTCAAAGATGCGAAGAGATGCAACCCAGTTGCGCTTGATTGTCAAAGTTGGGAAGAAGTACTATTTGTTGCCACCAATTTGTGCTTGATACCCTAAACCCTGACCCGAAACCCTAAAGCCGTTGATGTACTGGTTGTTTCATCACACACACACACATCACACACACACATCACACACACACACACACATCACACACAGACATCACACACACATCACACACACACACATCACACACACATCACACACACACATCACACACACACACACATCACACACACATCACACACACACATCACACACACACACATCACACACACATGACACACACATCACACACACACATCACACACACATCACACACATCGCACACACACACACACATCGCACACACACACACACACACACAACACATCGCACACACACACACACACACACACACACACACATCGCACACACACACACACACATCGCACACACACACACCGCACACACACACACACACACATCACACACATCACACACATCGCACACATCGCACACATCGCACACATCGCACACATCGCACACATCGCACACATCGCACACATCGCACACATCGCACACATCGCACATATCGCACACATCGCACACATCGCACACATCACACACATCACACACATCGCACACATCGCACACATCGCACACACCGCACACATCGCACACATCGCACACATCGCACACATCGCACACATCGCACACATCGCACACATCGCACACATCGCACACATCGCACACATCGCACACATCACACACATCGCACACATCGCACACATCGCACACATCGCACACATTGCACACATCGCACACATCGCACACATCGCACACGTTGCACACATCGCACACATCGCACACATCGCGCACATCGCGCACATCGCACACATCGCACACATCGCACACATCGCACACATCGCACCCATCGCACACATCGCACACATGCACACATCGCACACATCGCACATCGCACATCACATCGCACACACATATCAGCTTGGATTCGGTAAGTTCTGAGTGACATTCTGCCTGTAAACAGAAAGCGAGCTTTGAATTCATGGTGGCAGAGCTCGACTTTAGAGCTGGGGTGGGAGTGTACAAATGGCAGATTGTTTTGCGCATCGATTTGATCTTTCTTTTTCGTTGGAGACTTGAACCTCCAATCTTCATTGGCGTGAAGCATTACACCGTACTGTCTTGCTTGAGCATGTGTCAGCATGATTGTTGTTGTATCTTAATTGCAGCAAGAAGGCAATGGGTAACCAAGCGAGCCAGGGTGGCCCGCTAACTCTTTTGGTGGTTCGCCTTTCCACAAGAAAGTTTTCTTGTATTTGTTTTCTTTGTTACCGATGCAGCTTTTGTCAAGATCATTGCAGAACGCTTGCCTCAAGAAAGCTCGACAACATGTCTTCGCAAACTACAGCGACATGTCAAAAAGCTCGCGCTGTGCAACTGCACCTGAAAGTGGCACAATCTTTGCACACGAGTCTTGGCGGTGCGATCCTCTGCTTAGATTGATGGATTTGTGTTGGCTTGTTTGCTTGGATTGTCTTGATTGCAGTTAGGGCGGTTTTACAGCTTGAAGATGGCCTTCTGCTGGTTCCAAGTTGGCAGTTGGATGGTTTTTCCGCAGATCCTAAACGCCGAAAAACCAAAATCATTTATTCTTTTATTATTTAAGATGGAATTCGTGTTTTTGAAGCTAAAGAGTCTTGGAGAGAGCTTGCTGCAGAACTGAAGCTTGCTGAAAAAAAGAGACAACGTTACGCTTCCGTGTCTAACTGCGCAATTGGCACATCTAAGTTAACCACAACCAAGTACACAAAATCCATGCCAGCAGTCAACTCAAACATGCTTTTGGAACTTTGGCAAAACCAAACATGCTCATGCCAAGTTATGCAGAAACTCTTGTATGCTTCTCTCTGTTTAAGTTGTTGCTAAACCATTGTGAGTTTTCGGTGCAGATTTTGTTAGAAGAGTGCGTGCTTGCTGGCTTGCTTGCTTGCTTGGATTGACCATGGAGCTGTAAGTTAGAAGTTCAGCGTCTGCGAAGATTGAAGGTTCAGGTTGAGGTTCAGATTAAGTCACTGATTCTTGGCTTGTAGTGATCACAAGTCACAAGTGTTGTGCGTCTTTTTACAATTTATGTTCAAACCTTTTGATTCTCAATTGTTTTGGTTGGAAAGCTTGCGTGTTGTGTGGCAGATTTAAGAGGTTGTTAGAGTACTGCTTGTGTGTAAAAATTGCTTTTAACTTGATGTGTCCTGTATGTTGGTTTTGCAGCGATTGGCAATCAAGGTGGAAGCTTGTTCCCAGTGCTTATATTTTTCGTTCAGTCCTCTGTGGAAGCACAAAACTTTAAAAGCATGCACACTTCTCGAAATTTCAAGGAAAACGACCAATAACTGTCACAAGTGCACGACAAGCAAGGCAAGAAATCAATCACCTTACTGCTTCAACGCTGTTGCAAGCAAGACTGGAAGTTGGTATTGCGTACGTGCTTGCTTGATTGATTGCCTTGCTGTCGACACAATCAATCTGTAGCACTGAAACTTAAGAAGACACAAACAAGATGAATACCAATCTGCCTTTGCAAGCGCGCTTGCCAATGATTTGGACAATGTCACCCGACAGCGACCAAAGGGATTGTGCGAAAGTTCGCAAGAGCGTTGTGGTCAAGTGTTGGCTGAACCTGTTTTTGAACAATTGCGCTCAGCACTGGAGCCTGACTATCGATGACCTTGGTTCGAGCCAAATAACGTCGCACCAGTTGCTACATGATGGTGATTTTGAAGATCTGGCAGTATGATTGCATCGGAACTTCAACGACGACTCGAGTGCTGAGTGCGTGGGGTGTCCTAGCAGTTCGGCGCCTTTCTTGGCTTGTTGCTTCTGTTTTCTTGTTTTTGGGTGGTTGCGTGGTGTTCTTGGTGATTTGCGCGCGCTGACTTCGTTTCACCCTACAAGTCCAACAAGACCGGCCTACTGTGCTACTGATGTAGTAAAGGGCGCCAGTCCAAAAAAAAGAGCAACTTTGGGAACCAACCAGCGGGTGAATTGCCCGAAGTTGTTTCCTATTGCACAGGAGCAATTATATATAGGAGCCAGACCTAAGGAAACATCGGCAGGTGATTTTCCTCCATTGTTCCGTCAGGAGCAGAATTGTGCATACCTCTTCTTGTGCATAGAAGAAGCGACCATTCTGATTGGCCTTGACCTAGTGTCGTTGTTTTCTTTCTTGAAACTGGCAGATGCGATTGCTGATTCGTCCTACGCCCTGATCCCTGATTGTAGCCATGGTTTTCTCCAGTACTGCGATTGTGCGTTTTCTTTGCGACGAGTACAAGTGGTAAGGACAAATGGTTGCTGTTCAGTCTGCTGGAGATGGTTTCCGCGGGATTGCCTTGAGCGTTGTCCCAGGACTTCGTTTGTTCAGACTGGTTGTATTCTTGTATAGCTTCAACAATTGGAGACACACTTTGATGATTCCACGAACTGCATGTCCACTCGGATTGGTTGACTGTGCAGATGGCAGAAGAGTATTATTGCAGACTTTGACTTCATAGTTTGTATTGAGTACATGAATGATGATTTGTTTCCTTCAGTGCCAGTGATTGCTTTTGGTTCTTCGGATTGTGCAAAAGGTGAAAGTACAGTAGCACACCCCTGTTTTACCCCAAAGTGATTTTACTTGGGCACATCATGTTTTCCATTGAGTGTGCAATGACACAGGCGCTTTTGCTTGAAGTGGAAAAGTTTCGTATGGTAGCGGAGCTGTGAAGGTTCACCCTTTGGGTACCGGAGCTCCAAGAGGCCAGGAACCTAGCCTCAGCACTAGGGTAGGTAGAGCCGCGGGTGTAGTCTTGGGCCTCTGAGGGTTGGATCCTCTTCATAGCTTCCTCTGTGCTTCGGCTGCTGGTGGCGGCCTAGTGTGGTGCAGACGGGCGGCAAGGCGGCCAGTACCTCTTCGTGTTTTACCACCGCGCTGTGGGCTGCTGTGGCACGACGGCGACGTGGGGCAGTTTGGAAGAAGCAAAGCAGAAGCTACGTGAGTTTTACTTTGAGCAGCTCTTGTTGCGACCGAAGCCAGAGAATCGAACCCAGAAAGGTTGGCAGAACATCCTGGAGTCAGCTCGCTTGAGTTTGGAGCCCAAGCTGGATAGACTGAGCAGGATCGAGGACGTTTTCGCTTTGGCTGAAAAGTGTTTGAACAAGAACCCGAGCATCCTGGAAGATTTTCGGTTCATCGCAACAGAGAACGTGTGTCGTGAAGCTGTAGAGTGGAGTGCTCAAGAGAACTTTGTGTACGCGACTGAAGAGGGCAAGACGTTTGAGCGTGACCTGGAGATCTTGTCTAGGTCGGACCAGGGCAAGAGCAGCGGATCTGGCGTGTTCGAACAGTCGCTGGAGCCTCGAAGTGAACCACTTGACCTGACCGAGACCGGTGAGCCTACACCAAAGAGGTTGAAGTTCGAGGTGGCATTGAAGCAGTCTGAGGGTTCCGTTGAGCTTTGATTGCAGTCATGGCGTCTCCTCAAGGTCAACCCCAACCTTCCTCAGCCCCGAATCCGTTTGCACAGTCCCAGCCAACATCGCCTCAGTCTGCAACTGCGAGTGTGCCTCAGATTTTGGAAGCCTTAGGCAACATGGTGATGCAGGGCCAAGAGCAGAATCGTTCTTTCATGGGTTTGTTTCAGTCCATGTCCATTGAGCAGCAAAGACAGTCAGAAGAGTTGAAAGAAGCGGTCACTCACCTTGGTTCCAGGAAGGAAGCTCCGACGGGGTGGACGAAGTTCATCCCCCGACCTGACCCTTTCAAGCCCAAAGACCGAGAAGAAGAGCTAACTCAATGGCAAGATTGGAGTTGGAGCTTCAAGCAGTGGATCCTTGCAATAAGCCCTGAGATGTATACTGCGATTGAAGAGGTAGAGCAGGATTTGAGTTCGCCTTGTGAAGAAGCCACTATGACCGACGATGCCATCCTACAGGGAAAGCAGCTGTACGCAATCCTCACAAGCATGCTTCGGGAAAGGCCTCTCCAAATCCTCAAGAGTGTCACCGGTGCCAATGGATTCGAGACATGGCGTGTGCTAAACAATGTGCTGGCACCCACCAATAAGACACGAGCGCTTGCACTGTTGGGAGCAATCTCACAGTTTCCGGCAATGAATCAAGGGAATCTCCTGGAGCAGGTGCTACGTCTGGAGGACCTCTTCCGCAAGTACGAGCAGGCGTCGGGAAAGCCAGTTCCGAATGAGATGCAGAGTGCAATCTTGTTGCGTGTTTTGCCTCAGCAAGTTCGGTCACACTTGACAATCACCATCGGTGACGATTCCACGTATGAGAGCATGAGAGACATGATCCTTCGGTGGGAGCGCTCTACACAGAAGTGGTCTTCGCAAATCGTGACAGGAGGGGCACCGCAGAAACCTTCGTATGATGATCCGAACGGCCCGAGCCCCATGGATGTCGATCGTGTGAAAGGATGGCCTAAAGGAAAAGGCAAGTGGGGTAAAGGGGCTGGCAAAGGTAGTGGCAAAGATGGAGGAAAGTATGGAGGAAAGAACGGCAAAGGCAAAGGTGGCAAAGGAGGATATGAGAGTCGTCCAGGCAAAGGAAAAGGCTATGAGAAAGGAGGAAAAGGAAAACAGTCCTCATGGGGCAGGAATGATTGGAGCAAAGGAGGAAAGGACAGAGGAAAGAAAGGAGGAAAGGGCAAAGAAAGGCTTTCTCATGATGCTTGTCGAATCTGCGGGAAGTCAGGGCACTGGGGCAATGAGTGTTGGATGAAGGACAAAGTTCGAAACATCAACCAGAATGATACATCGTCCGCATCGGGGAACAGTTCGTCCGCATCGAGCTCAAATTCATCGACCGGAACAGCAAGTGTGAAGCGTGTGTTTGATCTTGCAGACAGTGATCGACTTGATGTCCCAATGACAACGGTCTATGAGATGGACAGCGAGGGTTCAGAGTCGTATGTGTCAGACAATGAGTCATGGTGGTGCAGAGTGATCGAACATTCCATGGTTGACGGTGAGGATGAACTGGAAGTCATCGACTTTGCTTGGGAGACGTACAGCGTCATGGACATGAGCTTAGATGATGCATTGCTTGGAGATGAAGAATGGGTTGCACATGCAGAAGTAAGAGGGATCAGCAGCAGGTCTGACGAGGGCTACAACGCTCTGTCGGAAGGGCTACCTCAGGAGGTGGTCTTGGATTCAGGTGCTGACCTCAGTGTGATGCCGCGAGCATGGTTGGAAGCGAATCTTGGAGACAGGGTTCGAGTGCACCAGTCCGAATGGTCGACGCCCAAGGGAAAGAGATGAAGAACCATGGTAGCAGGAAGATCACCCTGGACCTAGGCCCAGCGATGATCCAAGAGGAGTTCTACGCGTCCGACGTTGGTGCGCCCCTGATCTCGTTGGGGAGATTGCTGAAGAAAGGTTGGAGCCTCGACCACAGGAATGGACTCCTGCATCTGTGCAATGATCCCGAAGAGATAGAAGTGCCGGTCTCATTCCGAAGGAATAGCCTTGTGGTTGATGCCAGAGTGTTCATGGTCCGGGATGATGAGGTGAAAGACCCAGAAGAAGAATGTGTTCGAGCAACCAAAGAAGGTCGGATTATAGTGCAGCCGCATTTCAACATCCACGGACTTTCTCCAGGGTGGAATTTCCTCGACTGTGGTGATCCTTGCATCTTGAAGAGAGATAAGGTTCGCCTCGACCCTTCAGATGACATGTCAGTGCATTTATGGAAGTACCGCACAACTTTGGTGTTCAGACAGGAAGCATGGGCCAGGAGCCCCTGGAAAACGTGGAGAACCTGAGTGAGGTGATTGAACATGGCGATGCAGCAGTCCTGATATTCACCATCATGCATCGTACGAAAGGTGACCCCGATCACTACGGCCTAACGCTCGTTGCTGAAGCTGGAACTTCCGAGGCAGATGAAGTGAAAGATTGGCCAGTGGATCTTGATCTGTATGCCGAAGAGATGAGCGTAGCTGATCCGCATGAACAAATGAGCCCAATCGATCTCCCAGGTGTATGTGATCAAGATGGCCGTGAAGAACCGGTGGGCGCAAGTCCCGCCCCAATGTTGATCGGATGTGGAGAAGAAGATCATGTGGTAGTAGAGGGACTGCGGTTGAACGAGGATTCGAGTGCTCGAGAACTACGAGAAGCGTGCAAAGCCTTAGGACTGGGGATGTCTGGTTCCAAGAAAGTTATGTTCCAGAGGTTGATGAGTCACTCAAAGAAGAGAGCATTGGAGGATGCGATGGCGCTGGGAAATGCGGCGAAACCTCATGAACATCAACCGCGTGGAGAGCGACTTCCTAAGCAACCAACTGCTGATGAAATTGCCGAACATGAGCTCACTCATGTACCGTTCAAGGAATGGTGCAGCTATTGCGTGAGTTGCAGATCAAGGAGAGATGCTCACCGTCAGGATGGAGAACAACATGACACCGATGGCGGGGACCCAATCATTGCATTCGACTTCTTTTACACCGATGTCACGGGAGGTGAACTTGACTTCATGCGAAGTGCTCCTAAGGACAAAGATGCGATGGTTGTGGTGGTGGCTGTGGACAAGACGACAGGAATGTCAAGAGCCATACCCCTAGAGTCGAAAGGTGATCAATCATTGGTGTATGCGGCGAAAGAGATCTTAGGCTTCATATCCTATCTGGGATATCAAGGCGTGGTGATCAGATCGGACAACGAGCCTTCTGCTACAGCCTTGACCAAGATGATCTGTCACTCCAGGACGAAGTTGGGTTTGAAGACCGTGGCGTCATGAGCATGCAACAAATGGAATGGCAGAACAATGTGTTCAGAACATCCGAGATCTAGCGGCAACTTTGTTGGAACAGGTAAAGGCTCAATCGGGAACAGAGATTCGGACGAGAGATGAGATTGCAGGCTGGGCGTATGTGCATGCTTCAATGCTTCAGAACACGTTTGCAGTCAGAGCTGGAACGACTTCGTTCGAGAAGGCATTTGGCTTGGCCTACAATGGGAAGCTGGCATGTTTCGGCGAGGTGGTGCTGTTTGCGTTGAGTCAAGGCCATCGAAAGAAAGGACGCCCGAAGTTCGTGAAAGGCCTGTGGCTTGGAAAATCGCTGGTGAACGACATGCATGTGTGTGGAACAGCGCTTGGTTTGTACCTGTCAACAACAGTCCGGAGGTTGAACCCACAGGAAAGGTGGAGCAAGCATATGTTGAAAGAATTTCAAGGCAAACCATACAAGTTTTCGTTGAGCAGCCTGGGAAAGGTCGTGATTCCAGCTATGAAAGACAGGACAAAGCCGAATGTGGTACCAGACATGCCAGTGATGCCGATGGAAGGACCAAAGGAGGCAGCGTTGAAGGCACCAGATGAGGCCGGATCTGACTCCTCAAGTTCATCATCGCAGTCAGGTGCAAGAGAATCAAGCCATGAGGTGCCAGGAGGGGTTTCGGCGCCATCGTCGCAGCATGCTAGCTCAACCCCGTCGGAAGGCGGAACGGATGGTGGCGTGCGAGAAAGGATGGACATCGAGGCAGGAACAGGACAGAAGAGATCTGAGCCCGAACCAAGTGCCAAGGAGGAAGACAAGCGTGGAGAAAAGAGACCAATGCCGGAGGAGAAGAACGTCCCGTTGAACGCACCTCCACTTTATGCTGGGAGCTCATCGCCACAAAAGACCTCAAGGGTTTCAACCGTGAAAGTTGCAGATGCTGAGTACTACACGTTAGATGAGCACCTAGAAGAGGAGTGGGGTGACATGGAAGAGTGGGAATTTGGTCTGAGGTAGAAGAAGAAGAGGGCATTGATTGGGGAGAGCTTTGGCGTAACAGGACTGAGAATGAAGGGCCTCCAGAACTGTCTGAACACGAGATGGACCAAGTAGATGCTGAGAGCAGGAAGACCGAAGTGAAGCGACTCCTGGACATGGGAGTGTTGGAACAAGTATCGTCCTTGCCTGAGAACGCAGAGTTGTTGCAGACGAAGCATGTGATGGACTGGCGGTACCGTGAGGCGAAGTGGAAGAGAAGGGCGAGATTAGTGTGTAAGCAGCTGAAGATCTGGGACCCAAACAGGACAGACGTGTATGCCCCAAGCACCAATCCATCAATTGCAAAGCTGTTGCCGGCCCTCATGGTTTCCCGACCAGGGTGGCAGATGGTTAGCTTCGATGTGAAGGATGCTTTCCTCGAGGTGAAGCAGCGTCAAGAGCTTTATGTGATGTTGGACGGCCTCCCGTATAGAGTCCATCGTTGCTTACCAGGACAGCAGGCAGCGTCTGCGTGGTGGGGAGAACAGCTGGCGGCGGACCTGGCTTGGTGCCAGATGAAGCATGTCCGGCAGCGTTTGGACAGCCAGGTTTGGGTGCAACAGTTCATGTCGATGATGGCTTGCTAGCTGGAACCCCAGAAAACACACGAAAGGTAACTGAGATCCTGGAGAAGAAGTACAAGCTGGAAGTCTCAGAACCCGTGAAGAACATAGGTGATAGCCTGAAGTTCCTGAAGAAAGAGTTGCTGATCACCGAGTCTGGCATTGAGGTGCGAGTCGACAAGAAGTACTTGGAGAAGATTTGTGGCGTGCTGGACCTGAAGAGGCCGAGAGTAAGGAAAACGCCGTGCAGTCCAGAGATTGCCAAGAAGGATGAGTCAGAGCCCTTGCAGGAGTTGGAGGCTTCAAAGTTCAGAGCGGCAGTCGGAAGCTTCCTGTACCTCAGCCCAGATAGACCAGATGCCCAATGGACCATCGCACACTTGGCAAGGTCGATGAGTCAGCCAACGAAGCGTATGTGGAAGCATGCCTGTCACTTAGCAGAGTATCTGTTAGCCACAGCTGATGTGTGTCTCACGTTGGCATGGACGTATCCGGGAAGGTCAAGTTCGGATGAGAGAAAGCTCAGTCGAGAGGAGGCAACAAGGCTGCAAGTAGAGAACAGCGGCAAACCGGATTTGGTTGAGGGCATGAGCGATAGTGACTGGGCTGGACATTGGACGAGGGTGTCATCGACGTGTGGCCACGTCTACTTGAATGGGAACGCGACCTTCAGCTTCGTGAGGAAGCAAGGCTCGATTTCTCTGTCGTCATGCGAAGCAGAGCTCATGGCATGTTGTTCCACGGCAGCAGAACTGATGTATGTTGGGCACGTGATCAAGACGCTTTCAAGCACACCTTGTCGGTTGTTATGCCGGCTAGACTCGTCTAGCGCACGATCATTGCTCCAAAAGCGTGGCGTGTCGAAAGTGCGTCATCTGGAAACGAAACTGCTATGGGTACAGAGGGAAACTTCGAGGGGAGCCTTGGAACTGGGAACAGTATCCACGTACCTAAATACTGCTGACATAGGTACAAAGGCGCTGCGTCATCTGGAAACGAAACTGCTATGGGTACAGAGGGAAACTTCGAGGGGAGCCTTGGAACTGGGAACAGTATCCACGCACCTAAATACTGCTGACATAGGTACAAAGGCGCTAAGCTCAGAACGCTATGGATTCCTGATGTCTCGCTGGGCTATGGTGGCTTCGAGTGTTTGAGCAGAGACAAGCAGAAGTACGACCAGATGAATGCCAAGGTGATGCGGTTGCTGGTGATGATGGATGCAATGAGAACCGCGAATGGAGCAGAAGCCTTTGGAAGAGATCGTGAGCTGGAGCAGGGTGGCATCACGATTATGAGCGCCTTGAGCCTGGAGATCAAGGTCAACCAATGGGGTGGTGTTCTCCTGGTGGCTGCGGCTTTGGTGGTCCTGATGACCGTGATGTACGTCGTATGGCAAATGGCATGGAAGGAAAGGCGACTTGGAGACCTACAGAGGATGGCGACGACGACTGATCAGACAGAAGATGATGAAGAATGGGAACATGAGTCAGATGAAGAATGGGAACATGAGCCAGATGAAGAATGGGAACCACCACTATGTGTACCAGATGAACCTCAACAACAAGATGAACCTCAACGACCAGATGAACCTCAACGGATGGATGGATGGCACGCAGGGTACGGCTGCCAAAGGGTGCCTTCCCCTCCGCCGTCTCAGGGAGCCTCCGCAAGCGTCATCGGCAACCCTCCGGCAAAGGTTCGAGGTCCCTGACTGGCCACCCCACGCAAGCATCCATGAACTCCCCAGTGCCCGCACAGACGCCGAAGCGCACAGGCCAGACGGCAGTGGATCCTCGAACTGTATGCGAGCACAGGGGCCAGTAGTGAGTCCACGCATCCTCCATTCAAACCCTGCACTCTATAGGCAAAGGCCAGGAATGTCACTGCCAATGCCCAGAGTGAGTGCCCATAACAGTATGGGCTGCGAGGACAAGCCTGCGTGGCAACACTGCGCCAGCAGGCTGTGGAAGCAGCCCGAGATGAACCTCAACAACAAGATGAACCTCGACGACAATACGCGTTCCGCTGGCGGATAGAGTGGTCTTTGATTTATAGGTGCCCCTTCCCCCCTTTGAAGAAGGGGCAACGCAAAACTGTCTTAAAAGTTTCTGAGTTTTCTGCCACGTGTGTTCGCAGATCTTGCATGAGCGTAATTTATGCAAACGTTTTTCATGTGGTTTTCTGGGCTTCGCAGTAGGCACAGCTGCTTGAATTCTTCTCAAGTGCTTGTGCCGCGCTCAGCCCTGCTCAAACAGAGGTTCGTGGTCGTTTGCATACATGGCACATATGCTTCACTTGCCACATTTTGCAGGCCGTTCTTTAGCGAACTCTTGAGCACATTTGTTCAATTTTTCCCATGGGCGACGGCCCGGACACTCTTGTGGAGGTTGCGGTCGAGGACGCCGACTTTTCTTCCTGCTCTGAACCTTTCAGTGTCGAGTCCGTTGTCCTCGAGCTGGAACGTGAGATCGAGGGCGAGCGTGTGGCCCGCGAGGACCTGGCCCGCCGCGTGCAGACTCTCGAGCGAACTGTCGCTGCCCTGCAGTCTCGCTGTGCTGATCTCGAGCAGGACGTGGAAGTGGTTTCTATTCGACTGGCGTCCATCAACGCCTTCTTGCACGGCTTCATCAGTCGCTTGGGCCAGCTCTTTCGCGTTGTCATCAACCGCTTGCCCGCTGGCTTCTGAACAGGCTGCCCTGATGGCTTCCTCCTCTAGTGCTTCGGGCCTTCCTGGCCATTCGGAAGGGGGAGAGGCGGGGCCAGCGTCCCTCAGCGATGCTCTGGCTAATCCGTCTGACTTTCATTCACGACTGGTGGCAGCCGAGACGCCAGCAGCGTTGGATGCCACCTCCATCAGTGTTTCAGAGTTCTCTTGGCACGCACACCTTCAAGAAGCCCGAGTCTTACCGCCCCTCTTGTCATGGGAGAGGGGCCCCTTGACTTGGGTTTTTGGAGAGCCGGCTAAAAGACCTCGCATCAGCTTACCAAAGGACTTCGCTGCATCCCCCCTGGAAAAGCATGGGACAGAGAAGGCTCCCCTCGTGATCCATCAGCCAATCCCAGATTTTGCCAAAAGGAGGCTCCGTGTGGCATCTCTACTGGTCACCCAGGACACTTCGCGATGGGAGGCCCTTCGCAAGCTTCAAGTGCTGGTGCTTCTGGACCCTTCGGCGACTCAAGTTGGGCAGGTGTTGGCGGCTGAGGCGTCTTTGCTAAGGGCCAACAGTTTCCTGCAGCGAGCCTTTGCCGATGTCTTTGAGGGGAAAAGCGCTTCTACACTGGTGAAGAGGGCTTCTTCCTTGTGGCGCTTCGCCAACTTCTGCATCGACGGTGGCTTTGGGAACCCGCTTGAGGTCTCGGAACATACCCTGTACCAGTACATGTTCCACCTCGATGAGCACGGAAAGCCAACCACGGGCTCCTCGTTCCTCCAGGCTTGGAACTTCGCGCTTCACACCCTCAAGTTGAACCGTCCCAGGTCGCTGGGGGCGCTGTCAGCAAGGGTTAAGGGTGCAGCCCAACGGATGTACTCGAAGAAGCGCAAACTGGTGCAAGCCCGACCCTTGACTGTGAAGCAGGTCAAAGCCCTGGAATACGTCGTCCTCAAGGCGCCCTACAATCACTGGAAGATCATCGCTGGCCACCTTCTTCTGTGTGTAGGGTCCAGCAGCCGCTTTGGGGACTCAATTTGCCTGGCAGTCCTCAAGGTTGAAACGGCGCAGGGCTTCACTTTGGTAGAGGCTGAAAGCTCAAAATGGAAGACCGGCAATGCTGCCTCCCGGCGTGCTCAGCTGCTTCCCCTCGCTTCTCTTGGGAAGTTCTTCGCAGATGCTCCGTGGGCCGTCGAATGGATGGCTCTGAGAGAGAAGCTGGGCCTTGGTTTGGATCCTGCACTCCCGGCTTATTCCGAGGCGACTGGCGAGTGGCTGCGGCGGCCTATGTCGACGGGTGAGGCGACCTTATACTTGAGAGAGTTTTTGTCTGCTGCATCTCAACCATACGATGGTGTTGGTTCCCACTCCCTCAAGACAACAGTCCTGTCGTGGGCCGCCAAATCTGCTGAAGCGCCCCTGAGCGACCGCCGCCTGTTAGGGCATCACGTTGATCCAGGCGTGGCTTCCCCTTTGACATATGCTCGAGATGAACAAACCCGCCTCATGAGGGTTGTGCATCGCCTCGTGGAGAGAATCTGCAAGGGCCACTTCCGTCCAGACGACACGAAGGTCTGGCGCTTAGCCAGGCTCATCTCCTCCGATTGTGGGGGCGACGCCCTGGCTGAGACCGTGGTGCAGGGCGACCCGGGTGTGCCGGAGTCCGATGAAGAGGACGACGACTTCGATGAGCGGGACATGGCTGCGAACACAGGGGTCATTTCAACTCGTGAGCCCATGAGCGTTGCAGAGCTTGATGCCACAGCTGATTGTCGTATGCACGTATTTTCCCGTGTGGTGCATGTTTTGGACGGCAATCGATTTCTTTGCGGTAGGAGTTGCTCGCAGAACTATTCGCCGCTCGATGTCAGTGTACCCCTTTGTGACTTGCCTGTGTGCGCTCAGTGTGCAGCCCGAAAGGGGGCCTGACCGGACAGTGCTTCGTGGGAAAGTGGTTGTCTCCAGTATACTCCACTTGAAGCTGGATGCCTCCATTCCCCCCCCTCCCAGCTGACCTTCGGGCGTTGAGCTGGGCCGGGGGGGGGGGGGGTTGTTACATGTGAAGTATGCTTTGGCACAGTCCCGCTGACCTTCGGGCCTAGAGCGGTGCGTTTGGTGCCCGGTGTGGTGCAGACTAAAGAGGCAAAGGTCAGATTCTGCCATATGTGTGATCTAATTATGCTGGCACAGTCCCGCTGACCTTCGGGCGTGGAGCGGAGCGTCTGGTGCCCAGGGTGAGATCCGGCTACGCGTGCGCGTAAAGCCTCGGGCCTGTCTTCGAGCATGCCTAGCTTGAGTTTCTCGTGAGCGCCGGCCTGCAGCTGTGCCCGCGTGGTAGCTCCTTTGTTGGTTCGCCATGAATTCTGCCATTGACAGCGAGGCGACCTTCACGGCCCGGGCCCTCGAGCTTGGCATGGAGAAGGACTTCTTAGACTTGTTGACCAAGGCCAATGTGAAGTCCCTGGGTGCGCTGGCTTTCGTCAGCCCGTACCAGATCGGCCAAGCTGATGAGAAGCCCCTGATCGATGCTGTCCGGGAGCTCATCCGGCGGGATGTCACTGCGCGGGAGCTCATCCCGCTTCGACGCTTGTGGTTCGAGGCTAGCACAACCGTCCTGGGTGAGCTCAAGCAAAAGGTTGAGGGTCAGGACTCGGCTGAGCCTATTCGCCTGACCATAGCCGAGAGGACCACGAGGCTGGAGGAGCAGAAGAAGCGTCTCGTGGGGGTTTGCATCACGAGTGAGTCCGAACCGTCTCATCGCCTCGTGGACCTTGTCTTCCAGCAGGGCGCTGATCAGCAGCTTTCTTGGATCCCCTGGGAGCGTCTGACTAGCAGGGCTCATGAGGTCACCCACTCTCGTAGTGACCTCGGGCTTCAATTCGATGCAGCTGGAAATCTCCGCCTCACCAAGAAGATGCAGGAGAGCTCTTGCGAGCCGCTCAACTTTCGCAGTCCTGCATACCAAGCAGGAGTTTGTGGCCAAGGCCTGTCAGGTACCGCACCCCTTTGATGCATCTGACTCCATAGACGACCAGGTCAAGAGAAACATTTTTGAACTGTTTACTGGTGGCTTCATGCCTTCGGCCAGGAAGAGGCTGTCTATGCAGAAACGTTTGGCCGCCATGAAAAAGGAGCTGGCGGTGGAGGAGCGGCGCTACCAGGCTTCGCTTCCTCCACATGCCCAGGCGGTCCTAAAGGGCAAGAACATCCTTCTTTGGCGTAAGCTGCTCGTGGAGACAGGCTTCCCCGACCTGGACGCCCAGGAGCTTATGGAGGGGGTCCCCCTGATAGGAAGGCCAACGAAGTCGCTGCTCTACGACTGGAAAGAGATCCCCGCAACTTGCACAAGGGAGGACCTCCTCGCTTCCTCAGTTTGGCGGAACAAGATGCTTTCGGGAAAAGGGGCTGTGGGGGATGATGCTGATCTCCTACACAAGGTCTGGCTGGCCACTGAGAAGGAGGTGGAGAAAGGCTACCTCATTGGCCCCTACGAGTCCCTCGAAGACGTCAAGGCAACCCTGGGCGCAGAGGAGGTTTGCTGCAGCAGGCGTTTTGGTGTCCGCCAGGGCTCCGGGGATTCTGAGAAATGCAGGCCCATAGATGACTACAAAGAAAGCGGGGTTAACACGGCCTACCATGCTGTGGACCTACTTCAGTTGCATGACGTTGACTACCTGGTCAACCTCTGCTGTTTCGTGGCAAACGCTGCTCATGACGACGGCTTCATCAGGGTAGGGCTGTCGGATGGCTCGATGCTCGTGGGGCGTACGCGTGGTGATCTCCTGGGGGGGGTCAAGTGGCTGGGGCGTTGCTTGGACTTGGAAAAGGCCTATAAGCAGATCCCGGTTTTGGCCAAAGACCTCGTCTTCGCAGTCTTGATGGTTTGGGAACCCGGGTCGGGCTCGTGGAGATACTTCATCTCCCGGAGCCTCCCCTTCGGATGCTGCGCGGCAGTTTACGGTTTCAATAGGGTTTCTAGGTCGTTGCTGCACCTGGCCCTGCATCTCGCCGGCATGATCGGCGGGGTCTATTTTGACGACTTCCCTTTGCTTGAGCCGGCCCCCACTGCAAGGATGGGCTCCCTCGCCATCGAGTGCCTTCTGGACGCCCTGGGTTGGTCGTACGCAGTGGGTGATGACAAGGGCCGCCCCTTTGAAGAGACCTTCGACCTGCTTGGTATGCGACTCAGTGTCGGGGGGCTTCTCGCTGGTCAGGTGGCCTTGGCAAACAAACCTAGCCGTGTTGAGAAGATCCGAGCCCAGGCTTCAGGGATGGCATCCTCAGGCTGCGTCACTCGCAGGGAAGCAGCCTCCCTGCACGGCCAACTGAACTTCATGGTGGGCTTCGCGGCTGGACGAGCCATGAAGATAGCCTGCAGGGCCCTGGCCAACATCTGCTACATGAACCGCTCTCCCTCCGTGGAAGAAGTGAAGTCGCTGGGGCGTTTCATCCTGAAGACGCTCTCTGATGCACGTCCGAGGACCTTCTCACTCCGGGCGCAGGGGAGCCCGGTCTCCATCTTCACTGACGCGTCCTATGAGAAGGGCGTCGCCCGCTGGGGGATAGTTCTGCTGGACCAGAGTTCCGATAGAAGATGGGTGGCAGCAGGTGAGATCTCGCCTAAGCTTGTAGACTTCTGGCTGGCAGAGGGCATCGAGCAGGTCATCTCTCAGGCGGAGGCCTTCGCGCTGGTTCTCTCGAGGCGGGCCTGTGCCTCGGAACTGGCCGGGAAGAGGTGCATCTTTTACGTGGACAATGACGCCGCCAGGTACACTTGCATTAAGGCCAGCAGCCCCTCTCGTTCTCTACTGAGCTTGGCATGCCTCTTCTACGCCAGCGAGTCGGCTGATGGCGTCGTGTCTTGGATTGAGCGCGTTCCTTCTGCAAGCAACGTGGCCGACCTCCCTAGCAGGGGGGAAGCTGCGTTGGCAGCACAGATGATTGGAGGTCAGGTCGTCGACTTCTCTCAGGCTGCGCAGCTTCTAGCAGATGAGTGCATGGACCTGAGCGACCTTCCCTGGGACCTCCTCTCGTCCTCGAGCGGAAACCTTTGGACACTGCCCTTCCTTTGAGCCCGGACGTTTGAGGGGGGGATGACGGGTCCGTTGAGGGCAGTGAGTGCAATCTCCGTATGGTCCCTGGACTCTTTGGCAGGGTCCGTCGAAGGGCAGGGAGCTTTATGTCCCATGAGCCCTTGTGCCCAGCCTTACCTTTTTGAAGTTCCCCTGATCCGAGGCAACTCGCAGTGACGCAAAAGGATTGGAATCTTAGCGTGTTGGGAAGGGTTCGCAATTTTTACATACTGTCTATTCTTTGTGAACCTTTTCCTTTATACATTCAGATGTCGACAGTTTTGTAAATCCTAAAGACTACGCGCTCCGCTGGCGGATAGAGTGGTCAGGTGCCCCTTCCCCCCTTTGAAGAAGGGGCAACGCAAAACTGTCTTAAAAGTTTCTGAGTTTTCTGCCACGTGTGTTCGCAGATCTTGCATGAGCGTAATTTATGCAAACGTTTTTCATGTGGTTTTCTGGGCTTCGCAGTAGGCACAGCTGCTTGAATTCTTCTCTTGTGCAAAGTGTGAAGTGCTTGTGCCGCGCTCAGCCCTGCTCAAACAGAGGTTCGTGGTCGTTTGCATACATGGCACATATGCTTCACTTGCCACATTTTGCAGGCCGTTCTTTAGCGAACTCTTGAGCACATTTGTTCAATTTTTCCCACCCACCCGCCCGGGGGGATGACGGGTCCGTTGAGGGCAGTGAGTGCAATCTCCGTATGGTCCCTGGACTCTTTGGCAGGGTCCGTCGAAGGGCAGGGAGCTTTATGTCCCATGAGCCCTTGTGCCCAGCCTTACCTTTTGAAGTTCCCCTGATCCGAGGCAACTCGCAGTGACGCAAAAGGATTGGAATCTTAGCGTGTTGGGAAGGGTTCGCAATTTTTACATACTGTCTATTCTTGGTGAACCTTTTCCTTTATACATTCAGATGTCGACAGTTTTGTAAATCCTAAAGACGATGAACCTCAACGACCAGATGAACCTCGACTACCAGATGAACCTCGACGACCAGATGAACCTCGACGACAAGATGAACCTCAACGACCAGATGAACCTCGACGACCAGATGAACCTCGACGACCAGATGAACCTCGACGACAAGATGGACCTCAAGTGCGAGTACAGGCTCAACCTGTGCCTGTAGTGGGACATGGTTGGATGCAGAGACAAGTGGCATTGATTGGCAACACAGGGCTACGATTCCATAGTCAGACGTGTGGAATGGTTCGAAAGGCACACCGTGACGGGCGACATGTTCGGTTGCTCACTCGAGAGCAGGCAGTTCTTGAAGGGTACGAAGGATGCAGACAATGCACGCCGTGATGCAGATCCAGATGGAGCGAGATGGCCTGAGTTTCAACTGCGACCCCGGCTGATGTGCAAAGCTAGATGCGAGACTTGTGCGACTTCGAGTCGTGTTTAAGGGTGGATGCGATTCCAAATCTAACTGTTTCCATCCTAACATGGGATGATGCACGGGGATTTGATATCCGTTGGCATGTGTTTGAAGTTTCTCTCGAGTTCTACCGAGATTAGTGGTGGCAGTTTTCCTGTATAGATTTTGGACAGATTCTGTAGTACACTCGTCGGTACGACGAATGTCCTAAGGAGGGGTGCAAAAGGTGAAAGTACAGTAGCACACCCCTGTTTTACCCCAAAGTGATTTTACTTGGGCACATCATGTTTTCCATTGAGTGTGCAATGACACAGGCGCTTTTGCTTGAAGTGGAAAAGTTTCGTAGATTGCCATAACAAGACCATTCGAGATGCACGAAGATGGCATTTGCATTGTGCAGTGCAAGGCATTGGCAAGTCTTCGGATTGAGTTTGTGTTGTCCAACACAGATACTCGGAGTTTCATTGTGCAGCAGCTCATCGTCACTACCTGCGCTGCTTGCACATTAAGTGCGCGATTCAAGTTCCTTCTTTCAAGACCGCAGCAGATTGGTTTGCGTTCTGCAGACTGATCACAAGATGAAGCATTGTTCCTTTACTTTGGCGGTGTATACTACATTGCAGTTAGCGTGTGAGTTTGGTGAACAGTTGCGCGAACGAGTGGTGCTATTTTCTGCATGGTGCCGATTGTGACGAAGTGGCGTACGCGTTTCTCCTTATATAGCATGTCAGTGGCGTTGTGGTTTTCTGGCGACGCGCTCATCCTCTGGAGTTCATTGCCCAGTGCTTGGCTGACAACAGCTTATTGACCTCGAGAAGCTGTTGACAGGTATGGATTGAGCTTGTGTCTGGTTCACTGCGTCGTTGCAGGATTGCAGCATCATTTCCTACAGCTGATGGCTTTGCTGCTTCTTCAGCGAGAGGTAGCCTGTTGTCAAACGCCTTTGGTTTAGAGCATTGCTTTACGAGAAGAAGACTGGCGAGATTGCCTGTAGTGTTGCCAAAAAAAGCGCCAGATGCTGTGGCAACATGCTGGATTGAGAAGGATGCACTAAGGATTGGTGTCTGATATTCCTTGCTTCTGATCTTCGCGTTGTGTGCGGATATTGCTTCCGCGTGATGTTTCTTCATGGCAATTGTTGAGTGCCATTGATTCTTACATCGCACACTTCGCCGATGCGATCGTGATTTCACGATTTGACGTTGCCCTTTGACAGACAGATGGTCCCCTATGTATATTGCAGAGGACATCACCAATGATGCCTGATTGTATGACGGTCACGAAGAGCTAATATGGACACTGGTGGTGATTGGTTATTCTGCAAGCGTTGTGCATTGACCACTCTGGTCATTGAAAGCGAGACGATGGATCTTTGATTGGATTGACGTATGCTTGGAAGTATTCGCAGTTGCTTTGTCTTCGTGGTATTGGTCTGCGCTTGTGAACTCATTGCTTGTGATTCTTGATTTCCGTATTTTTCTATGTGCAAACCGAGTCATTGCATTCATTCGACCACAGTGAGATCGAATATCGCTGGTAGCCGCGAGCTTGGTGGAACGCCTCATTGGGCTCATAACCCAAAGTTGTATAGCTCACAACCCATAGTTGTGTAGGATTGGAATTCAAGTTTTACGTGGAGTCAGACGTTTATTGGCGACTGTATCAGTGCATGAGAGTTCTTTGGATGATGGAATGCTTCTATGGATCGCTTTTCTTATCTACTATTTTATTTCAGGCCGAGTTCATTGATGATATCTTCTTTGCGGTTGACACACACTGGTTTCAGGAAGCCATATATCCGGCATTGCTATCTCTACGTGGCATTGCTCGGTTCTGCAAGTTGTGAGAAGGGTCATTCTTTCGGAGTGCAAAATTGAGACTGCTTCCTCGACCCTGATTTAAAGCAGCGTATTGATCGCCGTTGCAAAACTGCGCGTGGGAATCTTCTGGATTGCGTTGGATGCAACCTGGCTGGTCCTACTTGAGTGACGGCATTGTCTCAGCATTGCTCATTGGTCAGCTGCTTCTTTTGAACCTCGTCGTACAGTATTGAGGTTTTACAAAATTAGTTTGGTTCTGTCATTGTTCTCATGCTGCAGATTTCAATTGCACGAACAGTGATTGGTTTTGTTTGCAGTCTGCTAGTGACTGTTTCATGGGATGTTTTGCATTGTTTCCGAAAGAAGACGAATGAATGAAATTGGATTGCTTTCATTGAGATCTTCGGTACGGTGTTGGACACCGTATTGAACTTGGATCTGGAAAGTCATTGCAACTCCACCTATGTTGCAAGATTTTGAGCATTTTGAGTCACATTGACTTACTCATTGTGACATCAAGCCGTTTCTCAGAATGTCACACGGAGCGACGAGCCTTTGGCACAGAAAGAGAGCCAAATCCAGGAATGCCTTCGGATAGGTTGACTGCAACCAAAAGCTACTGCCGTCTTGACGTGAAGAAGAACTGAGCTCATTGAGCCCCGTTGGCAGAAACGCTTTCTGATTCACTGGTCTCTAGTTTCTGGTTCTATTGACTGCGAGTAAGCTGTGTTTGGATGATTGCAAAGTCATTCATTCAATGCGGTTGTTGATCTTGCAATTGTCAAGGTCATGGAACTCTAGAACAAGAAATTGGCCACAAGATGCCGGTTCCAGACCATTGTCTTTGTTTTATCAAGTAACAGATGACTGCCCTAGAACAAAATGAAGATTGACCCACAAGAAGGTCGGCAGCATCAAGAATTGTTGCACAGTTGGTTTTTGTAAAGCTGTTAGTGTGAATGATTGCTGAAGCATTCATTCAAGGGACGGTGTTAGGATTGAGCTTTACTTCCTGCACATGTACATTGTCCATTGCGTGAAGAACATGCAACACTGACAGAGAACATTGGCATGTGGACATTGCCATGTCCATGATGCATTGGCTCAAGTGGCTCAAGATTGGCTCAGCCCAAGTGACACAAAAGATTGCTGAGCGAGAGATTGCATCTGACAGTTGTATGCTTGCATTGTGGTGTGGTCAAGACCATTGATTGAACAGTCATGTGTTTGGTAGTTTACATACAGTTTGATATTGTACAGAAAGTGACCTTTGAAAATTTCATTAAAGGGGGGCTTAAGCCCCCCTTTGCCCAAAGGGGGGGGGTCCATTCTCGTTTGTGTTGTTGTGCCGTGCCAAGCCGTGCTTCAGACTGTCCTACACTCGAGTTGATCACTAATTAGAGGCTCCGGCACCCTATCTCTTCCATCCCCTACATTTGCTGAAACGAAGGTGTCAGCAGATCGTTTGTTCTTTGATTGCCAAGGGCTTAGCCAACCCCGCTCCGTAGAAAGAGAGCACTGAAAGAGACGTTGTGCCTGTGTGTCTTCGCCCCCACAATGTTGAAAACGCGCCCAAGAAATGGCGCTTTTGTAGTAACAGACCCCAGAATGTCAGATATTCTCAGGGGCAAGATCAGAAGACTTTTCGGGACAACCCGATAACCGTTAGTTATAGACCAGTATAGCATCCATTGGCTAGTCACGACATGCGGCCAAGCAGACGTGGCGCACGCGCGCCAGGCACCATTGCAGGACATTGATCTCATCCATGCGGTCCTCTGCGATTCGGGATCCGATGGCCCAAGCATCCCCCGAAACCCACACTGGCAGGAAACGAATGCATGGGCCCCGGCCCGCTTCGTGGAACGCGGTGCGCCGGTTTCATGGCATGCCATGCACTGAAGCAATTTCATGGTGGGCTCCCGATTAATCGCAGAAATCTCCTGCTCGCAAGGGTTACATTTAATCGCAACGAGGCGCAACCAGTCTCGATGCTGTGCATGCTTTTCGCCCTGGACCGTTCCTGGAACATAATCCAAACAGGCTCAGATACCTTTGTTGTGCTGTACAGTTGCGCCACAAAATGGCTTTTCTTGACTGTTTGGCCCCCATATTGAATCTAAGAAACGACTTCGCAAAGTGGCCAGGAAAGAAGGTGAAGCGGATGCCAAAGGAGCTCCGAGAAGCCCTGCCGGTGCGACAGCTCGTCTGAGCACCTGGCTCTTTCTTGCTGCCTTCCACGGAGTGGCCCGCAACGCTCAAATTTATCATTCTTGGCTTCTAGATGCTCCTGAAGCTTCTGCGAGGTCACCCTCTCGGTGGCTGTAGAAACCACCCCCAGGTGTGATGTTGGTACCACCTGCAAGGGCTGGCCTTCAAAGGACCTCGTACGCAGGTATTGTCTCGATACCATACGATGCCCGTACTGAGAAAGGCGGTGGTCGACCATGTAACCAGAATCATAACTGGCCCCTGCAACCCTGAAATGACGTCGCAACTGTGCCAAAGATGCCACGTGAAGGTTGATCAACTCATCTGGCCATCCGCACCTCTTTGCAGCTTCGCCATATGCTTTGCTCAAGTCAGAAGACAGCAGTCTGTGTCTCATCATTCGTCATGGCCTCCTCCAAAGTGCACTGTTGTTCTCATGCTGAGTCTTCTGTGCTTCGGCATGCTTCGGCCCGGCAAGCTGCCGAAGATGTCTTAAGATAAGGGGGGGTGAAGATCTTTCTCGTCGGGCCTTTCCCCATGGACGATACAGGGTGGGTAAGACAGTAGTTGGACGTCCGTCTCTGGGTGTACGAGGGAAAGGCAGCTGGCCGGCCTTTGATTGCGCGGCACATTCGCACTAGCAATCTAGTGGAATCTATTGCTCTGTTCCAAACAATCCGAAGTACCAGAACCTGTGCCTCTATCTACCCTTGCGTGCAGTTTGACACCGTTTTGCCAATCTTCAAAAGGGAAGCCTGGGATGCCGAATGTCTGCGTTCGCGTCATACTCGAAACCCTCGAGCCTGATGTGCGTTGGCGCCTTCGAAACCGTGAAGCCAGAGATATTTGTCGGCAGTGGGGGGTAGAGGGTAGGGGGAGGAACAAGAACAAAGAGAAAACATTGAGGTTTTGAAGGGGGGGGGTTGGCGCCTCTCTAAACGGTAAAAAGTGAGATTTTTGAAATTGTTTTTCCTGGGGGCCCGAGAGGTAGGGGGCGGGGGGGGAGGAGGTTCGGGTGGAGATTTTTGTTGATTTTTTTTGGGGCGGGTTCGAAGATGGGGGAAAGTTTTTGGGGGTGGGGGGTAGGGCGCCTGCAATTCTCGAAATTGTTTTCGGGGTGGGGTGGGGGGCGGGCGTGTAGGGGTAGGGGAGGGGGAGGGGGGGTGAAGCCAATCGAATGGGCTTCTTGATCAGTTCCCTGTCTGTTGTTCCGACCTGCCGTGCTGATAGCACAGGACCTTCATTGCGTCCAAAGAAACCAGTTCGAAGTGGTTTCTGCTGTTGCCTAGTAGCAGCTAATTGAACCTTATCCTCAAAGCCCTGAACAAAACACCTCAAAGCACCATCCACGTCACCGTTTGAAAGTGCAACTTGAAACCTGCAAGTGTATGTGATAGGCACGGCTCCTCTTTAATCGCTGTATGCAAAGGCCTGAGTTGTGCAAGGTCACAAGGCACCTTTCAGGGTGCACCGTACAATCCTGGAAGCTGTGCAGCTGCGCAGCCGGCGCATTGCCCAGAATGAATCCAACCTCCACCTAGAGAATGCTCCTTGCTCCTTAGGTTACAGAGGGGGCCACTCCCCTCAAGTGCTCCATGTCTAGATCCGAGGTCCACAAAACCCATTGCAAGGCCTGTTCAGAGACATTTAGCCAAAAGACGATTGTTCTTGGAGGATGCCTCGCGGATCCCAGAGTGATTCCCGTAAACGTCAATCATTCGTACTTGCACTGGTCCAATATGACTGGTGCTGTCCGCCACTCCGACTGTTGCAAAATTTGCTGCATCTCAGGACAGGACCGACTAAGATCACGTTGTGGGTGTTTGGAAAAATTCGGTGGCCCCATCGCCTCCATTTTGCCACCTCTGCCGAGCACGAGAAACAGCTGTAGACTTGAGATGTCGGGCAGGGTGGCATACACACGTTCCTGTATAATCTTTGCTGCTGCTGCTGCTGCTGCTGCTGCTGCTGTCTCAGTCCAAATAACACAATCGCCCGTCATACTGAAATCCTGGGTATGTCTGCTTGCAGAGACAATGTTCCTGATTACGATTGTCCACCCAGCCTTGTTGCATGCCACTTATGAAGATCACCATCCCGAAGAACCCGCAAAAGCACACTAACCCAAGGTGCAACTCACCACGCCCTCCCTGGTCGTTTCAATATGCTTAGCAATAGGGGTAAGTGCTCGATGTTGGAGAAAAGTATGTAGGCAGCTGCTTCCTGAAGTTCTGAAGGATGCAGAAAATCAACCAACCGCTTTGCAACATAACGGAACCACATGCTCCACTGCCCGTTGGATTTCCGTTCTTGCTGATCGACCGGTGGTTGGGATTCTATGAGAGCACGGCTTGCACGAAAGCAGGGTCGGCGTCCGGAGCAGAATGAGGTGTGGCTTGCATGTGAAGGCAGCAGTTCTGACGTCATTTTCAATTCTGATTCTGATTAGCTTGTGAGTTCAAGTTTCGCAGCTCACGCATTGCTCAAGCATTGCTGGTGCCAGCAGACAGCCACGATGCTGACAGCAGTCCTTCGACCTTCGCTCAAAAACCAGTAATCCCAGACCCCGCCACTATGGGCTACGACTGGTAGCTGTTACCCTCGTAGCTGGTACCAGCTCTGAAGCTGCGTATGGCCAGGATGCACAGGGCCTTTAGATACAAAATAAGTCCCTGCGATGTCACAATGACACTGTGGTTCCAGTTGAAGGGGGTGTTGGGCGTTCGTAGAAGCACGCCGGCCTGCTGGCCCGCCGTGCTTGTTCGGTCGGCGTGTTGCGCAGTGCTTCATAGTGCTTCTGCCTTGGCCATGGTGCATGTGGTGGGTCCGAAGAACCATCTGAGGCGCCTTGCCTGCACTTTTCATAGTTGCTTCTTGCTTTTTTGCTTTTTTCTGGTGTGCAGTCTTCCCTCGCACGCTCCTGAACGCAAGCGGTGTCTGCTTTGTGTGTCAGGCTCTGGCCAGACGAGCCGGCCGAAGAGTGGCGCAGGCGCCCACCATGTTCAAGACCGTGTAATTGTTGAACTGTTGATGAACTCTGACACATCGAGTACCAACCCTCTGTCACTAGGGTGACTGACATATGGGTCATGTGAGGTCTATCCGGGATGTGCCTCTGGAGGAGAGGAGAACGCCAAGGCGCCATGAAGCCATAAAAGTCATGAAACCATGTCAATGTGACGCCTATCACTGAGTACTCTGTCGGCTGCCATGTCACATCGCGTGGTGTCCCACGCTTTGCAAGGTCATCAACCTTTCCGTCGGATGATGCGGTGACGTTCGATCCCGAGTGCCAGAAGCAGCTTGGCCGGGGCTCGCATCCAGGGTTCCAGAGTTTATTGCTTACCCCTTCCCAGTGCCTGCGAAGGATTGCCTTTCCCCCTTTTCATGAGGGGAGATGAGGGGAGGGAGGTGAACTGGGAGCGCGGACATATACAAGGTCATCAACGTTAATGTCGACCTCTGATTTCTAACCCTCCCCTGCCACGGATTCAATACCTCCCCGGGTCTGCTATTGACGGGGGCGGGGGGGCGGTTTCCTTTGTTTCTGATAGGACATTGAAAGCTCTCAACCGCGGGCCTTGCAGTCCCGGCAGTCTCCAGTTACAGGCCCACGCCCCTGCAATCAGCAAACGCCCAAAGCTGAAGCATTGATTGGAAGCAGACTTCTGAAAATAGCATCGTCCTGCAAACGGGTTCTGAACTGGGGGCGGGGGTTTATATTTGAGTCTCGGGCCTGAGGGATCTTGATTGAGGGGGATTTTTTTCGAATCTGAAGTCAACATTACTGTCAGATGGCACGGTGATGTTCGATGTTAAGTCTTATAAGTGTCAGAAGCAGCTTGGCAGAACTGGCAGACCGTCCCGATTCTTCGGGGGAGCCAATGTTTAAGAATGCCAAGGGGCATTAGTTCTTTCGGGTGTCCTCAATCCTGGTCGAACTGCTGGATAGGGGGATGGCTTGTAGCATCACTTCTTCGGATCACTTTGAACCTCGGACTAGCATGGGGCTCGAACTGAGGCGAAGTCGCAAAAGTGGTGAGAACACCCCGAGCACTGTGGATACCCCAGGGTCGCGTCGTCTGAGTGACCAGAGCACCACTGGCTCTGTGGAATCGCAGATGGAAGACGACGCAACCACACCATGCATCATTCAGTCGCAATACGACACTGAGATGCCAAGCGTGCGGCCTGGTTGCATACATGTTCTGTTGCAGGAAATACATACACTTACCTACTTGTGTGTTCAAGTTGGGCATGTAGCGGCCGATGTGGCATGAGTTTGTCCCTAAGGAAGCAACCCGAGGGGACTTCGTTGTTGGCCATGCTGTCGCCGGGCTGCAAAGGTTTTCTTGGAGATCACTCGGCTACGCACGCTAACGCCATCTGTGGACTCAAGCTTTCTGTCTGCCAGCAGGCATGTTAGCACATGTGAGCACTGCACAAGATGCTTGAACATGCTTAGGTCCAGCCGTGCTCCTTCCGGTTTCGAGCCCGGTGGCAATTGGCGCTGGTGTCTCGGCCGGAGACGACATGCATATGTGATCTGCGCAGGACTTGAGGGAACATGGGTAGCGCGGCAGGGTGTGTGACCTGTCACGGTCTGCAGGCTGAGTGCAGCGGAAGCTTGTGTCTCTACGTAGCTGTTGGGGTCAAAAGCTCGCTGGCGAAGTGATTTATCAAAAATGGTTCTCGTTGGATCCCTGTTGTCTCGGCAAGTGATCTGGCAATTTTTCAACCAAAGCATATGAATACCATCATCTGAATGGCTCACAGACAATCCTCACACATCCTCACATTCGGATGCCGGACGCTCGTCTTTCTTCGGTCGTGGGCGATACTCCCGTGCCAGCGGGGTACGAAAGAATGGGCAACCCATCCTCTGATTTCCCGATCTGGTTGGGTGGGTGGGACAAGCATTTTTTGCCACATCTTCTGGAGAGCCAGCGCGACTCTGGAAAACTCTCAATGCATGTCAGCACATGATGTGACAAAGTTGACAAAACTCTGTCTTTACAGAAAAAAGCACCACTACTTCGCAAGTTCTCTCGCATCCCTCCGTGCCCGCCGGCACCGCAACGACTAGTGTAGAGAGATCCGTCAGAAAAGCTGAAGCATGTGACGGTTTGTTTTCCACACCTCTTAATCAGAACTTCAGATTGCAAACGCTCGGCCAGCATCGGCCAGAAACCGCAGAGTGTGCTAACTTGCCCATCCGAGGTGCGCGTATGTGGAAATGGAGTTTCTGTGGCAGGCGCTGCAAGAAGCTGAGAAGCGCGCCCAACAGTTCAAATCCAAGCCCCTCGGCAGCGAAGCCTTTGCTTGCCCGAGCTTCTATGCGAAGGCACGTCGGCATGACTGTCAACAACTGACACCCGGATCATCCCCGATCCTATCACTTCGTATATCCTGGTTTCATCGTTTCCGAATGGTGACTTAAGTGAGGCGTGTGGGGGGGTCACAGGTCAGAAAGGTCAGAAGAAGCTAGCTGACGCTTCATCGTCAAGCTTCGGCCTTCACCGCACACGCAAGGAATTTTTGGTTGAGTTTTTGGATCCCCGCCCACGCCGCCCCTCCTCAAAGGATGTTTTTTTTGCAGGCCCACCCTGCTGGACGGCAACTGTGTGTCTAGGGGCTGTCGTGCCGGCCCCCTGCGTAAGTCCCTCAGAAATCCTCAGAAGCACCTAGAGCACTGGGTTCAAATCTTAGGGTCCCACATGAGGTATGAGGACGCGTGCCACAAGCACGTCGAGCTGGAGACCGCAAACAATAAGCTGACGGATCTGGTCGCAGCGCTGGAGCAGGAGCCCCTTTGGTGTGAATCAGAGTCTCTGCCACCTTTTCAATCGCCGGGCTTTGGAAAAGGAACATCTCCGCTTTTTGCAGTTAACTCGCTTGGGTTTGTTTAACTTGCACGGGTTCGTCTAACTCGCATGGGCTCGTTTGCGGTTACGTCATGCAACCGCCGGCAGAAACCAGCAGACTGCATCTCCATACTTGCAGCTCTAAGAGTGTTCTGAAGAGCAGTCCCGGAACTGGTAAGCACTGGAGCAGTGGAGAGTGGCAGGCGAAGAAAGAAGTTTCTGCTGGGCCAAAACGCGCCGATCCGAGCGTAAGACCAACCCCGCAAGGGCACAAATCTTGCCTCGAGTTGCACAGTCCCGCGGCCATCCACAGCCCCGGTACAGGGTTTTGTAGCTGGCGCGGCCCTGTACCAGCCGAGGCTTTGCCAGAGAGATGACGAGCTGCTTGATGCCAAGGACTCCTTGATGTCCCAGTCCGTACAGTGACTTGGTTTGTGGTTCTCAAGTTCAATGGCATTCGGGGTGTTTACAGCACGAAGCCCAGGTGCCGTGCCCTCCAAGAAGAGTTGCAGCAAGCGAGTGGGGCATGCAGCGGCGCTCGCTGCAGTATGGAGAAGCTCCAACACGAGCTGCTTGCCTGACTTGTACCCGACATTTGCCAACATGGTGACGGCTCATAGAGCACTGGCTTGCGCAATGGTGTACACGTCGTGCACGCTGACCCCTTGCAGTTCCGCGAGTTGCAGTTCCGCGAGTTGACGTCAGACCCAGGTATGAAGGCTCATGTCAACGACTGGAATGGGCCGAGACCCAAAACAACGAGCTGACGGTGCTGGTGGCGGCCCTGCAGCAACAGCCACTTGGGTGCGAAGCAGAGCAGTCTTGTAATATCCTTTTATCTCCATGGCCTCTCCAAGATGGTTTTGGAGGGAACATCTCCGAGATTTCACAATGAACCTGTATGAAGAGTCCCAGCATTGGGAAGTGCTGCGCGACAGGGGAACTAAGAGCCGTGCAGGCATTTGGCCTGCCTCCTTATCCAAGAATCAGAAGCCATTCTTAGCAGAGGCGAGTGGTATGAATGGCCTCATAGGTTTATGGTTCTCATCGAGGTTCTGCAGTGAGTGTGAAGTTTTGTGCGGCAGGGCATCACGACGTGTTTGTGCAAGTGGCCGAAGTGGCCCAGGCCCTCAAGGACTGGTCGTTCCGAGCGTAAGCCCAACCCCGCAAGGGCACAAATCTTGCCTCGAAGAGTTGCACAGTGGCCATCCACAGCCGCGGTACAGGTTTTGTAGCTGGCGCCAGCTCGGCCCCGTACCAGCCGAGGCTTTGCCAGAGAGATGACGAGCTGTTTGATGCCAAGGACTCCTTGATGTCCCAGTCCGTACAGTGACTTGGTTTATGGTTCTCAAGTTCAATGGCATTCGGGGTGTTTACAGCACGAAGCCCAGGTGCCGTGCCCTCCAAGAAGAGTTGCAGCAAGCGCGTGGGGCATGCAGCGGCGCTCGCTGCAGTATGGAGAAGCTCCAACACGAGCTGCTTGCCTGACTTGTACCCGACATTTGCCAACATGGTGATGGCTCAAAGAGCACTAGCTTGCAAAATGGTGTACACGTCGTGCACGCTGACCCCTTGCAGTTCCGCGAGTTGACGTCAGACCCAGGTATGAAGGCTCATGTCAACGACTGGAACGGGCCGAGACCCAAAACAACGAGCTGACGGTGCTGGTGGCGGCCCTGCAGCAACAGCCACTTGGGTGCGAAGCAGAGCAGTCTTGTAATATCCTTTTATCTCCATGGCCTTTCCAAGATGGTTTTGGAGGGACCATCTCCGAGATTTCACAATGAACCTGTATGAAGAGTAGTCCCAGCATTGGGAAGTGCTGCGCGACAGGGGAACTAAGAGCTGTGCAGGCATTTGGCCTGCCTCCTTATCCAAGAATCAGAAGCCATTCTTAGCAGAGTCGAGTGGTATGAATGGCCTCATAGGTTTATGGTTCTCATCGGGGTTCTGCAGTGAGTGCGAAGTTTTGTACGGCAGGGCATCACGACGTGTTTGTGCAAGTGGCCGAAGTGGCCCAGGCCCTCAAGGACTGGTCGTTCCGAGCGTAAGCCCAACCCCGCAAGGGCACAAATCTTGCCTCGAAGAGTTGCACAGTGGCCATCCACAGCCGCGGTACAGGTTTTTGTAGCTGGCGCCAGCTCGGCCCCGTACCAGCCGAGGCTTTGCCAGAGAGATGACGAGCTGTTTGATGCCAAGGACTCCTTGATGTCCCAGTCCGTACAGTGACTTGGTTTATGGTTCTCAAGTTCAATGGCATTCGGGGTGTTTACAGCACGAAGCCCAGGTGCCGTGCCCTCCAAGAAGAGTTGCAGCAAGCGCGTGGGGCATGCAGCGGCGCTCGCTGCAGTATGGAGAAGCTCCAACACGAGCTGCTTGCCTGACTTGTACCCGACATTTGCCAACATGGTGATGGCTCAAAGAGCACTAGCTTGCAAAATGGTGTACACGTCGTGCACGCTGACCCCTTGCAGTTCCGCGAGTTGACGTCAGACCCAGGTATGAAGGCTCATGTCAACGACTGGAACGGGCCGAGACCCAAAACAACGAGCTGACGGTGCTGGTGGCGGCCCTGCAGCAACAGCCCCCTTGGGTGCGAAGCAGAGCAGTCTTGTAATAGCCTTTAATCTCCATGGCCTTCAGCTCACATCTCCGACATTTCCCAACATGGTGATGGCTCAAAGATCACCAGCTTGCAAAAGGTTTGAAACTGTTGAACATCCGCGTTGACCCCAGTTCTGCATGCAGTTCTGCAGTTCTGCGAGTCGACATGAGACTCAGGTATGAAGACGTATGTCAGCAGTTGCAAATGCTCGAGGCGAAGAACGATGAGCCGGGTGTGCTGGTGGCAGCCCTGGAGGCTTCAAAGGAGCAGCTGGAGCAGCAGCCGCTTGGGTGGCCAATGCAATCCCGTAGCCAGCCCAAACTGGATTCCTGTTCTTGTCCCTGGGAATCCACTTAGATCCGGAGCTCCAACGGTGGCAAGCCCATGCCGGCCAATCCCATGCCGCGCCGGGGGGGCGGAGGCTGGTCGTGGCTGGTCATGGCCACTCTCACCCTCGAGTGCTTGATCGGAGTCAGCATCCTTGCACATATTTGCACATGTTTTGGACGGCGTCATCCTAAGCTTTGTGCACTGCGACTTTGTTGCAGCTTCTGCCCCCGGCTGCAGGAGTTGAGCGAGGGGGCCTGCGGGGCATCGGATGCCGAGACTCTGGACCCGTCCCGCCTCATTCTGCAGCTTGGCTGGCAGGGCACCTGCGGAAACCTCTTGTGCAAGTCCAGATAGTCCAGCCGGCGATGAGCGAGCAAGACGCAAGGCCCGGTCTGCTGCACCACCTTACCGTGCCTGGCCTGCGACATCAGCGGCTGACGATGATACGCTATGAAAGGTAATTCGTTTTTAGGAGGTTGGGGGGGCTTGTTTACACGGTTCGAAGTTTGTAGGAATTCGATATGAGAGTATTGGCCCCGGAGTCCGTTACACTAGGGCATCCGGGCGGGGCCCTAAGGGTTCGGGAAGCCGATGAAGTACCGCACCCTGAGCCTTAAAAACCCCAAAGCAGCAGGTTACCCCATGTAACCCCTGGGCCGTAGGCCGCAGACTTTCTTGATTCTGGAAAACATATACAAGCCCTACAAGCCGCAAACCCACAACCCACCCTAAGTCCGAATGCGAAACCCTAGCTCAAAAGCACTTGTGCCGAAGCATCGCCTGTATGAGCTTGCAGTTGGATGAGATTCTGGCGTGGCGCGTGACATCGCGGGAAACCCGAAGTGCCAGAGCAGGGGCCATTATTTGTGCACGTTAGCTGCTGCGGGAAGACTTGGAAGCTATCTGATGCCCATCTGCACTAGCCTGAGGTCTTGCTACAGCACGTTGCCGAAATGGGTCGGTTGGACAGGCACGCGTGGTCTTCTGCGCAACAGCCAGTTGCATGCCGACATGCAAGCAGGAGTCGGGAGTGGTGCTGTCATTCAGTCAGTCAGTCAGAGTGAGTGAGTGAGAGTGAGTGAGTGAGTGAGAGTGACTGAGTGAGTGAGTGAGAGTGAGTGAGTGAGAGAGTGTGTATGTGTATGTCTCTGTGTGTGTGTGTGTTTGCTTCCTTGCAGGTCCGAGTCCATTCTGGATTTTGCTGACAAGATCAGACGGGCTTGTCAATCTCCTGGCGCCGTCTATGTGGAAGCGCGTGATGTCGAGGATATGAAGTACTTTGAATGCCTCTCGATCTGTTATCAGCACTCTCTATACAGAGCAGGTTTCTTTAGTGAGTGCCGTCGACGGTTGTGCGCTCTCAGGCCGGTGGTGGTGCACGAAGCTGGCGAGCGCAATAAAGAAACCTTTCGCAGAGACTGATGTGCGTCACATCGTCGGCTCAAACCTTCGATACCTGCTTGGGCAGTGTCGCAGTGCAGATGCCTTGGTGAGGAAGTCCGCGCACTACATTCTTCGCCATCACGGGAGCGGTGGACTCCCTGCTGTGAAGCAACTGATTGCGGAAGCCATGCTTTGCCTGATGGAAAACCTCCTGCCAGAGTCCGGGAAAATCAGTGGCGAGGCCTCCAAGCAGTTTGTTCTGTGCACGCAGCATCTTGGAGACGTGCTGCGCGCTCTGGAGAAACCGCAGCGTCAGCGGTGGGCGTCTTTGCTGGTCAGATTCATCCATGAACAGCAGAAATGCCACAAGGAGCTCATCCACAGCCTGAAGCTCCTTTGGAGAGCTGATGACGATCCCAACCGAAGCTACCCAGAAGCAGAGCAGCACCTCTGGGCTTTCGCAGAGACCGCCAGCACAGACGTGCGCGGGGAATTTGCTGATCTCCTTGTGCGTTGCTGATGTGAACGGGAAAATTCAGCTCATGGGAGCCTGTGTTCAGTCGAAGCTTTCAGGGATTGAAGGTGTCACGGAAATCGGGGGGTAGGGCGTTTTTTGATTCGGCCCCCCCCCCCCCCACCTGCCTCAGCTTTAGCCCCCCCTTTCATTATCTTCAACTTATGCTGACATACAATACTGCCTCGCATCTCTGAGCGCAGATCAGAAATCAGGAGAACATTACGGTTAAGTGGAAGCAGAGCCTTTGAATGCCTGAAGAGCTGATTCAGAGTGCTGTGCCAATGACAAGAAAAAGGGGATTAAGGCACATACCTTGAAGTAAGTATCGGAGAAAACAACTGGTTTGGGGTCGCCAGCTTGCTTGCACGGGTCGGGGCTCGGCCTTGCCAAAAGTGTTTGGTGGGAGCCTTCTCGGTTCAGAAGTGGGTGGAGCAAGCTCCAGTGTGTCATGATCATGAAGATGGCACGGCAACATGCGTAGTCCCCAATGCTGTTGCTTTCTCACTCCATGCAGTTGTTGTGACAATCGAAAGTTGTTTGACACACTTCCGTTTTCGCTCCAAACCACGTGACATGTGATCTCATCTTCCAGGTCTTTAGATGTATATATATATATGTATATGTGTTCGTATATATATATATATATATATATGTATAATTTTATATGTATACACATAGATGTGTAGAGGAGTCTCAAGTAGCTCTTGTAGAGTTGTGCTTTATGTTCTCGAGCGGCGCATGATGCATGCGATGTTGAGATGGCTGTGCTGGTTGAGCAGCGCGGCAGCTCAGAATGCCATCATACAAAGCGTGCCACGGACTGTGCACACGAGGGTCGGAATTATGAACGACTCGCCGACTGCAGGGCCATGGGTCGTTTACGAATTAAGACTCTACTATTCGGCAAACTGTGACCCAGCAAGCCGGCTAGTTCCCTTCTTCGCAGATGTTTACCACTCTGGGACGCATCGCGAAACTGAATTCGAGACAATAGGGTCCAACGCGTTTGACGGAGCGCCATGGACAAATTGGACATCTGATTGCCGCGTGAATTTGGGTGGATGTGAAGCCATGACAGTCGGCCTAGGCGCCGACATTACCTCTTCCAGTGGCTATGAAGCTGCAGTGTTGAGAAAGGATGACTTATGGAATGTCACGGGGCCATTGTTCGATGCCATCACGGTCAAATGTTTCATGATTTGGCAAAGCAGTGACCCCAGGTACAAGTGCAATGATGTAGCCATTGTTAGGGGTTATCCAGATCGCAACTCCTATACCTTCGAAAGCGTTCAAGTATTCCATGGCGTAAGTGGCGGGGGCTGGTCAAGGCGCCCAGCAACTTTGAACACGCTGTGGCGTCTAAAGAACTTGGAGGTGACCATGGGCACCTGGAGTCTTGCCGAGTTGCGGTTCTATGAGGACGATTTGTGCACGTTTCCGTTGGACGGACTAGCTTTCTCCATTGGGAGTGGTGTCCCCCTCACAGAGGCTGATATCAATGCCTTTGACAACAACGTCACAAGCATTTGGACCGCCAAGTGTGATCCGGTTCCCGGGTCCAGAGCAGCAGAGATCTGGGGTGATGGTTTTCAGTTCCATGGTTGTGAACCTGACCAGGCCTACATAGGTCTTGAGTACCAGGAGTATGTGGAGGTAAGATGTATCCGCCTTTTCCAAAAGGCCCCTCGTGACATCTCAGAACGGGAGCAGCGGCGATCTTGGTCGGGAGGCTTTGCGTTGCAGAGATGGTCTGGGGAAGAGTGGGTAGTCACGGAGCAGCTTTGGGATCCTAACTACACTTCCTATGGAGGCTTTGCCCCCACGATTGAGTCACCATTTCTTGGCAATGCCCCAGGTGTTTGGGAAGACTTGCGTCCACCGACCTACTCATGCTGGCGCTTGATGAACGACGATTACACTCGAGGTCAATGGACCATCTTGGAGCTAGAGTTCTCAGTGTCAGAATTCTGTGAGGATTTGCCGGATCAGAAGATCAGAGGCTTCCCGCTTGCCATGCAAGGCCCCGGGAATTTTGCCAATCGGCATGCGTTCGATGGTGACCTCCGGCAGGACGTAGTCTGGCGATCAAGTTGCACGCAGGGTCCAGGTGGGGACTCTTGTCTTCCTGGTGAGGCATGGCTTGGATTGTATGCACGTGGCTCGCAACCTGAAGTCAAGTGTTTTCGCATTCTCCAGCGGCTCGCCTGATTCACTGCGGGTGTAGGCATAGGCGAGCTTTGCCAAGCAGGATAGGGTTGGCAATGGTCTCAGGCATGTGGCTGTGCCCCTTTAACAGGCTTAGAAGGTGTAGGAAAAACTCTCCTAAAACGCACTGACTCATGAAGAAACGAGGTAGCCTTCTAGCAGCTTCCAACAAACGTATCCCTTCGTTTGCCAGGTCGAAAGAGCTTGCGGAGCAGTCGGCTTTTGTGATGTTGGGAATGTACGTCAATGGCAATTGGCAGCTGCACAGCTACCACAGGGAGATAGGAGGTGGCACGTGGAATCGGCGACCGGCACCTGCATGGACTCTTTGGCGAATCCGAAACAACGAGGCGATTGCAGGTCAGTGGCGGATCCCGGAAATCCATGCGTATCGCGACCCTCTTTGCCTCGTGGACATGACGCCAGGAAATCCAATTGCTTCGGGCTACTTCATATCAGAGGCCCCGGCAGCTGCAATGGACAACGATGCCACTACCTTCTGGACGGCCTGTGCAAACTGCAATGAAACACGGAAGTACTGGATTGGAGTGGAGCTTCCTGCGAATGCTGAAGATGCTCAGGCCGAAGAGCTTTTTATACGCTGCTTCAAAGTCTGGCAGAGTGAGCAGATGAACGAGCAGATGGTTAGTGCACAGGTTCAGATATGGAACGGAGACATCTACATCATGTCACCCATAACCAAAACAGGTTCGCTCCATGAATTGGGCGGAGGCGTTTGGTCCAGACCTGCAGCAAGCTTCATGACTAGGTGGCGACTGGTGCCAACTGTGGTAGAAGATCGCAACTGGCGTCTGCTTGAGCTGGAGCTCTATGCTGATTCTGAGTGCAGACATCGACTGCCAATGGCGGGTTCTGCAGGTGGTGGTACCACCGTCCTAGCTTCAAGCTACACACCCTTCGTGACCGGCTTTCGGCGTTCAGAACAGGCAAAGCTGTGGTCAGAGGCCGAACTTGTCACAGATGGCGACGCCGAGACCGGCCTGCTGTTGGAACATATGCCGAACAAATCCCGTGAGGCTTACTTCGGCATAGACTTCCTGTCCGGCTCAGTGTGGGTGAGGTGCGTGAAGTTGATGCAGGGCTCCACGCCGCTGGAGAGTGTGCCGTCATTGACCTTGCAACTTTGGGATGGTTCGCAATGGCGACATGAGGACCCTGAGCTGTCAGAATTTGAAGTCAATTTGAATGGCCTAGGCGGAGGCGGGTGGCAGCGAAGGCCAGCGGAGCCGGGCTCCATGTGGCGGGTGGAGAATGCAGACTTTGTGCCACAGGGTTGGGCGCTCTACGAGGTGGAGTTCTTCCAAGGGGCGGACTGTGCGGGAGGCAAGCTGACTGGGGAGGTGATCGCTAGCGGCTACGCTCCTCCTCACGACCAGAGGGGGCCCGCCTTTGGGGTGGATGGCAACACGTCCACAATATGGATGTCCCAGTGCTGTCCGATGGACCAGCGCCCCCTGGGCTTCGAGACGGTGGTACCAAAGGTGGGCTGTGATGAGGGCCATGCGTGGATCGGATTGGATCTTGGAGCCGGTTCGTCTGCACAAAGCATCAGATGCCTCCGAATTTTTCAAGCTGGCTTTGAGCTAATGCAAAGCCCGTCGGCCTATGTCTCCAAGTGGGACGGCACAAACTGGGTCCGCTCTTGGCGCATGGATGGCCTAGGAGGCAGTGCCTGGAACAGGAGGCCAGCGGCTGGCAACACGATGTGGCGACTTCTGTATAGGTCCAGGAAAGATGTGCCATGTCCACAGCAGCTATCCCGCCTTGTACAGCGACCATGGGGAGTTGCGGATTTGAAGTTCTTCAGTGACGACGCCTGTGAAGTTATGGTGTCCGGAGGAACTCCGATTACTTCTGGAGGATTTGACACCTTCCAGCCATCAGCTGTGGATCAGCCATCATATGTCACAAGTCGAATGGTTGATGACGACAAGCTTACAACTTGGGCTGCCAACTGCAGAACAGGGTTTCATTACGTAGACACAGATTTGACAAACTGCACAAATGCTTGGGTGGGCATGCAATGGGCCGCGGCACACGAGATTCGATGTGTGTCATTGGTTCAGTCGCGCTGGGAGTCTGCCAGGTGTTGCGACGCCGCAGATGAGCTCCTGTTGCAGCGCTGGAATGGCTCCGACTGGATTGAGGCATCCTGGTTCCGAGATCCTCCGAAGCCGGCCGTGGCAACAGCGACCAACATCCGGGAGCCAGCGCACCTTGGTGCCGAGTTTCGCAACGTGGGCGAGTGCCCTTCCAGGCTCAGTGAGAAGCGCATGTTTGAGGAGACCATCACAGAAACACGCACTCGCAAAGACAGCGAGAAGTGCATTGTTCAGCTCACTGGTGCTGTGACCTTGCTGGCCGAGCCATATTGCATCAAGCATCCCCAATGTGTGGATGTTTTTGGAACCGCAGGGAGTTGTTGTCCCATAGGCGACCTCATTGAAAGCAGAAGTCGCTGCTGTTGCAGTTTCCTCGGTTCGGAGCCAATCTTTGCCGATGAAGTCGACTTGAGTGACCCACGTGAGAAGTTTAGTTTTGAGTATGCGACAATTTGGATGTCCAATCTTCTGCCCTGGATCGGGCTGGCAGCCACAATTGCTTTATATCTTGCCGCAATCCTGTTGCCTGCTGACGTGGAGGACCACGCCAGAAACTGGGTTAAGAGCGACATCGAGGAAATCTCGAGGCCTGGTCGGAGGCGTCTCTTCTGGAAGCGAGTTGGAGTGATTTTAGCTTGGCCGCTCTTAGCGTGGAGGACTTTCCTAGCAAGCAGCAAGTCTCAGACGAGCAGGCTTGTTCGGTGGTTTATTTTGCCAAATGGCCGACTTCCGAAGCCTTTGGAGCTGTACCGATCACTGCTTTTTCTGGTTTTCGGGGCATTGCTTAGTGGCATGGCGCCTTGGCTCCTCTTGGGAGCAATCTTCGGTGAAATGATGATCTGGCTTGCGCTCCAGCTTTGTCAGGTGATCCGCTACTTCCAGTCGCCCTTTGACCCCCTGGACCTCAGAGATATGCACTTGCGCCAAGAGGTCTCCAAGGTCATGGTCCGAAATGATGAGGTGATGGACACAGCATATGACATCGCAGCTGGCGTCGCCACAACCTGTGTATTCGGTCTTGCCTATTTCGGAAAGTTCATATTTGATCTTCTCATTGTCCGTGCGCAAATGTTGTCTTTCGAGGCCATCGAGAACATCGAAGCCGACCGGGTAGTCGAGCTATTCCCAGGCCTTCTGGAAACACTGCGTGAGCCAGCGATGCTCATCTACGAGATTCTTTTCTGGGCAAGTCAGCTGATCTCCTTGCTGCTTGGAAACTTGGTTGGAATCCCGCTCTGTGAAGGTTCCACTGCGCTCGTCGGCTCTGTGGCGCTTGTCATGATCTTGTACGGTGCTTCCCAGTGGCTCAACTACGATCTATTCGGGCTCTTCGTCGCTGCAAGGCAAGTCGTGAAGGCGACTCGTCCAGAGTGTCAGCGGATCTTGGCTCAATCGCTCATATTGCTTTGCCTCGGTGCTTCCTTTGCTGCGGTGCAGATGACAATGGTTCTTTTCACCCGTGCGCTTTCATTCGCAAATCCATTTGTGGCATCCACTTGGGTTTGTGGATATGATGACACCCTTGCCATCTTTGTGGGCCGAATCCTGCTGTCGGGCTCTTCGGTTGTGGGCTTGATTTTCGTCTTCCTGTGCGTGAACGGGCATTTCGTTGGCCAGGACTACATCACGGAGAGAGTTGCGCAGTTTTTGGGAATAGATCTGGCAGCTTTAGATCCCGATGGAACTGGGGACGAAGGGGGGATGTTCCGCTTCGATGTCTTCGGGGCCGCGCTGCCCACGTTGTTCGGTGTGTGGTGGGATCCCTGGAACATTGATGCCTACTTGGTACGCGAGCGCGCCCACGTCTACTCCATGGAGCTCCGTGATCCCCAGGCTTGCAAGGTTTGTGACAAGATCCACGTCAAATATGAGCTCATGATGACAGCTACGGGGCGAACCGTTAGTGCAGCTGTGCAGATTGTTCCATACGGAGCTGTCGTTGCCAAGGCTTGCGAGTATCTCAACGACCCTCCTCTGGTTTACATCGGCAATAAGATGTCATGCTTGAAGGTCCGCAGGATCGAGAGATATGCGACGCGTGGTTCCAAGAACCTGATCATCAAGGGCTACTTGCTCCTTGCCGAGATTCTGGCTTATTCCATCGAGTACCTGGTTCCTTTTTTGCGGCGTGTGACCAGTGTGGCCACCCTGGTATATTTAATGATGGGGACTTTCACGCTGACGGAGCAGAACTTGGTGGGCCAAGGCACGACGGTGATTCTGGCAGGATTCGGTTTGTCCTTCGTCAAGGCGTCCTTGGAGAAGCTGGTCCCGTCGATGCTGAGTTATGGCTTGGGCGGCGTCTACTTTGCCCTCAGCAGAGCCGAAGGGGTCGTGTCTCGCGCTCATGAGGTGCCAAGGACCATCACAGGTCAGATGCTTTCTGGAGCCACGGCATCAACATTGGTTGCTGGCTGCATTCTGGCAGCTGGCTGGGGTTCAGTAGTGTCGGCCGTGATCGTGGGCTCGTGTGTGGGGTACGCGTTCAGCCTCCTGACGTTGCTGGTCAACGTGTTGTTTGAACAGCCATCCCCCGACATTGATGACCCACCCACCAGAAGCATGTTTCAGCTCCTCATCAAGCTGCTGTACTCCGTCGTCTCCGGCGGGGCGCTGGGAGTTCTTGCAATCTATGCCGGGGAGGCGGGCTTGGCCGCGGAAGGCAGTGTGACAGATGCATACGAATTCCAGAACACTCTGGGAAGCCGGTGGACCTTTCGGGGCAGCATCGGGCTGGGTGTGTTTGCCATTGCGATGCAATTCATCACTTTCCGCCTTATCCTTGTTGAGAACCTGCCTCCTGTCATTAAGGAGAGTGTTGATCCGCCATACAATTGGCGAGACTCGCCGACATGGGTGGTGCTTCGAACCGTTCAGTTCTTCCCTGGCTTCACAGCTATTCCTACTTGCACGCTCGTGGCAGTGGTGCTTCGAGATTTTTTGCAGTCTGGCCTTCCTTTCTTGACTTCTATGGAACAGCAGTTTGTGATGACAGGAGCAGGAATTGTATTGGCAAATGTTTCTGCTTTGACAGTCCACAGGCTGCTTGGCAGTTTGCCCCAACTTCTTGGCTTCTTCTCTTGCATCTTGGCTGCTTGTCTACTCTGTCCCTGGAATATGCTTTTCGGTGCCTTCACTGCCGTCTGGATAGGTGTTGCCATTGGGAGCATTCTTGAGGAGGTGGTTTTGCGCCGGGCCTTGCAGAAAGAGATCAGGCGACGAGAGGCGATGGGTGAAGATGACATGGAGTTCTTCGACCAGAAGCGCGCAGCTTGCATGGAAGAGTGGGAGAAATTTGAAGAAGAGGAGCTGCCACCTCCTCCTCCCGAACCAGACCGGCAAGACAAGCTGAACGCGTACTTGCAGATTGCAGCGGCAGGTGGCAGTGCAATTGAGTACGCGAGGGAACTCTCAGCTGCCCAAGAGTATCGAGAGGAGGAACCGGTGGAGTCCGCTTCTGATGCTGAGATGGCAGAGAACGACAGTCCAGAGCTTCACGACGATGGCCACCTGCAGATAGAGGAGCGATCAGTTTCAGGCATGATGAGAGAGAGTGAGAAGTGGGGAGTTGACTTGAGCAGGTAGCAGTGGAAGTGTGGGCGCAGCTTGTGACGTGTGCTGCCAGGTCACGGCACAAAGGAGACACTTCCAGTATGGGATGCGACATCAACGCCGATGTTGGTTGAAGATGAAGCCTCTGTTCAGCAGGCATGGTCCTCCAGCACCTTTGCGTCATTGCACATGTCAGTTCTAGTTGCTAGTTCTGGTATGTTCTGGTCCAGGCCTTCTCCAAGGACTACAATGACCAGAGGCAGGAGACAGAGGTTGCTCGGCTGCTAAGGAAGAGCGCTGTCGACCAATACTTTGGCGTGCTTCAGAGGGGCACAGTGACGCAGTGCGAGAGGTTCATGCCGAAGTCGAGCCGGCTGCCCTGCATGCGCTCCGAAACGTCGAGGACGTGGAGCCCTCAGGGTTCGGAAAGGAGAGGAACTTCTTCAGAGATGCATCATGTGATTTCAGGCGGAGCAACCGTCGGCCCCAGAGATAGATACGCGAGACCTCTCCAAGAGCTGCAAGCTCAGACATTCCCGGTTTTGTGCCTTGGATACATTGCCCCTTGCTACAGGCTCTATGGAGCCGGAGCATATCACAGAGCGTCTCCTGGAAGGCACAGAAACGAGATGAGATGAACCACTCAGGGATCGCTGCCTAGTGGTGCCTGTGACAGGTCCTTCCGAGGAGGCGCAGGAGCTCCGAGGAGGCTCGGTGCTTTCGGACCAGCGCTTTAACCGGTGTGGACGATGTACAAAACGCTGTTGAAGCTCAACGCGAAACGTCTGGACCTGTGACATCGGTCTGTTTGATGGAGCAGGTGACCTTGCAGAGACGGCGGGCATGCCTAAACACGAAGAACCTGGTGAGTTGCCAATGCAGCTGGCATTGACAAGGCCATCCACTTACACAGCCCAACAGCTCGTTTGGGTTAAAGCTGTTCGGGAACAAGCCTACACAGAGTAGTCCTTGAACATGCTGCATCCACTGGGCCCTGAGTCCTGGACCGGCATTGTCGCAGCGGTCACGTGACTTCTCGACGTTCTCGACACCGCAACCCTCCAGCCGAACCCGGGCTGCTGTGAATCTTGAGGACCAGTAGCACAACCGTTGTAAGCCTCCCGCGATGTGAGTAGGGGGACCCGGGCCCTTAGGCCAACCACACAAGCTTGTGCCTTGCCGTGATACAACTTGGTGCTGCCAAAGCCTGTCGGGGCAGGATGGCTTTGATTTCAGCCGAGAGATGGTTGATATGGATGATTTGCTAACTAGCAAATCCGAGAGTCATCGCCCTTCGAAGGCAACTTCTATGAGTCTCAGCTGCAGGTGAAACTTCAACTGGGAAGTCCACGTATCTATCCAGAGGATGCGAAAGCACGCTGTCGGCACTCGCGCAGCTTCGCCTATGACTGCTGAGGCGCTCGGTGACCACCACAACTACGCAACCAGCTCTTCCCGCTCCACAAGCAAAGAGCGCTGTCTTTTGCACTGCACTGGAAAGGGTCAAAAGGGTCCAAAAAGGGTCAAGCCCGCTTGCCTTGAAGGCTCCGACGTCTCCAGTCGGCATGGACATCAATCCAGGCCTCAGGAGTGGGCGCCCCGGTTCTTCCTGGCTTCATGGATCCTTGCCATCGACCCTTAGCTGTTATGATTGTCAGGCATGCGCCCACAACAACAAGACCTTTGGACGAGGACCCGTGGCCGACAACCTCCAACGGCTCCTTCACTGATTCTCAGATGCAAGGTGGAAGCGTTTTGTTCTGCTTGTCCCGGGGCACGTGCCAGCTTGACATGCTTCTGTTTCGTGTCAGAAAGCAGTGGAGAAACCTGCAAGGAGAGACATGGCGCACCAAGCCCAGTCAAGCTACCAGGCAAAGGCTGCGATGGCCCGCAGGCACGCACCAATACCCCAGGGGGGACGGGTCGCCCATGCACAATCATATGGACCAGAAATTGATGAACAAGGTTGTGCTCACAGGACAAGTCGCTATAGCTGAGAGCATGTTGTCGAGGTGTTCCATATTCGCTGGGTTTGAGAACTGACAAGAGATCTGCTGTTCGTGCCTGCGCTGCCTTTCCGTCAGCCCTTGGCAGCACTCTTTTTTCTCACGGCTGTGAACTTGCCTCGTTCGGTGCTTGTCTTGACTGCCTCGAGAGGTCTCGCCAGTGACAGCAGTGACAGCCTGAGGTTTGCAAGTTGCAGTTCAGTGTCTTGAGACGTACAGAGTCTACTGAATTCGGACTCAGTGTTATGGCATTCTTTCGCACGCATACGTTTTCGCGCGTCTCGAAGGTGACGCAGCAAGTTAGTCCGTCAATGTCATTGCCGCTTTCCGTGACGTCCTGCCAGCGGCTGCAGGTTGACTAGATAATGCATATCGGCCGCAACCGGCATTTTCCATTCTGGCACATGTGAAGCATGTGGCATGAACCAGTAGTCGTCTCACTATCCAACCTCTGCCACACCGTGCATGTCTCGAGAAACACAAATCGTCAGCTGTCATTCAGTTTGTGAACACACCTACATTCGCTCACATGTGAAGCGTGTTGTGCTCGGACAAGACTCAAGCTCGAATCTGCTCAAGTAACGCGTCCAAAGCCGACGCTCCAAGTCCCAGTGCGCCAGCGCGTGGTTTCTGCGGCGTCATGGGCTGCTGCAACTCTGCGTGCTGTCAGTTTTCCACGGTAGACTCCGAGGAGCCTAGGCCCAAGATGCCGTGACTACAGCAAGAATCGTAAGCTGTAACTTTTCGAGGAGATGCGGCTCACATGTCGAGAGCGCATCTTGCAGTTTTTTGCCGGTTTGACAAATTCTTTTTTGTTCTCTTCGAAGGTCTGATGCCTCTTCGAGTACGGCATCAGGCCCCAGTCTCAGCAATGATGTTTGCGATGGTTTTTCGGCAGCCGACTTGCTGTCAAGGACTTCTCAACGTAAATGAAGCCACTGTGGAAGAGCTCATGTCCCTGCCTGGAATTGGCAGGAGATGGTGAATGCTGGGAGCTGCGCATGCGCTAGTGCAACTGGCAGCGTTTCGATGAGTTTTTGGCTCTCGCAGGAAGAAAGCTGAAAGCATTGCCAGGACCTCAGTCAGCCGCTTTGACTAGTTTTCCATATGATAGGGGGCTCCGGTTCTCAGTCGTATGGGCTGGGCCTTAGTTTTATAGCGTATCATGTCGTTTGTAGCAGCTGGAAAGGAAGGGTCTCGCAATCGTCGCTGGTGCTCTGTCTCCCCCAGCTTGGGCCAGGGTGGGTAAACCCACAATTGAGGTCTTTACAAGGCGGGGGTTTTGTTATCTTTAGCATCGACTGTTCGGCGCTTACAGCTTACGATTCTTGCGTATTGTGTGCGGATCCTGCCCCAACATTCTGGGGCTTCACAGCGTTTCATGGGGAGTCAGGTTTCTGGTGAGCCTTTTTTGATTCTCGCTATGCAGCCCTTGCCTTGCGGGCCACCGGGCATTTCATAACCTTGGCTGAAAGTGTTTAGTCAGCCAGAGCCATGGTCGAGTCTTTTTTTGTCTGTGAGAGCGTCGGTGGGTTCGTCCGTCGGTCGGTCTTGCAGCAAAATCTTAACAGCTAGAATCCTAGGTAGGAGAAGGGGGCCCTTAAAAGCGAACCCTTCTTAACTCCCTTCTGGCCCTCTCAAACAGGGACCTTATTCAGAGGGTCTATGTCCCCAAGGGTCCCCCCTAATGCTCTCCCCTATAGAAGAAAGGGAGCTACTTGCCGTGCTTTTGCCATGGCTGAGGTGGCCCGATTCTCTTCCCCAGGTGTGGTTGTCACTCGATCGTTCGGTCGGCCCATCGTTGCACGGTCGGGGTGGTCGGTCCGAGCTCTTTTACAACACACTTAGAATCCTCGAAAGCCATGTTCTTAAGATCCTCATAAAACCTCTTCGGCCCCGCAGAAAGTCCTTTCAAGACCTTCGTGAAGGCATCTGACCGCAATCCAACGAAGCTTCATGCAGAAAAACCGAGAGGACAGAGAATGAATGATGAAACAAGCGCAGGAGGAGAGGAGGAACACCCTATTAAAAGGGTGAGCCTTTCAGTTCCTCGTCTCTTGCCCTTCTCGTTCGTGAACGAGAAAAGGGAGGAAGATGAAACGAGCACGAGCGGAAAATAACACAACAAGGCAGAGAGAACACATCAATTGCAAGACTCTTCACGTTGGTTTCGGGGCCACCAGCCCCTCGTGTGCTGGCGGTCTCGCCTGCCGTAGCTAGCGCGGCTTCCGCTGCTGGCAGCCCCGTCGATGAGACAGCTTGTACGGTCGTGGGCCGGTCTACGTGGTGATCTTGTTTGATCCTCCCCGGAAATACAGATTTGGTCCTGTGACTCCTGTGACAAGATTTCTACCAAAAGGGCTCACCCACTGGTTCCTCGTTCTTGGCTCCTTAGACAGCCGAGCTTGCATTGCCGCGATGTCCGGTTCGGACAGTGCAGCTGCTGGGGCTGATGTTCCTCGACTTGCCGGCCTGTCACCTCCGGCGGACCAACTTTTGAGATCTTTTGAGTACGAGATCGGCTCCTTGGCTGCGGGAGAGGGCATGTCTAGGTGCACGCTGTCCATCATCCTGGTGGCGAACTTGAAGACCGGGTCGTGGTTGCTCTTCCCCAGAAAGCTTTGGATCGGAAAGTAGCCAAGCGCATCTTGCCAGTGGGTGTGGTTGCTTCGATGGAGGCCGAGGACCAAGCTGGAGCCGGACCATGAATCTCTAGGTTCCCGAGGCTGCGCTGAAGCCCGTCTCCCATTCCGTTCTCCACCTGCCAGGCTTCTGCACAGCACCCGCCGATTGCTTCTTTGTCCAAGGATGTCTCCGACACCTGGGCCTTTCGCTGTTGCGGATGGACTCAAGTCGAGAGGTTTGTTGCCACCGCCACTTCATGTTTCTCGGGAATGCCCCTTGCTTCGGCCATTCAGAAGCTGCTCGGGCTGCTCCCCCCACCGGCCTTGGGGACGCAGATCCTTCCGTCAATGCTGCCTTCTGATTTGTTAGCAGGGGTGAGTGATCTTGGAGTGGTTCCGGTTCTTGATTCTGCCGAGAGTCCTAGAAAATGTGTGTGTGTGTGTATGGATGTTTTGAAAGGACGTTTTGCGGGGCTGTTTTCGTCTTGACATATATATGTATATATCCTTATGCACATTTCTTAGTGTTGTCACTTTTTTTTTAAAATATTTTCTTTCTCAGTGCTCGTCTCAACATTCCCGAAATCATGAACCTTCGCCCTTGAAACAGGGCAACGCAGGTTCATCCGCAGGGCTAGCACGCAATTATCTGTAATTATGTACATACATGCATACAGACAGTGTACTGTATAAAGTCCAGGTACAGCTTAGGCCAGAATTGGTTTTTCGACCAACCACGGGTCGCGCTAGTCGATCAACGCGCAGAAGTCGCAACTGCTTCACCCAAACATCCTGCGGCCGGCTGTTCCATGTGGAAGCATTTTGTAAATGGCAAAAACTCCAAACGAGGCATGCAACTGAAATGACATGTGACGAGTGCCAAGGTGGCGTACAGAGAAGAGAATGGAAGGTTCGAGTCGCTCGATGACTTGAAAGATGTACCTGGCCTCGGATTCGACCTTAGCCGTGTTTGGCAGACTGGACCTTGTGCAGGTTGTTTGGCACAAACAGGTCAGCGGGCAGTGGACAAACTTGCGGACGCGATCTGCTTGGACGACTCAGGCAAGGCACCGACGCAGCCACTGACATCTTGCGGGCATGTGTCACATAACCCCCTTCACCGCACTTAGCTTCTGCATCGGGTCGTGAACGTGAGGCGATCGAGCGGGATGTCTGGCTTCTTGCTGCGATGCAGGCAGATGATGATGGATCGTGTCAGTAAGCCTGGCGAACACGAAGCGACAAGTTCGACAAGCACCCCCCCAAAGAGTGAAAGACAAGGTCAAGCAACAGTGCGTGAAGACTGGGCGCCTTGACAAGCATGCAGCGAACGCCCAGATCACGAACTTCAAGCATCCATATCCAACAAGCTGCAACACGCACCAACCCGCTCGGCAAAGCTGAGTAGATCTCATGTGAAAAGGAACGTTCCAGCAAATCGTTTGAAAGGAGTGATCCACAGTGGGGCAAGGCACACGGCACGTAGCCAAACTAGATCAAACAGCAACCTCATGGTTTGGTGCCGTTGCAGCTTCTTGAGCCGGCTCTTCCTCATGAGCGTTTGTGTTGGAAGCCGTTGCAAGCTTTGCTACGATTTGTTGACAATCTGAAGCCGATATGCAGGGTATACAGCCTTTGCAGGAGCTATGGCCTGTGGATCTTGCTGCGGCTTAATCTGCATGCGAGGCACGTGCACCTATCTGGATCTATCTGGGTGAGCTGTATATGGATGCCTGACAGTGCATCTGTGAGTGTAGCAATTGCCTGCTGAATGTCTTCTCTTTTTGGGGTTCCAGCTGGAGATACACAAAGATCTTGAGCTGGGCATGCGACGCAGCAGCAGAGGCTAGAGTCGGCTAGAGGTGCCCCAGTTGAAACTCGACTTCTAGAGACTTCTGAAGTCACCCTGTTCCGAGTCAAAAAGGAGCCTTCCCCCAAGAAGACAGTTCCCTGAGTCAAGCTGAGAGCTTTGCCATGGCTGCACCCTTGCAGCGCCTGAGCAGCACGTACCTGGTCGAGCAGGCCTGGCTCACGTCGGCTCACGTTCCCCGCAGAACCTCAGCTTGTCTCAGTCCACCGGCCAGTTACGGCCAGTTGGTCAACTTTGACAGTGGAAGCATGTTGTGTACCCTGGTTTATTGCGCTTGGCCATGGTCTATCTCATCTTGATTCGCTCTGCAGGCTGTGCTCGGCGAGCAGTCCAAAGTTGTTTGCCTGCGATTCGGGCAAGACTTTTCACCGGAGTGCATGAAGATGGATGAGGCCCGTAACTTGATGCAGTCTTCCAAGCCTTCAGATTGTTGGATTGTTGCAGGTGCTATCATCTGCAGCACAAGCGGTGGAACCGGCGTGCAGTATCTACGCGTCCTGTACGCAAGATTGCATGCAGCAGGCTCCATGGCTCCTCTAAGTCGGAGCGAATCCAAAGCGAACTGAGGCAGTGGACATGCGCGAGGTGCCAGAGTGCGTCTCGGAGTTTCAGTTGACAGCGCCTGCACAGCTGCGGCTTGGGCTTCGAAGAGTGCCAATGTGCTGCTCAGTTCACATTTTTGAACCAGCCTTCTGCCGCTTAAGGATCTTCTTCTTCAGGGGGAAACCTCTGGACTTGGATCTGGGATCGGGTCCGCAGAAGAAGGTGGAATTCACTCTCAGTAGTCGGCAGGACCGGAAGCTAAAGAGCTGCACACAAGTCCGGCTGCAGCAATGATTCGTAGGGGCGACTTAGGTATATAGGGACTATAGAAAGGTATGTATAAGGGTCATATAGGGGAGCAAGATTAAGGGTCCCTGTGCAGGAATTCCTGGACCTCGCTGAGGCAGTATGCCGTGGTGCACAGCAAGGCATGCAGCTCATCGTGGCGCCCCGAGCGTCTTGGACCTGAGGGTGATGGAGATCCTGAGATCCCCCTTTGGATCCTGCAGGGGTGCTGTCATATGCTGTCCAATGGTGAAAGCATCCTCTAAGAGCTTTCTTGGGGTGCCAAGGATTATTCCATGCAGTTCCGGTACTGACGGGCATGTTGGAGCGACCCATCTCTGCCCCGAAAACGTTTGCGTTTGCCAGCTGTTCAGTTCGATTGACTTTGGCGTTTGTTTCAGGACAAAGAGGATACAGCATGCGGCTTTTAGAGAGCACTTGTCCACGGCAAAGCAGTGACAGGCTGCTGGTCATCACCCCTTCTTGACACGGGAGACGAGGTCAGGGCCCTTGCAGGTTGAAAGTTGTCTGCCCATGTGATCAAGCCATTGCAAGTTCTCGCAGTCATTGTTCAGGCTTTGTTCTTCCCAGATGATGGTTCTGGATCACGCCACCTTCCCTGTCGTTAAGTGGGAGCACTGCTTTTCATCAGCTGAACGCTTCGCTTCAATCTGCTTTGTAATGCCAGGCTTGGAAAGGTTGCTGAGCCTGCTTGCATCTGCTCAGCGCAGCCTGGACGTTGCAGCTGTGGCCCCAGAGTTGCATCTGCGCAGTCCGCCGGGTGGTTCTTAAAATTGGTCATTGAGTGGGTGGCCAGAAGCGACCAAAACTGCTTAGAACCTCCTGCTTAGATCGAACTGTCCAGGTCTTCAGCATAAGCCACAAGCGCTTGGCGTCAGCATTGGTGGAGGCACACAGGCGTGAGCACAAGAAACAAGCCAGACCGTGAAGATTGATGTTCCATTCGTGAACGTGACGATGTCTCGGTTATTGGTTCGTTTAGCAATGCCCGCCACCGAAAGTAGCAACGTCAAATTAGAGCGACGACCCAAGCAGGCGTGGCGTACAGGTCCGAATTCTGTCAGATGATATGCAGGCAGGGTTTTGAGACAAAATGCAGAGATGGCTTTCCTGTGCTGCCACGATTGGAAGTAAGCCTGCTAGGCCAAAGAGGACAAGTCAGCCATTCCGGAATTGAGACGAGGGGGCCTTCAGCTACGTGGCGAACTTTGCAGCAGTCGGTTTGTCTAGGTTCTGGACGCAAACGTTACTGCCGTCACTGAGTTTAATAAGGCCTGGATGCCAGCGAGAAATTCCACATGCATCACAAGCCACAGTGCCAAGAATTGTTGACGCATCGGTGCTGATGCCACAACCAACTTTGCCGGTCTCTCTGTTTAAGGTTCGTCATTCTTGACGATGCCACCCTGATATCTGGGTCCCTCAACTGGACTCATGCTGCAGTAGAGCGTGGTGGCCTGGTTGCATGTGGCTGGCTTCAGAACGCGCAGCAAGTGCACAGAGAGTTCGAATGGACAGGCAACGAAAATGTGATTATCAGCAGGTGGGATCTGGCCGGATGTTTAAGATCTTCGTTCGGCTGGTGACGCAACGTGACTTTCCAGGCGACCTGCGTTGTGCAGAAGCTTTGCGCTCGAGCTGGAGCCTGAAAGCAGCATGGATCTTTCTTCGGTAAGACCTAGACCGAGCAGTTCAATGCATTGAGGTTTGAACGAGTGTGGGCTGCATTCCAGACCGGAGATGTTGCACAAGCACCGCCAGCCGAGTTCGATGGCAATGTCTGGACCCTCGTATCCTCATCTTCCTCATCCATGTTTGTTCCATGTGGTTCCTTTCCGGACCGACTCAGGTGGCAACCCTCTTTTTTCCGGAGCCTCAAATGAAGAACGCTTTGCCCCAAGCTTTGCTTACAAATCGTCAGTTTGTCATGGCACCTGCCACCAGCATGGACCTGCAGGTGGGGTTAATTTTGGCGGAATTGAACGGCGCTCGTTCAAGCATTGACCTTGCTGCCTTCCCCTCAGACAGATTACCATAGGAGTTGCTCAGTTCTCAGTCAGGCAGACAAGTAAGCGCTTGGCAAGTTGACAGTGTTCTGCGTGGCTACAGATCTTCACTTTGACGTTGGACACTGTGGCAGAAACCCTGCTCCAGAAGCACCGGCAAGGCCTGGCAAGAGATTAGTCGAGAGAAGAAGCATCGCCGCATTGCTGGGTTCATTTACCTCATAAGGCAGTGCAGCTTGGAAACTTGGACCATCCGCACGTAATTTATTGTTACGGGTTTTGGGTTTTGGAAGTTGCTGTGCAGGCCTTCGCGTTCGGATCATCACAGACAATCGCCAGGCACGACTTGATCTGACTGCAAGCTGTCATGCCGATCTGCGATGTGTCGAGGCAGGCGTACCCGGGGCCGATGCTCAGAGGCTGCACCAGCAAGGTTTGGAGGTCCGCACAGACAGGCCATAGCCTCAAACGATGCGTTGTCTCCCCGTCGTAGCTGTAGAAACTGCTTAGTGCTGTAATGGGTGCGCGTTTGGCCAGGTCATGGTACGCCATGCATCACAAGTTCGAGACTTGCCTGCGACAACTCGGGTGTCTAGTTCCGTCTGTTGTCGTGTGCTTGTGGCATACTTGTGGCGTAGTGACGCCTGCAGCATTTGGAGGGTTTTTGAGTTGAAGGCAGTGATCGACAAGCGCACGGTGATCAATGGTTCATTTAATTGGACAGCGCAGGCAGCCTTTCCTACCGTAAAGTGGTGCCCTCCCTCTCACGCACAGAGACCGAAAAAGGACAGCGTCTCAGTGTCTGTGCCCGTGCAGGCCACCAAAGGAAACCAAGAAGATGCCATCATCTTCCGCATTTTGGACTCAACTGCAGCCATCAAGTTTTGATGTGGACGTTTCATCTTGCCAAGGTGATCAGAAGGGATTGGTTGCGGTGCCCAGATTTTTGCTGCTCGGTAGCCGCATGCAGAGCCCAATCTTCACGCCCCTCTCCAAGGCAGCGTCTTTCAGCGCCGAGTTTGAGAGGATGTGGCAAGACTTCAAGCCTCTGGGTTCTTGACAGTAGTGATGCCGCGACTTCGCACGATGTTTGGCCAAAGGAGCCAGACAGGGCCATGTCCCAAAGTGGACAGTCCTTGTGCCAAAAGTCGCTCAAAGGTTGCTTTCGGGATGTTAACGGTGCAAGTAGGCGGGAGTCTGGGGAGCGGATGGGTTTCGTATCGGAACAGCATGGGCAAGCTCAGAGTGGAGGGGGACAGTGGGCAGCAGGAATTCCGTGCCAACAAACCTTCCTGAACTTGCATAGGTTTGCATAGGTTTGTTGGCTACCTGACTTGTTCATGACATGCCAGCTGTGGCGTGGACCGCTGTGGCGTGGACTCCAACATGCCTGCAAGCTAGTCCTGTGGGGGAGTCACGAGTCAAGGCTCCTAAACCCATGCCCGAACATGTCCCGGCTCGAGTTTCTTCTGAATTATAGGGCGGCCGAACGCATCTCTTGCAAGGCTCGTGAGCCTAGCACGCTCTCTCTCTGGAGATGAAAGGATTTTGTGCCATTTGCCAGGCCCAACTTGCCAGCAAGGTTCCCTGCAGGTGCTCCAAAAGAGGGAGTTGACGGGAGTCCTCACAACGGCCACATGTGCTGCATCAGCGCAGGCACGGAAGACTGTCCTGCAGCGGAAGACCGGGCAACTTATGCTCCTCCAGGCGCATGATGTAGGATTCCGGGATGTCGGGCACCTTCTGCGCGAGCGTCGCAAGTGTGCTGCACCGGCACATTCCAACAAAGACTGTCTCCAGGCATGGCTGTCATTGCTATTGGCACCTGCGAGAGGCACACGTCACAGGGCTGTATTGAGGAAATGTGAGGAAGACAAGCCGGGGAAGGCTGAAGAATGCTGAAGAGTTAGAAGGGGGGGCTCCGGGGCTGCGAGAGCTGCCTGGGGTCGCAGGACAATTTCAGTTCGAAATTCCAGCGGAGATGCTCCAAGGGATGATGGGAGGCACTATGGCATGATCTGGCAAAAAGAATGTACCGCTGTTTCGCACCTGCCTCTACTTCGTAGTGCTTGTTGCTGAAAGCCAGGAGGCGGAATGATGGGAGGCGGAGGCGGTGGTAGAAAAGGTGCCGAGTGGCCAAAAACAGAGAATTCAGAAATATCTGTGCCAAGCTGAGCTTCTCGTCGGAGTCCCCCGCGGGCCATGTGCACAATGTGCAATGATTGAAACACTGGAGACAGCTTGCCGACTGAGGCAGAATTTGAGTTCTGGTCTTAGCTCTCACAAAAGGTCGTAGCTGAAGTTAGCCAACCGCACTTTGCGAGTGTTCGGGACGTGTTTTGGGGATGGTAAGGTGGCTGGTGAACACGGAGTGGGAGTCTTGACTGGCACTCGCGACCTGTTGCATCTCCACAGCCCTACAAGGCAAGTTCAGAAGTTGTTCATACTAAGGAGGGCAAGACGTCCAAGTACCTGCTCCTCAGAGACGGCTTTGTCGAATCGCCTCTAAAGGAGCTGAGGATGCAGATCTAACTCCACAGCTCCTGGAGCTATCGGCATGTGAGGTGAAGATCTGGGTTTGTTCGGATGTCAGCGGTTTGTGAGGAGTGTGAGCCAGAGGGCCACTGTTTGTGGGCGGCCAACAATGGCCGAGTCTTAATCAACACACCTAAGCTGAAGGTGCCATGCTCGGACTCAATTACTTGTGTGGGATTCCTCGAGTTTTCTCAGCAGTGCAGACGATTGCTGAGGTTGTGAAGTTCTCCGTGGAGGGTCTCGACGGAGTAGATAGGAAGAAGCTCGAGAACAAGGATGCAGGGATGATTGTAGCGGATTGACAAGGGCTTTGCTGGTGAGTTCTGTTATACTGACAGGACGAAACAGAACTGAAGAAGGTTTCTCTGGTTATGGAGAAGCCAAGTGGCTTAGCCGCAGCTTGCTCGGTTCAGTGGTCGTTGTGCAGAATCCAAGCTGACATCAAGGCAAGAGCAGTGGCAAGAAAGGCAGCTGGGCTTTACCTTGACGTGCTACAGTGCTACAGTTGCTTTCCTTGCCGTGGCGCATCTTGTACTCCGCCCGGAACGAGGCAAGCTCGACTTCAAGCGGGTAGCCATGGCGGACGAGCAAGACAGCATGGGACACCAGCCTAGACAAAAGTGAAGAGCTTCAATTGCACTGCTTGGATCAAAGTGCCGCTCAGAAGCTTGCTGAGGAGCCGACCTCTACAAGCTCTTAGACATTACAGAAGATGCAGAACAGAGCTCCATCAAAAGCAACTCTGTTGCAGCTCCTGTTCTGCTGTGCATCCCTGCACAGCGCCGCTGTCCCAAGCATTCCCAATTCCCAAGCCGCCGAGGCAAGTTTCGGCGACTTTCCGTTTCAATGCATCCAGACAAAGGCTGTTCACTCGTGCCGGGTGACTTGTGCAAGATGTGCACGCGCGAGCAGGGGGCTAGAGTGCAAGTCTCATGGCTAGTTGCGCAGGCGGAGATCCTAAAGCTTTCAACGACATGCGAGAGGCATACGAGGCCATGAGGGATCAAGCTCAGCATGCACTGTTTTGGCCATGGATAGCACGAAGAGCAGGTGCTCGGAGACCCAGAGAAGCGGAGGTGACTTAGTTGGCATGTCGACTTGCCCCCCCAGATTTCAGCATGGAGCTGACCATCCTGCAGTGTGCGTTCATGCGCATAGCCGAGGCAGTACAATCTAGGTTGCCTGGCTGCTATGTTGCTATGTCTTTCTGAATTGGGTGTGTGGTGTTAAGCGACGACAGGTGATGGGTTTGTTCCGAAAGCTGCTTCCTGCGCCATCGGTTTGTTGTTGTGGGTGTTCAACCCAGGTGGAATGCAGCTCGTCAAGAATGTTGAAATAGCATGGAAGGAAGTGGAGGGACAGAAAGCACAGATGGTCACTTGACTGCAATGCGGGCTTGGACTGCATGCGGGCAGCACATAGAAGTGGGCAACGAAACCGTGTTGCTGACGTATGGCAAGGATGCGCAGCTGAATCAGGCACGCTGCTTTCCTAGACTAATACAGAGACTTGGAGAGCTGCACAGGTCTCATAAAGTCGGTGTCCTCTTGCTGTTGTCCCGGTGCTGAGAAAGCGGACCTCACTGACCCCACATCAACAGATAGCGTGCCTGGAGTTGAAGAGAAGCTGTAGGGGCTCGCTGACGTGTTTCAGAAGTCTCCCTCATGTCTGCGCAGGTTCCCAAGAATCACCCGCAGTATGCCATGTCGGCTCCCCAGCTCCTCTGCGGTTCCCCTTCACAGCACTGCATAGCAGCACATACGGCCTTCTCCTTCAAGGTTTAAGCAGCAGATCGAGCAGCAGAAGAGGCAATTTGACAAGGCATGCGCTGGTGCGGCCGCTTAGAACAATTTTCGCACATCCAAGCCTTGAGCAGCGCAGGCTAAAGTGGAATCACAAATCCAGCAAAAGCTCCAGAGTGAGGAGCTGGAGGTGGCCTGATCACGGGTGCTGTGAGCAGAGAATTACTTTTCGAGTTGTCTCACGTCGTTAGGTGATGGTTCCCATTTCAGCTTCTGAGCTCTACAGCGGTGTGGAGAAGAAGGTCTTTGTGTTTCCCAGGCCCCCGCTCGAGCCGAGGGTAGCAGCTGCACGTGAAGCTTCTGCATGCAGGTTGATGATCTGTCGCGGTTGCAAAGAAGACCCAAGCAGGTTGGAGCAGCGAAATGGTGCTCCTGAGCCTGACTCACCCTGACCCACGTTATGTGTTGATGCGAGGCCAGAGTGCCAGGACTGCGGTAGGTGTCCGCCAGAGAAGGCATTTTTGCCCCATGTGGTTGTTCTCGTAGCCTCGTCATGCTCCTAGCATGGTTAGATCATGCTCTGCAGGTCCAGGTGCCCAAGTATGGCATGACCCCTTTCGGCCGGCAGGTGCAGAAACAGACCTGGAGAGAGCGCTTCTTCCAGCGTTCGGCTGTGTCAGGTGGTTGGAATGAGGGAAAAAGAGCAAGAAAGCCGAGAGCGGTGTCGAGAAGTTGGGGTCGAGGCCTGGCTTAGAAGTGGCTTGGAAGTGGCTAATAGAGGCTCAGCTTCAGGGCTTTTCGCTCTTGCAGGTGCCGCTGCGAGTCAGCAAGGGAGCCAAGCAGGGCGCTTCATTGAAGGCTCAAGTATGCTCAAGTTTTAGAGTCTCCGGCATCGTTGACCAACGATCCAACTTGTAGGATGTCGGGAAGGAGCTGTTTCTTGTTCATGTCGTCACTTCAGTTCGCTCGAGATTCGTAGATGGCATCGACTTGCGCTGAGCAGGTCCTACCGAATGTTGGCCACCAAACGCCAGGAAAGTTTCCCGGCAAGGCGTCCGGTCAGCGTCATTCAGAATTTTGCGCTTCATGCGATTCTTGCTCGTCTCTGCAGAGGTGAACTTCAAGGTTCAACGAGGCAAGACCTTGCTTGTGCTGTGAAGTCATGTGCTCGGCTAATTAGTGTGCTTGCAGGCAGCAAGGAGGATAGCTACAGAATTGCGGAAGCAGACTTGCACACTGCTGCTGCCTCATTTTTCAAAACTCGTGGCGACCAGCCTGGTCATTTTTTCCAAGTAAGGTTCTGCACATCTCGCTGGAGCAAGCCTTGTTCGGCTTTACGCCCCTTGGAGCACCCAGTTGCCCCCGCTGCATTGATGCTGCGTGACGCTTTGCCCAAAAGGATTTCTTGGCAACATCTCGGAGAAGAGACGGTCTGGTGGCATAGGTTTCCATGACGAGTTCTCTGTGAGTTGGCCGGCGCATAGCACGACTCAGCAAGACTGATCTTGTGATGGGTCAAGGTTACCATCACCAAGGAGCGGCTGCTGCAGCCGGACGAGGCGCAGTGGCTCTGACAGAAACGGGACAGCATTGCATGCCATCGAGTGCCGCCCACGGTTGCAAAAAGGTGCTCCGACTCAAAGGCAAGGGCCTGGTCGAGTCGGGAAGCAAGCGGGGCGACCTGTATGTCCGCAGCACAGCCCACGGTAGTGCGACACGTTGTGCCAAGCATTTTCGGGGGAATGCCGGCACATGGGTGAAGTCCCTTCCTGTAGGTGAGACTTGCTGTTGATCTCCCAGAAGCACCACCGGGAGAGAAGGCTTTGTCTCCAAGGGCTTCCGCATTTTGCCGTTTGGAGAGTTCTGCTCTGGAGCCCCTCGATCAGGCCCTCACGCTCCGCGCTCCAGGTTCAGGAGTGCAGGCGCGGGAACGTTGACGAGCTGAAGGCTGCCACATCTTGTTTTGCATGTCCCATTGAAGGCGGCCAAGCTGGAAATGGAAGATGAGGTTAGAATAGAAGAAGGCCCCGACATTGAAGAAGCGATGCTGAGCATGGTAAATTGTCCTCGCGTTACCTGCAATGCTGAGCTAGCTTTCGATGAGATCTGTAGTTGTGTAAACACGTGCATGTCCGCTTTGGCATGCCAGCTGGCTTAAAGCCGAGAGACTGGCTGAGAGTGTGCCGAGTGGACGTTGAGAGCGAGCTTGAGAGAGAGGGTTCAACCTGAAAGTTTTTTGAGCAAAACGAGTCAGTGAGGTTGTGTTTCAATGGTCTGAGCTCCAAGCCCCAAGTTGTTGCAGGAAGTGCCTGGCGAGAATGGGTCGCCAGGGAGAAGGCAAGCACCTACAAGGCTGTGTGCCGGGCTATGCATTTAGGCTTTCTGATCGAGTTTTTTTTGCAAGGTGCCTTCAGGCTGTCAGAGGACCGTTCGAACCAGTTACAGCTAGGGACTGTGAGGGAAGCCCAAAACCTGAAGACAAAACACTAAGCCCTTATGCACAAGGCATATGTGGCTGAGCAGGCAGAGATGTTGCCGGGCTCTGCTTGCGGTTAGGGAAGCATAGGTTAGCCCAAGAAACTGTGCTTTTTTCTGCCTGTAGGTAATTTCAGAGTTCTGTAAGTTCCGTCTGCGCTGTGTGGCGAACCGCCTCCATGAGGTGGCACGCTTGGGCTGAAAATCTTGGGGGATAAAATTCAGGGACATCGTCGCAGCTCCGAGCTTTCCTGTCCGCCCGCAGGTGGGGAAAGCCAAAACAGAACTTTGAAAGGCACCATGAGGACCTAGCTGCAACTAGCTTCCTCGAGGCCGCTGAGCTGGCAAAGGTTTGCAGCTTGCATGATTTGTGTGCGGTTTGTGGTGCAGCTTGCTTTGGCAGGTGAAAGAAGAAAAGTGAAAGAGTTCTCGATGAAAGAGTTTCCACAAGTGACAAAGATGAAGCTGAGCTTCTGCAGCTTGGCTGGGCTGACGAGGCCCGCCAAAGAAGTTCGCTTGTTGTATATAGGTTTGCTGCTTAGCAGCCGTCGGCTGTTGCTTTTGTTTCACCTTTCTCCCCACACGAAGATGGCGCAGTTTGTAGACCCTCGAGAGACTCTGGAATGATGCTAGAATGATTCTTACACCCCCACACTCCTAATGTTTAGACCTGTTTCACACCACCTCACCAGCCGGCGTGAGCTGCACCCCAAAGACCACCATCGGCCAGTACGTGCGATTGCACCTCGCGTGCGCGGCCGTTTCATGGTACCGCGTGTGAAATCCGCCACGTGAGAGACGGGGCCTCAGGCTTCGGGTCTGCAATACTCTGAAGCACTCCACAGATGCCCCATCTCCATGACCATGAACGGTTGACGAGCTCGCCTCGTCTTGTCGGCTCAGTACGCCTGGCATGATAGATAGCATGCTTGACGGACTTGAATACTATGAGTCCCGGATACCCATTTGTTGCTGTGAAGTTGCATCATGTCTTTTGAGTTTTTGCAAGCCTGCAGCCGACATCTCCTAGCCCCCCTGTACGCCGCGCGCTCCTGTGGACGGCATCCTCTATCACACAATGTGCATCATGTGGCTTTGGTACACGATGACTAACAGCTGCAAAGGAAAGTGTACTGTGCCTTGTTGGTCCTGCCCGACGCCAGCCATGACAGGTCTCCATGAGACTCTTGGGCCAAACTGGGCTGGGTGAGAATGAAGAACAAAAAGAAGAAGAATCATGTCTTGCTAGCAGCCACGCGCTGGGCTTTGCCTGATGGCGCTCGAGACAGCAAGTCGTTTCTTCTTTCGACGGGGGGTGACACTACGAAACCCGTTGCAGCTCCTTCGGTCTTGCAGGAGTCGCAGAGAACGAAGATATACGAGGAGCTGAAGAAGCAGCTGCGAGACGAGTGCACTTCGCAGGGTCAGAGCCAATACCCCAGCATGGCATTCGAACGCTGGTGGCTTTCCGTGAGAGATCACACAGGTGGCCCGGATCCACTGATTCCGACCCCGCAAAAGGCCGAGGACCCAACGTTGGTTACGGACTTGGAGCGAGCAGGATTCTCGAGGACGGCCGCCTGCGGTGTCGCCAGGCGACTTGCTTCCAAATCGGCTGCATCGGCTGCTTCATTGGCCGCTTCAAAAGAATCAAAGCAGGGCAGCAAGGAAATCGTTGAACTGCAGCGGTCTTCAGATGGCGATGAGGTGCAATTGTTTTGCAAGTCTGCTGGGGCAAGGGTTCGCTTTTCAGCATTCGCGTACAAGAAGCTCAAGAAGTTGTATGAGTTTCATCAGAGACGGAATGGCTGCAGCCGCTTAGAAGAAGCGGCAGTTGTCCTCGGGTTGAGATACCAGGCATTAGGTGGGACCGGCTTCCAATTGGCTTTGCCAGCAGCGGCATGGAACGTGTTGCAGACCGACTTTGCCGTACAGGTGGGGCACCAAGTACAGTCTTTCCGGGACGGTGACGTTTCCACGCGCGACACGTCGCTAGGCAGAGTGCTTCGCGTCACCGTTCAACTGCTGGTCAGGAACCCAGCCCTTGTGCACATGGCTGCATGTCGCTGCGTGTCGGTTCATGTCTGTGCACTTCCGCAGACATCTCTGTAAGTCCACTCAGGTTCCCAAACTATTGCAGTGCGTTTCCAGATTGTGCGAGGCCAAGTGCTTGGCATTCGCGCGAATCGCGTCCTGTTTTCCCTTTCGAAGCCTCGTGTCATTTCGTGTAGCGTTGCTGCTCAAGTGGGTTTTAAACGGGGACACTCCGAGCCGCCAGCCATGGTGGTTCCCTTCTGAGAAAAGAAAAAACCGCGGTACACTGCAGTCTGCAAGTGTGCATTCCGTGCTTTCCGCTCGAGAACGCCATGTATATAACCTTGTGTCAGCTTATGTCTCCCCCTCAGGGCCTGCAGCGGCATCGGAGACGTTCGCTGGGCCGTGCACAGCCCAAACTCAGCCTGCTTGCATTGTCTCAAGCTCAGCACCTCTAAACTACTAATCGGTGACTGCAGCTATGCAGGGAGGTTTGCTTGGTGACTTAAAATTATCCCAAGGCTTGTCTGTGCACTGGTGGTGGCAGCCGGAGTTGGCAGCTTTGCTTTTGCTTCAGGTGCCCTTGGCGATGAGCGTCGCATCAACAATAGTAGAGCTGAGAGCTGCATGCGATGTGTAGGGCAGAAGTTGACAGCTGAGCTGCGGAGGCTCCTCTTCTGGCTCTCCACGACCGTCGTCTTCCCCGGCTTTACGAAGGGCCTTCCCGTGGGACAAGGAAGGCAACGCAAAGGCAGATGAGCTGTTACACTGTTACACCGTCCTGCAACGTGTCAGGGCAGGGTCCAACGTTTGAACTTAGGAGTGACAGGCTCAACCAGAGCCACAGGGCCTAGGGTATTGCAGGCAGCTATGGCATGGACACTCACTCATGCCCCTTGCAGGCGGAAAGAGCTTTCGCTTCGCTGGCCAAGTCTTATCCCGAAGTTGCCCAGTCCGGCATCTTCATGGGCGAACCCGCCAGTGCCTGGCCGCAAAAAGCTCTGGTCCAGAGCGGCAACGGAGCTGACTTGCTTGCATAGTGCTCAAAGAAGTGTGGCGCAAAGCAGGCAAAGATGTCATCGTCAGCAAATATGAAGCTTGGCATCATTTGGCACCTGTCCTTAGCTCCCTCTCTCGCTCTATCTCTACTGCGTTGATGTGCCAAGGCGTGTCGCACAACAAAAGGAGTAACAAAGCCAGCGTGGTCTGGGGGAACGCCTTTAACAGCTTGATAAGTCTCAACATAGAAGGCCTTGTTCGCAAGCTTCTACACGAAACCTGATTGTGGCCCTGGCAGGCCTCATGGATCAGGACTTTTTTGGGCATAGCGGTGTGCACTACTCCCATTCGAGTGGAGAGCCTCATGCTAGGGCTCGGACATCTTCGTAAGCAGACCACACCCACCTGAATTGCTGGGACTTCTGTTGCCCTCTGCACCAAAACCCACAGGCACGCGCGAAGCTTTGCATTCCTGATTGTTTGCTTCGAACCAGTGTGTATTTGGGGTTTGACGTGAGCTGTTGTGCCCTTTGTCAGGTGGGTTTTGTTTTGTTTGCATCTGCGCGCATTGCTTTGCCCGCTTCGTGGAGCCTTTCTGAGGAGAAGCTGGGTGGGTTCCTGGGATCCGACACGGCCTTGACGATGGTCGAGAAAGAGCCCGTCCTGTTGCTAGGGGTCAAGACCTGAGCTTCGCTTCGCCGTGGGGGGGATTGCATGGGATTGCTGTGTGCATTTTTTTTTGAAGGTCCCTTTAGATGGGGCAGCCTTCAGGCTCTTGGGACTCAGGAGTTGCGCACGCAAGAGAGCTGAGGACACGGACATGCAGAAGCGCTCCTTCGAGTACCTGACTGGCTTGGAGAGCGACTCCAAGAAAGGTTTAGCTTTGCAGGCTGTCCAGAAGAACCCTCGCCTGCTGACGGTCCCCGTCTTCGAGTACGAGCGAACGAAGCCATCTCTGGAGCCTCTGCGAAATGGCGCAGTCCGGGACAGGATAGGGCCTGAGGGATAGGGCCGTGTTTCCAGCAGGTTCTAGCAGTGCGCAATGTGTAGTACCGCAGGATTCGGAGCTGAGACCAATGAAAGAGGCAATGATGGAGTCAAACAAAGCTAGTCCAGGTATTGCGCGCAGATGCGGAAGTGTGAGAGTGAATGAATCAAGGAAGGATTGAACACAGCCGCTTCTGCCATTGATTTCTTGCGACCATTGGGCGAAGTGGGGCTGGCCGTGGTGATTTTCGCATCCTTCGTGGTGCTGCTTCTCGTCCTGAGGCTGAGGGCCCCGGGAGTTGGCAGCACTTGAGTCTCGTAGACTTCCCTCCCCAGCCTGCATGCCAGGCCCCTGATCTATGGAGTGGGCGGTGGGCAGTGCCTGCCCCAGACTTTGGCAGAGTAGACCAGATCATCATCCTAACGAAGTGCTCCTTGTAATGAAGAAAGCTGTGTTAAAGAGGGAGATGAAAGCAAGAACGCTGTGAAGAAAACTGCATGAAATGTGCTATCTCAGAGGGCTTATTATTCGGGCCTTAATGCTTACATTATATTCTTTGGGAGAGCAATAAAGGCACGATTAATAATGATAAGAGCAAAGTGTATTATGAGAATACGAAATTGCAATTATAAAGATGAAAGCATGAATGCACTAAGTTCGTGCGAATAATGTTATCTTTTCTCACTTAGTTCGTCCTTATTATTGTGTGCTCTCTTCGCTCGCTTCGTTTATAAATTAAGTGAAAGAGAGCACATGTACACGCTAATAGTAATTATACCGTGTGAGAAGAATACTCACCATCATCGTCACCATCATTAATAATGACATATTATTTAACCTCTATGTATCTGTGTATCTATGTTTGTCTATCTATAGAGGCACCCCACAGACACCTACCTTTTTCGTATTTTTGTCGTGAACCTCGTAATGTCTACCGGAAGCGATAGCAAACTCACTATTTCCAACCATCTGCTCAAAATGCAACCCAACAATGCACTCAAACCTTGGGGGGCGGTGAGTACCGTACATGTGTATGTGTTCTCTTCATATGCTAGTTGAATCTGGGCGACCATCAGAACAAAGCAGGTCTCTTATCGGCTTGCTCACAAGCGGACTTCCTCCCATACCTCGCCCTTGGGAAATTGCGGAGAGCTATGGCATAAACCTGGCGAGCATCTTGGCTTCGAAGGAGGCAGAGCAACGCAAAACGCTTTGGGCCCATGATGTCAGATTTGTTTCGCACGGCTTTCATCTCAGGTTTCGTGGTCATCATTCCCATCTACCAGGTCTTTGGCGCCGTTTCGAAGAGGTTTACCAGCTAAGAAAGCCAAAATCTTCACTTGCCCACGAGTGTCGTGGTCTGTCCCGAGTGCTTTGGGCACACGCGCCCTCGTCCTCGCGCAGCATTGAACTGTTTAACTTCTGACAGTTTTCGAGCTGTCTTGGCAAAAGCCATACCCTGTGGTTCTTGACCCGTCGAACCACAAATTCTCTAGACAAAGTGCGGAAAAAGAGGGACAGATTCTGAGATGCACTTTCCAGCAGTTTCATCCCTTCATCCTAAGGGCGGGGCACCCAGAGACCCTCGGCTCTTCTGTGGCCCATCTAAGGCGACTCGTGCTTTGGCTCGATGGGGAGCTTCTTCTGCTTCAATCCACGCCAGCCTGGCACAGTTTGTCATGTTGCCTTCTGTGCGTGTGTGTGTTGTTGGGTTGATGGAAGGTGTAGTTAGTGTAGTTGCACTGGGGGCAAAGGCCCACTTCTGGACTGAGGCCGTGGATCTTTCCAAGCAAACCCACCCTTCGCCCCGGCGATGATCGCAGAGATGCACAAGCACATGCCCAGCACTCAGAGGCGGGTGGTGGCGTCCTGTGCGGATAAGCAGATGGCGGAGGCAGAACCTCTTGGCAGCGACAAGTGAGCCGCTGAGCTTCATCATCGCCGCCGCCCAAGTTTCGATCTTCGGTCGCTGACTGTATCTATGTCATGCTCAGGCCATTGCAAACTGGGACAATCCAGAGGCCATCGCAGACAGACCGTCACATAGTACAGGTAATTCCGCACCTGTTTCCAGGTCTCGTCGCTGCGCTTGTCTCCCTTTGGTCGGGGCCATGTCGTGGTGCCCAGGGACGAGCAGGCCTGTGACAGCCTGTGATGAGACACTCATACCAAACCCTGAGCTGGGCTGAAATACCTTTGTTTCCTCTAGCCGCAACCCCCGTGCCTTGACCGTAGGTCTGGCTTGATGGCTTGGAGAGCCGTCGGGTGCGCGAAGAGCATCTAAGTGCCCTTGGTGTGTCATCACCAGCTGCCAGTTTATGCTGGCGAGGCTCCAGTGGAACTTTTGCTGGTGGCCCTGCAGAATGATGCAGCTGCTTCTGACGAAACGATGGGGGCCTCGCCTGTGGCTTATGTGTCACATAGATTGTGTCACAACATCAACAGGAGGGTACGAAGGACACTAAGAACACATCGAGGCGCGAGAAGCTGGAGCGGCTTTCGGCCCAGTGATGTGCCGCAAGACTTTTTTTTTTGGTGGCCTGTCTTGGCTGTCTTGGGCTCTGCAGATCTTGCAAGGCTGCGTCAAAGCTGCACAGGAGAGGCTCACCTGAGTTCGCGTATACATCTCTGGTTTGCCAAGATCTGCAGAGGCCAAGCCGCTGGGACCCAGGAAGAGGCTGCAACAACTGTTGCGTTGGCAAGCGATGTCCTGTGTAGCTCGCGTGCATATAGCAGCGTGTCGTGGACCTTGGTTGGTGGTGGAACCAGATGTGTCGGAGGCCGCACCCAGATACCGCAGCGGCACAGGCCACACTACAATTTACTCAGCCGGGTGCAGAATGTACACTTTATTTACTTTGCACGCTGTGAGGCAAGTACTGGACTTTGCGAATCCGGCTCTGCCGATGCAGGCTTGGACGTGTACTGAGTCCACGGTAGCATTTCAATTTCCCTGCATGTAGTCACCATGTCGCCAATGTGTGATGCCTGTGTTTTCCTGAGCTTCGCACATTTAGGGGAAACGGAGAGGCCGGTGTTGCTAATCTTGGAGAGGTTCCGATGGCGAAGCTGCTTCTCCGGCTTCTCGTCAGCGACCTCGCCCTCGGCCAGGCTGTGTAGCTAAAACTCTGCTTGAAAAGCTTGACAAGATATCAAAGCGCTTCGCTGCAACACCAAAGCTCTGCCTCACATCAACCGACGCCAGCATGAACTTGATTTGGGTTTTTTGGTGTAGGCAGTCTAAGTAGCATCAAAAATAACAAGCGCAGGGCAGGTGATTCTCTTTGTACGTCCGGCCTGCGGCAAGCCTTGAACCCTTGTAAGACCTCCGTAGTGTCAGACGCGGATGGCCAGCTGGTGCTAAGAGCCGTGTGGGCCTCACAAGCTGTTCAACTGTTCTGTTTGACCGCCCCAGTTTGCCCCCCCCACCCCTCGGTCTGCCCTCCCCCCCCCCAAAAGAGAGAAGCAAATCTGCGTAACAATCTGGACTACAACGGGGTACAGTGGAACCCCGAGGACATAACAAATTTGCTGTGTTGCTTGCAAGCTGGGGGAAGAGGAAAGAAGAAGTCGTAACATTCAGAGGTCACACTGGGGATGTGCATGTTCTAGGCATGTGACGGACCTCAACCCCAAACGTGGAGTGCGCAAGGCTGCATCTACCAGCAAGAAGCTGTAAAATGCAGATGAAGACAAACATTCAAAAACAATGCGAGCGACTGCTGTGTCGCCAGTGGTTCATTGGAGGGAAAGCGAAATGTTATGAGTTCCGGCTATTGGTTTTCCCTGCAGAAGGGACCTACTGCATACCCAGGTTATGACTTCCAAGAAATAAGTCATAACGTGCAGTTCCTCCGGGGGAAAGTTCCCCACTGCAATTGTTATGACTTCAGGGTCTGTCTGTACTTCGTCAGTTTTGCGATAGATCGCGTAGATTTTCGTGGCCGCGGCGCCAAGAGAAGCACTTGGAGAACTGTAACTTCGGGCGGCCCCTTGCCCGGCCGGGGCTATGGAGCTCGCAGGTAGGGTATGTGGGGGGTTCCCGTGAAATCAGGGTTCTTTTGGGCAGTTGTTGCTATTACTGTATTTTTGCTATTGTAATGGGCCTTGAGTGAAAAGAGGTTGTAACTTAGAACAGATTGTAATGAAGAACGTCAGCCATGGCCCGTCGGCAATGCATCCGTCTGCCAGCCAAGCTTGGGTGCTAAGTTCTACAAGCTGGTAAATGACAATGACTTTCGGGTCTCGAATTTACTTCTGTATTGCAGCTTGTTACTATTTGTTGCGGGTTACATGGTGGAAGAAATGAGTAAAAGCAACTCGACGTTTTCCGAGCAGAGCAGTTTCGGGTCGTTGCAGCCTTGAGCAAAGCCGAAACCCTTCACCCTTTCGGCGACTGGGTGTGGCTCATCACTCTGCCTTGTCCAGGCGGAGTTTTGTGGCGTGTGCCACACTGGCAATTGGTGAAGCTGAAGCGTCGCGGACCATGTCTGGAAATAAGTTGACAGTACATTTTGTTTGCTTTGTTGTTTCATGCACAGCAGCTTTGAGGCTTTTGCGCGTGGTGTCGCCTGAAATCAGCCGCAAAGTCTTTCGGCTGGACCTCGAGTGTGACAGCTCCTTGACATATCTTGAAAGAGGGAATCTCCACAAGCCACCAAAGGGGAGGTGCGAAGCCCACCACGGTTTCACCAAGGATGGTTGGCACGCGCGAAACATGCGCTTCTGGCTCAAGGCTGTGCTGCCTTGAGGTAACGTCTGTTGACCATGACGTGCGTAGCTCACGTATGGAGGAAGCAGCGACAGTGGATGGCATGACAGGAGGCTCTGGCTCAGATTCTTGAAATCATGAAGCTGCTCGAATGATGGTGCGTCAGGTGGCGTTTCGGATAAGGACCTGGCCTTCAACCAACAGTTCATGCAGACGCTTTGGCGCTAATTTCACCACTCTGCTTGCTTGTCATGCAGGGCTTCGAATGACATGACCTGCCAGGAAGCTGGCACCATCGCGTGGCAGCTCCGAGGGTGGGATGCAACTTTATGAGACATTCTTTCAAGCACAAGGGAGAGAGCCCGAGAGGGTAGAAGTGGGTAGAGCTTTCAGAGGTCGCTTCCAGCGTGCATTGGACGTTGGTGCTGGCATCGGCGGCGTGGCCGCACCTATCCCAAGAATCAATGCGAGCCTGGTTGTGAACACAGACCCTGTGAAAGTGCAAAGGGTTCTGTACTTTTTTGTTTACCTAGTGCAGACCTGCTCACGTAATAAGGCATTGCAGGTCAATGAACCGTTTACAGCCAGACCATATTCTGGGCAGCCCACGAAATGCCCCCGGCCCCGGCACCAATCCACCCCGGCATCCTTGAAGCTGCCAAGCTTCTGGTTCCCAAAGTAGACGTGGGCGTGGACGTGGAGAGACTACAAGAAAACGACTTGGTGCGTTTCTTGTATTTTCGCAGAAAGAGATGGAGCGGCTGCTGGCGGCAGACCAAGCGATAGCACACGAGGTCATGGATCTGGCCATCGTCACGTGGAAGCCAGGGGGACGGCCAGGTGCGCCGCTTAAGCCGGCCTTGGCCATGGGATCAGGGAAACTAGGTAGGCCCTGGAACATTTTTCCCTATTGGGTTTAAGAAGATCATGTGTTCAGGAATATTTTCAGAGGGTTTTGAAGGCCATCCTAGCAAAGAAAGTGCACTGGCAGTCCAAGCACGTCCCCATCGGCCGACACGATGAAGCAAGACATTGGCATCGACCTCCTTGCCGATAACCTCCCCAAATACATTGATGTGGATGAGATGGTTGGGTTTGGGGATGATTTTGGAGCCATCGCCGTGGAACGGTGCACAAAGCTGCAGCAGCTGGCCCGCCGACTCACAATAAGCGGGGCAGCCTACGGTGGCTGTTGAGCCTTGTGCTTTCCAAGATAGCGCATGGCGGTTTCACCTCCTGATCATCCTTGTGAGGAGCTCTCACACGCTGGGTCGGACCTACGCTGGCTGATGGTTTCGCAAACAGGCAGGCGCTGCGCAAGCCGAAATTGTTGTCCGTGCAAGCGGCAAGCGCCGGGTTTCTTGAGGGTTAGGCAACTTGTTGAACTTGGGTTACCCACATGAAACCTGAATCCCAAACCCTTTTTGCTTGTGCGCCACAATTTAGGGAACCTACCATAGATGAACCTCAAACATAGCATTTAGGGTTTAGGGCACCCATCCACTGAAGGTTTCCTTTTGTGCCTAGGGTTCCTCTAACTGCATCGGCGGGCACCCCTATGAGAATTTTGATTCCCCATTTTGAACTCTGTCGTGTCTGTGCATGAAGCTCGTCGTGGCAGTCCGTGGTGCCAAGGCAGACTTGCCAAAGGGGTGTTCCGCAAGCACTGCGATCGCATTGACCTGCCGCGCTCCAGTACACAAATGTTTGGACGTGTTTTGCATAGTATTGCAGGCTCTGCTACCAATTTTGGTCGTACTCAATTGTTTTTGTGTTTAGGTTGGAGCCGATTGACAAGCATCTTGAAGTCGCGAAACGCGAGCTCGACGAAGCCACATGGAGCGGAGCACAGAGGGATAAGGTCTAGGAGTCTAGGGTTCGTATGTAGGGCTGGTGTAGGGACAGCCTTAAACGGTTTGGGCATGGTACCCGACTCTGGGCCCCAGCCGAGGCTGGGGCACTTCATTTGCGGCACGCTGCAAGACTTTCAACCACCCGGTGGATCGCAGAACGCTCAATTTGGGGTTTGGCGTGCCGGAGCTGACTTCGGCCCTTGAAGTCACGTCGTTTTAGTCGGGGTGCTGAGGCTTTATGATTTGGTGTGGTGTCAGTCGGCTCCTTGAGTGGGGACTGTTGTTCTCGTTTTGCTCCAGACTGAGCTGTGTGTAAGGTGGATCTTCATGTACATCACAGATGCAGATGTCAGAAGCCTACCGCCATATGGTTGGCGCGTATCTGTCTCAAGATGTGCCCCCGACCCAACCTCCTGCCCTGCACTACTGTAGCTGGTGAGGTGGTGAACTTTCTCAAGCGAGTCTCTGGATTCCTTGCGCAGCTTTGATGCAACGGGAAAATGTCTGACTATGCCTGACTCCCTGCTGTAGTCCTGCCTTCCATGTGCAAGGCCAGCTGGAACAGTCGTCGTGAAGGCACCGGGAATCACTGGCATTCGGCAAGCGAGCTTCACATTTTCGAGCCGTTGCGCGTTGATCAGGAGAACATCGCCCAGACCCGCCGGCAGCCTAGAGAGCTTCTGCAGTGTGCCTGTCGGAGGGCGTATGTCTGGCAATGAAACATGGCAATGCAGTGTGTGTGTTGAGCAGGCTTTTGTGAGCCCTTGAGTTGCAGAACCTTGGACAAGAGGCGTCGGGTCATACTTCGACGATGAGGCAGGCGAACTGTGGCGCAGAGGTCTCAGATGGCCATTTCCGTACTTTTTGCCAACTCGGCTTATGTTTTGTGCAGGGTGAGCCTTGAGGTGGTGCAAGCTCGGAGGGCTCCCAGCAGCCGATGTCTGTCCTGTTCGTTCCCGAGATGCTTTCGATGATTTTTGGGATGGTCACTTTGGATTGTCTGGTTTGTCTGGAACTCTTGCAGGCGAACGCCAGCGCATTACCTGAAGCTCTTCCGGGACAGTGGGTCCGAGCCCTCCAGTTTTACCGCTTTACATCATACTGCGTCAGCGCCTAGCCCCCTTAAGAACACCCGGAAACCCTTACACCATCTTACGCTCTTCTTGCTGGAAAACGCTGAAGACAAGAGGGGTCGGGAGGTTGGAGCTCATCCTACGTCGACGGCAACTCTTCTCGCAGGAGGAGATGCGACATGCTCAGCATTTGCCCTGTCATCAAGTGGTCAGCCGTGGCCCTTCTCGTTGGATAAGGCCCATGATGCTGTTTGTTCTGTCTGTGCCATCTCGAGCTGAAACGGCCAGACAGCCAGCATTTCGTGGCACAGTTTTACAAACCACATCGGTTGTGCTAATATTGCATTGCGGGAGCTGCAGGGATGTGCTTGGAGAGTCCATTCTGGAGGTGCGGAGGGCTGCAGCAGCAGCGAGGGCAATGCGAGAAGACAGACAAAGCACACGCGACCTTGATCGGGCCAAAAAGACAACTACGACATGGAATGACTCGCAAAGGGCGGTGCTTTAGCAGAATGCATGACGCGTGTTTGCGGCTGATCTCCAGTCCAGAAAATTATGGCACTTAATGATCAAAGGTGGTCAGGAATTCAATGCCCACAGTCGCGACTCTGGGATTTCGATTTGAATCTGGTGAGTGCTGGGTTGTTAGTGCATTTACAGCGGGCTAAGTTCCATGCCAAGAAACAGCCGGCTGGCGGGATTGCAGCCGGGCTGACGGGACTACGACGTGTGCAGGCACGCCTGGCTCAGTCATGTACAGGAAAAAGAATGCATCCGCCATGGCTTGCGATGAGCTGGTGCCAACTGCTGATCCGAGCAGCTTGTGTCGCAACGTGCGTCGTGGCGTCAGCGCATGCAGAGGATGCTGTACTACAGCGCGTGCAGCGTGGACAGTCCAAGGCGGCCCATGCCACACTTCTAGTAGGAGGCCTTGTACGCAACGCAGCACAGCACTTGCCGCGGCTGCGCAAGAAGCTTGAATCCCTTGCCGATCATTTTGCGAGAGTCCGAGTTGTTTTTGTCGAGAACGACTCCAGCGATGGTACCGGCGCGTATTTGGACAGCTGGGCCAAGGCTCCAACAGGAAGAGTCACATTGAAGGCAATCCGCCTAACTCTGTCGCAGGACAAGCGAGTCGGCGTGTACAGAAACCGGGGTGAGTTGAAAGCGAAGGGATGGGGCCACGACGGCGTGCGCCTCTTGGCTCGGCTTCGAAATATGTACCTGGCCGAGCTGCGGAAGGAAGTGGAGGGGAGCACCCAGGTGGAGGGCCCAGAGAGGAGTTTTGAGAATTATTGGATCTTAATGGTTGATGCTGATGTTGGAACGGAGTGGTCTGCATCATTTCTGCTGGAAGCTATAGGTCACGAGGCAAGATGGCATGCCCTTTGTGCTCATTCCTGGTACCGCTCAACAGACCTTTATGACGCATTCGCGCTGCGTGCTGCGGGTGTACAAAGCTTGTCTCCCCTGAATTTTGAAGAAGGGACCGGAAGGAGCTTCTTCCCTCATGCGCTATGTGGCTTGCAGAGGCAATGGGGCGAGCACTGTGGCTGCGGGATGGGGTGGTCACATCAGGGCAAGACATGCAGCTCATGTGACGCATCTGCTACGGCTCGCTCACTACTTCCTGTCGACAGCTGCTTCGGGGGCTTGGCTCTCTATCACGAGAATCTTCTGCACAAGTTCAAGGCTTGTCGATATGATGAAGGTCTTGATGACTGCGAACACGTGGCCTTGCATAGCTGCATGAGGTCTCAGAAGGCCGTCATAGTCCTGCAGCCCGACTTTGTTGCCCGTGCAAGTGCCGCGAACAGCACGTGCTGCGTGGAAACGTGTCATCAAGCGGAGTCTTTTCCAATGTCCTTCCTGCCGTTTCAGCCTCAGTTCTTCACATCGCGGGTGGATCGGGTGGATCGGGTGGCAGGGTTGCTGGCAGCAGGAATGTCACTCGAGGAAGCGGGGCAGTTGCAGGCGGCCCTTGAGAAGTATCAAGAAGCTGCGCGGCTGCCTACAGGTGCCGCCTTAGGTTTGAAACGCTGGGCTGCGCGTGCTGGGCTTTTTGGTGCGTTTCTCCTGCTGCAGTACAAGCAGGCCGACAAGGCCATGCTCCTTCTCACACAAGGAACCGGCCTTCTGGCAAACGTTGATCCCTGGGCGTCTATGATAGCAGGGCACGTGCACGAGTTGCTGGACGACTTGCGAGGCGCGGCTGCGTGGTTTGAAAAAGCACTCCAGGCCTTCGAATCATGGCCTGGTGCTCCCACTGAAGAGAGACAACAGGCTTGGAATGGAGCATGGATGAAATCGCGACTGTCCTGGCTACCGGCCACCCACACCTCGACACAGGAGGCCCTCGAGGCGATTCGAAACTTCACTGCAGGGCTCAGCGAGATCGTGCTTTCTGCGAGCTCATGTGGCATTCCCGCAGCATTCGATACCCGTTCCGTAGAGACGACTCGGCTAACTTACCTCGGGCCAGCGCTCGTTCCCCACGTGCCCGAGCTTGCATCTGTGTACTCACGAGTGCATCTGCGTTCGCTCCCAAACCTGGGCTTCGAGGGCTTCGAGGCCGATCCTGCAGCTTTGCAAGCTGATCAAACTGGTTCTGCTGGCAAATCCAAGTCTGCACAAGTTCGAGTTGGATTTGTTTCCGGTCTTTTCGGCGACAGTGCTGTGGGAAACCTCGCCAGAGGAATCATTTGGCCTCTGCCGAGATCTGTCTGGGTCGCCCTCGTGTGTCTTGGAAGCTTGAAGCGGAGTTCGAATTCTTCGGAGAGTTCCGGGATGGTCGTGCAAGCCTTGCTGGAGCGCGCGGACCATGTGGAAGAAGCATCGCACTGGGCGGGTGCCTCGCCTGGAACGGAGAAGGAGCTGGCTCGCGCCAGGGAGGCAATCTTGAAGCTCAGGCTCGATTGTCTGTTGTATTTGGAGATTGGGCTGGATGTACGAAGTTTCACTTTGGCTCACAGCCGGTTGGCACCGATACAGATGGTTACCTATGGCCATGCTTCCACCACTGGAATTCCGACCATCGATGTCTTTCTAGGCTTCCGGGCTTTCGAGCCAAACCCAAGCTGGATTGCACAGCGGCAATACAGCGAGCAGCTCGTTCTGTTGCCAGGCCTTCCCTTCTTCTTGCCAAGCACAGTCCCTCAGGATCCTCAAGCTGACCCCTCTCCGCTGCAGTGGGCCTCTCTGATGGGTCTGTCTGTTGCTGGCACCTGCAACTTGCAGGCACATGTATATCTGGTGGCGCAGACGCTGTACAAGCTCGTGCCGCTCTTTGACGAAGCCCTGGTGGGAATTCTGCAGAAGGATGCGGAGGCTGTGGTGGCAATCCGGGTGGGCCATCCCCAGCCTCAAATCCACACGCGAATTGCTTCAAGGCTCTCAAGAGACTCGAGGCTGGAGCCTTCTCAGCTGGCTCGTGTGTGCTTCATCCCGATGCAGAATGCCAGCACGTATTTCTGGATGCTGAAGCATGCAAGCGTGGTTCTCGACACATTCCCTCATGGTGGTCACACAACCACCCTTGATGCCTTGAGCGCCGGTGTGCCATTGGTAACCCTGAAAGGTGAACATCTTGCTGGCGGTTTCGCCGCAGGGTTCATCCAGGCTTTGTTCGAGAACAAGAGCATACAAGACGATTTAAGCAGCTGCTGCGTGGCACTGACGACCTCTGACTATGTGGAGAAAGCTGTACATTTAGCATCTAGCCCCGACTACTATGAGCAGGCAGCTTGGTGCAGCATGAGAGGCATTGTTTCTGTTGGGGCATGTAATGCGTGCAAGGCCCTGCAACCCTGCCAACTTTTGCCTTTCTTTGGTGCCACCTGTTCCAAATGTGCTGCATGCAAGAAGGTTGGTATGTGGATCAAAAGCCACGTGTCTCAAGTCTTTCACCGCCGTGATGGAGCAGAAGGCTTGGCGCAGATGTTGCTGTCGCTTCGCGAAGCGGCGAAGGATGCCAAGAGCTCAAAAGATGCAGTCACACTCTTCGGGCCCCTGTGGCCTCAACTTGTTATGTTTTGTCATTTCAGTCATCCATATTCATTAGCGCAACCATGGGCATTGAAAGAGTTGTGCCCTGTCGTGCACAGTTGCACAGAGTCTGGCAAGGTACCTCCGAGATCCTACGCAGTTCACTTGGGGCATCTTTCCGATGGCATTGCATCCGCGCAGCTGGCGACAAGCTTCTTCAGCTCCTTTGCTTGTTTCTAAGAGATTGTCTTGCTGGAAAGCTTCCACGTTTAGGGTTTGTGCAGGGTTTTTGCGTCTTAGTTGCTGTTGTGAGGAAAACTCCACTGCACGGACAATTCCACATCAGTCCATCTGGCCTCTGCACGTTGTGGGCATCCGGAACCCGCACCTCCCAGTGTCTCGCCAGTGAGCAGAGCTAGTGTGGAGACCTGCCGAGTCTACTGTAGTTGAGTTGAGTCTAGTTAGCCGTCTGGTCGTAGGGTTTAGAGATTGGGGCTTTTAGGGTTTAGAGCTCAGTTTGAGGTTGGGGTTTGGGCCAGGGTGCTTGGGGGTTCAGCATTTCGGCTGAAGTTCTCCTCGCTTTTCAAGGTCTATTCCTGAACCTTCCCATGCAGCCCCTGCTCACAAAATCCCTGCAGCCCCTGCTCAACTCCTCAACCAACACCCCTAAACCCCGACCCTCCCCTCAATGCTCCAACTCACCAACCCAACAACCTTGACAAACTTAGCGGCCCTTGAGTAAGCAATGAACCCAGCTGACCATGTCAGTAAGGCAAGCGGAACAAAAAAGTTGGTTTCATGAAGCCAAGACATCAAGGGCATGGAAACGGTTAACACACTGACCAAGAATATGACAACTTTCTTGAAGCCTTATTGACTCTAAATAGGCTTCTCGCTGCCATCTCACCCTCTCCTCTTTTTCTCATCTCTCAAGTGCAGCGGGTAGGTGGGGTTTGGGGGCACAGGTTGGACAGACAGACACACACACACAACACGCACCTGTAGTGGGGAGTTTCTTCTTTCTGGCCGCTGCAGGATGTCCCCAAGCCCTCCACCTTTCCCGCTTGTCAGGCCGAGGAGGTTGTCCAAGAGAGCTTCACAACCGCCCTGGCCGGTCACGGGGGCCTGGCAGTGGCCTTCTGCTGCGCCTCCGTCTCTCTCGTCGAGCTGCTCTCCTGGGCTCCCCAAATGGTGGAAGTCCTTCGTGAGCATGGTTCCCATGGTTCCCATGGTTCCCATGGTTCCCATGGTGGGCAGGGTGGGCATGGACAAGTCTGGCTCGGCCTGGCTCACCACGCTTACCCTACTGCAACTGCGCGGCAGTTGCCACTGCTGCCACTGTCAGTCATCTACCTGCTTACATCGGATCTGCAGCTCCGGGCGGTGTCTCTGGAATTTTGTGTGGCAGAACCACAGCGTCTTGACAACTGATGATGCTTCTTAATTTGCCGCGGAGTCAAGCTTTGACTTTTAAACAAAGCATGCGTGCTTGCAATTGAGGCCTGATGCGGATGCTGCTCAGTCGCATTCGGCCGCTGTTTGTGCGCACTGAGTGCACAACCGCACATGTTTCGTGCGATACGAGGTGTTGAATTGGAGATTTGGGCCCAATTCCTGCAAATTCAAGCCGACATCCTTGTCCATCTGGCACGATGCCGCGACCTTGCCTCAGTGTCCGAGCTCGGAGTGGCCTAAACCGGTCTAAACTGTGATCTCAGAAATCTTCCACATGTATGGTAGAGTCAGGACACACTCTTTCGAGCTGCTTCTTTTGGACGACACTTCCCTCGGAGCGGCGCTCCCGGCACCTCAGCGAAGCTCAGAAGAAGCCGAAAAAGAGAGCGCCAACAAAGATAAGAAGCAAGAAGAAGACATCGGTGTGAGGGTCTGTCGGATGAGGGTTGCATCTTCTGTGGTTTTCAGTTGAACCTCGTGCAAGGCATCGGTACTGGGAGCTCTGCTCCATCCTCTCAAAGCCGTTCCACTTGGGCCACCGGTGGAAGTAAACGGCTTGCGCTGATCCGCGCCGAGAAAGGGCTTGTTCCAGATCCTTTGTTCTGATCGGTCGCTGTGGTGAACCTGTGAAAGACACCAAAAGTAGAGGAACTCCAAACACATTGGTGCATATTTGGTTCAAGTTGCAGGGGCTCTATGCCACGCATATCAGCCGCGATTCGCTGCACGTGGCTCGAGCGGGGATGGGCGCACAGATGACTGTACCTTGTGAAGGTTGGGCTTGCCGCAGCTTGAACAGTATGTTACAGTATGTTTGAACATGTTCGAGCTCGCACCTGTGCAGGCCAAGTGGAGGCCATGCACGTGCCATGAGCAGCGTGCAGGCCAAATGCCACTGGACCCTTCAGCGCGCCTTGCCTGAATGCGCCACTTCTTTTCAGGCTCAGTTGTTTGCGTCTCTTCACGCTTGGCTCACAATTATGTGCGGTTTTGCTCACGTTGTTGGGGTGGATTTGTGTGTCAGTTTGGTACTTGTGGGAGTTCCACACCAGGTTACATTCTGCACGGGGGTGGGAGTGCACTATATTCACTAACTACATGTCTGCCCAGTTGCCTGTGCAAATCGTTTTCGAGCAGTGCAAACGATGTGTGTCCGACTATACTCGACGTAAACTTTCAGAGGGGCCATTGAGTTGGGTAAGGAAGCTGTTGTGCTAAGCGTTGACGATAGCTCATAATACGGGGGTGGGGTTGATCCATATTCTGGGCATGTTAAATAACACAGGGCGGACAGCAAGGCCATGACTAATACAGGTAGTTGCTTGCGACAGTTTTGCACAGAAGCGCAGCATTCTTTGCCGAGAAGAGCTGACGGGGTGCCCCGAAGTGGGAAAGCATGGCACGCCCGTGTTCTCGTGCCGTGTGCGGCCTTCGAGTTGGGCTGTTCGGGGTGACCGGTTTTGGCTTCAGTCGAAAAAGGCATGAGGCCCGCTGCGTTGCAGCCGCTGCCCACGAAATGCCCCCGGCCCCGGCGCCAATCCACCCCGGCGTCCTTGAAGCTGCCAAGCTGCTTGTTCCCAAAGTAGACGTGGGCGTGGACGTGGAGAGACTACAAGAAAACGACTTGGTGCGTTTCTTGTATTTTTCGCAGAAAGAGATGGAGCGGCTGCTGGCGGCAGACCAAGCGATAGCACACGAGGTCATGGATCTGGCCATCGTCACGTGGAAGCCAGGGGGAGGGCCAGGTCCATGGGATCAGGGAATCTTTGCCGATAACCTCCCCAAATACATTGATGTGGATGAGATGGTTGGGTTTGGGGATGGTTTTAGAGCCATCGCCGTGGAACGGTGCACAAAGCTGCAGCAGCTGGGCCCGCCGACTCACAATAAGCGGGGCAGCCTACGGTGGCGGGTGAGCCTTGTGCTTTCCAAGATAGCGCATGGCGGTTTCACCTCCCGATCATCCTTGTGAGGAGCTCTCACACGTTGGGTCGGACCTACGCTGGCTGATGGTTTCGCAAACAAGGAGGCGCTGCGCAAGCCGAAAGTGTGGGCCGTGCAAGCGGCAAGCGCCGAGTTTCTTGAGGGTTAGGCAACTTGTTGAGCTTGGGCCCCCGACATGAGCCTGAATCCCAAACCCTTTTTGTCCTTGAGTGCCACAATTTAGGGAACCTACCATAGATGAACCCCAAACATAGCATTTAGGGTTTCGGGACCCATCCATTGAAGGTTTCCTTTTGTGCCCAGGGTTCCTCTAGCTGCGTCGGCGGGCACCTCTATGAGAATTCTGACTCCCCACTTCCGAGTCTATGAAACCCGCAGGTTCCCCCAGCTCACACCCTGCTGACTCCAACCGTGAAGCAAAAAAACAAGCCTGTACCCTCAGCTTGTGGGCGAGGCCTGAGCAGCCGGAAAGAGTTGTTGGTCAAGATAACAGATAATACTGCCTCTGATCTATGTATATTTTTATCTATGTGTAGAAAAAGCATGTATCATAATCAGTTGTGTTCAACGTTCTTCATCCCTGCGAGCACCGAGGCCTGGATTTGGCAGGAGCCAGAGGGGTCAACCTCGCTGTAGATCCACTGCATGCCGAGTATGACGCTGCGGCAAATGGAACGGAACGTGAGGACAGACGTCGGTAGAGCCCTACGGGACTTGGCAGGCGCCGGTGTCCTCGGTGCCCTGAGTCTTTACCGAGTTCTCGGGGTTTCTTGCTCGTCCAAGCAGAATCCCATCGAGAAGGTTCAGGAAGATTGCTCCTTAGGAGTTCCATCAATGCTCTATGGGGCGCGCTGAGGCTGGGCCACCGGATGGATCTCATCTGGGCCGCAACAGCTTGGGATCTGATGCCCTGGCCTTGGCTCTTTGGCCAAGTTGTTGCAGCTTCGAGCGTTGCTTTTGACTTTTCACGAGTTGACATGCCCGTGCACATGCACCAAGCTACGGCCAAGCTACCTTCTCGTTCAGTGGCGGTTTCCCACACATGACAAGCATGAGCTTGCGTGCAAGGTCATAGATGCACTCCGACCGCAGCCAGCGCTGGCCTTGTGTGTGTTGGAGTGTTGGTACTGTAGTACTGTAGCTCGTTGTGCGAGTGGCAGCATGAAGAGGTTGGCCTTCGTCGGAGCATCATCCTGCTTCAGTCTGAGTTTCTCATCACATGGAGGTTGAGCTGCAAGAAGCTCCAAATTCCTCTGTTCAGAAAAGCAACAGGTTTGACCAGGGCTGGCCGGGAGCAGCAATGGCACACGTCAGTCGCCTTTCTCGGCCTGAGAGGTCGGGTGGACATGATGCTTACGCCCATGACGAGGGTACCGGAGAAGGCCAAGACTGGCATGAATGGCAATGCAGGGTCAGTCTCGCGCTCTGAGCCGCGACAAGGTGCGGAGGATCAGGCGCAAGCTGATAGCAGATGGGATATGAGAGTATGGGAGCTGTGACTCGTTTCCATGGAAAGGTGCCGGAGTCTCCTCCTTCACCGATCCGGGTCTCTCGACAGGCCGGCACGATCTACACAAGCTGCAACTGTGCATTTATCCTGCGTGTGGCTTGTAGCTGGACCGCCATATGCAAAAACAAAGCTAGCTTAGCAAGCCTTGTGCTGTTTCCAGTCCCTTGTCAAAGGAGAAGGTGCCCACCAATGCACGCGCCCGCCTTCTTGCGGACAGTTCTGACAGCCAGAGCCCTGTTTTCTGGTGCGGGTGGCTAGCAGCTCGCATGCGCCGATTCAATGATGTACCCAGGTGATGATGCAAGCCGGGAGCCAAGAGAGTGTTGTTACGTGATTTGTTACATTCAAGGGCTTGCTGGGTTCATGTTATTCGACTTCCTAGTTTTGCACATACCTGTTTCGCACACGCCAGTGGAAGTGTGGCTTGCTTCACGGCTTTAGCATCCACTGAGATTGCTAGTTACTAGGTACTAGTACTAGTACTAGTACTAGTACTAGTACTAGTACTGGAACTAGTACAAGTACTAGTACTAGTACAAGCGGCAGCAGCGGCAGCGGCGGCGGCGGCAGCGGCAGCGGCAGCAGCAGCAGCAGCAGCAGCAGCAGCAGCAGCAGCAGCAGCAGCAGCAGCAGCAGCAGCAGCAGCAGCAGCAGCAGCAGCAGCAGCAGCAGCAGCAGCAGCAGCAGCAGCAGCAGCAGCAGCAGCAGCAGCACTTCTTGTTACTTGTAGTGTGCGTCTGTCTAGCTCCCTTTGTCCCTTCATGGCTCCTTTCCTAGTCTGCCCTGGCAGATCAGAAAGTGCAATGTGCCTGTTAGCAGCTATGAATGTACATCGTGCGCCTTCAAAATTTTTTTTGCATGGGTTTCCTGCATCATCCTGCCTGGCGTGCGTCATAGCCAGCGTTCGTTGTGTGTTGTGCCCGAGTAAACTGATGGCCGAAACACCAGCGTTCTGCAAAGTATGTCCATGTGTTCATTCATCATGCCCAGCGATGCCTGCACACAGAAACCTAATGTCAGTTGTTGTTCGTCTCCATGTGAGATCAGTGGCAAGCACTGAGTACTTCTCGTCTGGCAAGCTATCTGTAGCAGGGCCCGTGCGCGTGGCGAGAGCCAACAAGGCTCTTCAGTATTCTTCAGTGCCATCGTTGTTGCACGGCATCGTGCACTCCGAGTGTCCCCGTGAAGATGCATGAAGCCGCAGTGCTCTGCACATCGGTAGGCTGCAGCAAGCGACCCAGCCGGCACGGGTCAGCATGATGCAAGTACCAGGCAAGATGGCTGCAGACAGTGATCATGCAGTGTTTGCACGCAGCCCCAGCTTGCCGAGGGCTTCTGTGGAAGCAGTGCAGGATCGGAAAGGGAGCACGCCAGAACAGGAGTATTTGCTAAGCGCGAGATGACATATGCAAGTCGCATTCCTTCTCCGAATGTGCCAGTTGCACTTTCAGCCAAATGCCAGCGCAGGAGCCCGCGCCATCGAGTCAGAAACCCAACATGCGCAGAAATGACTTGTGCAGATTTCAAGTTCACAGCTGTCAGGTCCAGCGGCGGCCCAAAGGCCGCGAGATGGGGCTGAGGAGATTTTTTTGATGCGGTGCAGATCATCAAATCGTGAGTGCTTCCGCCCACGGGCCCGGTGTGCTTCGAAGGATCCGCATCCTGACGAAGAAGGTGACGAAGAAGGCCAAGAGCCCGATGTACGCACCGTCAAAGCCGTCAGTGGCCTGGGGAGCTGCCGTTCGGGAATGTGCATTCGAGATCCAGCCAGCGGGGAGGCACGGAAGCTGGAGCTTGCATTGTTACCGAGGATAGTGCCTCCGGTGATCGTGACGAAGGTCGCGGGCCGAATATAATGAGAAGTCGTCTGTGAGATGCTCCGCAGATGGTGGGTGCAGGTCCAGTGCTCGAGGTGGCGGCGACAGCAAAGGCAAGGCTCTCACCCTATCGTAGTTGGTGCCACCGCATGGGGCAGGGTGGCGGGTGTGGGACAGCCGCGAAGAGTGCTCGACATCGTTGTCGTTTGCTGATGCGCTGCGATATGCGGTTTGGCGCTTTTTGCCGCTGTCTGTGAGCATGGTTGCAGGAGCAGGGGGAGAGGCTGGATGCTCGGGGGGAGGCCAAAAATTGAGCAGCCAGTCCTTGACATTGAGCCTCTCTGAGGCGACGCGGAAACCCAGACGGCAACGAGGCATCGAATCTCAAGTTCAGCAGGGCAAGCTTTTAAAGGGTCGTGGGACATCCTGGCGACAGCTCACCAGTTCTGCACCACGCGAAGGACCCACATCCTGAAGAGGATGGGGAAGGGGGCAAAGAAGAACCGAGGCAAAGCCCAGAGCAAATGCCCCGCACCCTGAGGGCCTATGAATCCTATGACAGCCGAAGAAGCCCTTGAAAAGGTCAAGAGACGTTCCTCCCGAACCGCCAGCAAAGCATGAAGAGCCTCAGTGGCCCCAGGCTTGGCGTTCGGATCATGTGGAAGCATGTGGAAGCGCATGGAAGCTTGTGGGAGCTCCGCTGCACCTCCCAGCGTTGCGCAGGCAAACGTTCCTCGTGATCGCGAGGACAGTCGGGGACCCAGTGCCTTGCTACGTGGTGCGGCCATGTGCGTCGCTGGGATAGAATCTTCAATAGCAAGCAATGTTGAAGATGAACACATTGGAAAGACACCACAGGACAACTTAACACCGACTAGCAGCAAACCGCTGCCTAACCTAATGGAGGAGCACCCTACTAATGGAGGAGCGGAGGCAGGACAGCAGGAAAAACGAACCACGAGGACAAGGTAAACAGCACTGAGGCAGACAGAGAAGACACATAAAGGGGTCGAGCCATCCAGGACAATGAGGAAACAAGAGGTACGCAGGATACCGAGAACTGTACCCACCAACAGCCCGGACGAATGCCACTGCGGCTTGGATCTTCAACCAGCACTTGAGAGCCAAGCGGCGAAGTTTCAGACGGGGACGTGGAGCTTTCATGGGTCCACGCCAAGCAACGCTAAAGTTCTTAAAGCTGGCCATGCGCGCGAGAGAGTGTCGTGGTTCAGGTCCGATGTCAGAGAAAGTTTTAAGAGATCACGACGACAGCGGAGGGCCCAGCATGGCCCACATATCTCTTCCTGTTTGTTGCTGAAGGAGGTTGAGAGCTGCGCCGCTGTCCACGTGCAGGTCCGATAGTCCATGAAGTGGGGAAGGCTTCGAGGGAGCGTTTGGGAAGTGGCGCCCCGAGTATGGCCTTGTGTGCGTCAGCGCGGGTTGAGAGAGCCGTGATGTGCTGCGCTGCACTGCGCTGCAGGTTTGCCTGGCCCCATACCCCGTGCTGCCGGAAAAGCTCCCGGCGATGAGAGCCGTGGACCAAGTCCCATTCATGAGGTTTATTGTGATGGCGCAACTCAGTACGCCACGCGGAAACCAAGAGAAAACAAGACCAAGGAGGGTTGCAAGCAAGCCTTCTGCATGTAAGGTCAACGGGCCAAAAGACAAGCGGATACCCCGAAGGCCAAGGATGAGACATTCACTGCGCATGGCAAGGGCAAGTAGTGCTAATAAACACGAGCCCTTCGACAGAGGCTGTGAATGATGCGATGCAGAGGCACTGCCATTCGAAAGTCGCAGGTGAAGTCCACGCAGTTTGCTTTCAGACGCGACAGGCAAAGTAATCTCAATGCGCAGACGCGAGCTAGCTCGTCCGGCAAGGCCGACGCACATGACAGATGCTGATGTGCTTAGCTTGCTGTAACAATAAATAATAGTGACAATTGATAATAGTAGTAATAAAATGATAACAATAATCACAATAATAACAATAGTAATAGTAACAACAATAATAATAATAATCATAATGATGATTGTAATCATAAATGCATGTATAACAACAATAATCAATATGGAACGCATGCGTCGCTGCTGAGCCAGGCCCGGAGAGACAGCCGTCATGATGAGCAGGGTCAGAGTGGAGGTGAGTGGACCAGGTGTTAGGGATCGTTCGTGTCGTGTCCTTCCACATGTCTTGTCATGGAACTTGGTGCCAGTCTTTAATGATGCAGCTTTTTGTGTAGTTTTGCGCAGTTCAGGTCACCTGCCCAAGGCAAAGGCAGCCAAAGCCAAGGCAAGCCGGCAAAAAGCAAGCATGGCATGCCCCCAATGTAGCTGCCCATGCTTGCATACCTGCGGACGTATGTCTGTGCGTGCAATGACTGCAGGGACAGTCAGTCGCCGGAGCCGCTCAAGAGAACAGGCTGGTGTAGGCATCACAGACGTTCAGGAACCCCTGTGTTTTCCACGCAGGCCTCCATCCTTGCAAGGGGTGACGGATAAGGAGTCGAGAGTGCTCTGCCTTACTTGGCAGATTGTGCCCTTATGCATCCACCTGAGGACGTACGAAGCTACAACAGGAGGAGCGAAGTGGAGAGTGACAACAGAAGGCCAGGGACGCTCAGCTCGGAGGTGTAAACTGGATTGGTGGCTCCCAGTCATTTCGCGACACCAGGCTGGACGGAGCTAAGAAGCCCAAGGCAGGGAAAGTTCAGGTCCAGTGCTCAAGCCGTGACAGCTGAGCTGAACCTTCAGGCCATGCAGACGTCCGGGCCCCCGGCCAGTGGATAGCATCGGATAGACGTGCCCCAAGAACCTTTTGTGTGGTTTCCGCCAGGTCTGTACCGAAGACAGCCCAGGGTCAAGACGAGGCATTGTTGCAACGTGAGTTGCAGCGAGTTGCACTGTGAGCTGAAACCTGTGAGGCGCGTGTGTCAGTATCTGCGTTGATTGAAGACTTCTGTTCAGGGGAGGACGTCAGTTTCGCCAAGGAGATCTAGATCCGCTTCAAGGTCGCGCCCTGTCGAAGGGTGCGCAGGCCACTCCGTGGCTCTTGTTTGGTGCTGCGGCATTCTGCCAGGACTCCCGATCAACATCGAGACGCTGGCGATGCTGCTTAGTCGCACTTTGGACTCGAGTCTGACGTAGGTTCGTTGGCACCAAGGTATTGCATAAGCTTGCATACTCAGTGCACCGATTGCCGCTTGACGGTCCTGTCTAATCGCAGAAAGGTGGCACTAGGGGACAGAACGCACCTTTGCGCAAAGCTAGTTGGCAAGCTTCATACGACTGGACTCTTTCCCCCAAGGAATCGATTCTCAATTCCTTCAAGATATTTCCGACGAGTCAAGATAGGTCTGCGGGTTTCCGGTGGATCGTGTCTCCCCTTGTCTCCCTTCAAGTTGGATGGACAGGCCTGCTGGGTTTGTGTCGCCTTTTGTCTCCCTTTGTCTCCATTCATCTTCGGGAAAATCTCACTTTACTGTTTGGGGTCTTGTCAGACGGTCTTGTCCTTTGCTCAGACTTGTGGATTTCCTGCAGGAATTATGTTTAAACAGGGCCTGGGGGGTAGGGCGGGGGAATCACGGTTCCGAGACCGCTCGATAATGCCATCAGGTGGTTCAGAAAGATTTCTTGCCTACAAAGCCCGAACCCCCCAGCTCGGCAACTAAGCGTTTTCTGCATGATCGCGCCCCGCATTTTGCGCTAGTATTTTGCAGCGTCTGTGCCGAGGAGCATGCTGGGCATCCGGGCCGCAGCCAAGCACGCCGCCCTGGGATGCCTCAGAGCGGGAAAGGGATGAAGGGGCCACCTCCCAAGCACTTGAGCAACGGGAGCCAGATGCTGCTGGAGAGTGAGACCTTGCCCGGCCAACTGTCTCCTGGAGCAGACGACTCCACCACCTTCCACGAAACTCCACAACATCTTGCACCGTCGCTTGTGTCTTCCCCACTTTCCGAGCACCTGCAGTCTCATGCTTCCACAGCGCCCGGGCACTTCCCCTTTGAGCACGAGTACGAGGGGCACAGGGCAGCAATGTCGGAGCAGCAGTATCCCAAAGCTGGACACATGTCGCCACGCAGGCCCGCGTGGCGGCATCTGGGGTGGTTAATGGGAATGCACGTGCGGAAGCAAGCTTTGACTGCGGTTGCGAAGCATACATGGCACAACTTGTTTTTGGCGCACCTTGTCATGACGCAACATATCCGGCATGAGATGCGACGGGCATCCTTGTACAGCTTGTGCAGGATCCACTCCGCCCACGAAGCTCGCAGGCTCGAAGAGGCTGGTGCAGCTCATTCGGAACATGTCGCGGGCCCAGCTCAGCTTCGTTTGCGTTTGCAGTGTGGAAGTGGTCTGCTTGAGGATGCATCCGTCTACTGGCATCCACACTATGGCTGGGTCGAACGGGAGCCGGACGACTTCAAGATGGTGCATCCCGCAAGGTGGGCCAAGCTTCGTGTCCGGTTCTGCATGGGTTCTGCCTTGCTGAGCTCGTCAGATCGACTGCAAAGATGGATTGAAAATCGGCGTCAACCGTTAGAATACCTTGAAGCACATCATTCTTTTGTCTCTCCTTATTCTTCTTATTCTGTTTCCCTCTATCTCCTAATGATAGACCTAATGGTGAGAGCGAACATGAAGAGCGAAAACATGAAAGGTGCCCGAAAGTCAATTGTAAAGTTGAGAAAGAGAGAAGATGAATGCCTCCTGACTGGCGCAGGCTGCCGGAACGGCCACTTCCTTCCGGCTGCGGTGCATACTACCCACCACCTGATTCGCCGCGGCTGGAATACCAGCGACATACCAAGCCACATGGACCAAAGCACGTGTGGGAGACCTCCGAGGAGCATGCTGGGCATCCGGGCCGCAGCCAAGCACGCCGCCCTGGGATGCCTCAGAGCGGGAAAGGGATGAAGGGGCCACCTCCCAAGCACTTGAGCAACGGGAGCCAGATGCTGCTGGAGAGTGAGACTTTGCCCAGCCAACTGTCGCCTGGAGCAGACGACTCCACCACCTTCCACGAAACTCCACAACATCTTGCACCGTCGCTTGTGTCTTCCCCACTTTCCGAGCACCTGCAGTCTCATGCTTCCACAGCGCCCGGGCACTTCCCCTTTGCGCACGAGTACGAGGGGCACAGGGCAGCAATGCCGGAGCAGTATCCCAAAGCTGGACACATGTCGCCACGCAGGCCCGCGTGGCTGCAGCTGGGGGGGTGGTTAATGGAATGCACGTGCGGAAGCAAGCTTTGACTGCGGTTGCGAAGCATACATGGCACACCTTGTTTTGGCGCACCTTGTCATGACGCACCATATCCGGCATGAGATGCGACGGGCATCCTTGTACAGCTTGTGCAGGATCCACTCCGCCCACGAAGCTCGCAGGCTCGAAGAGGCTGGTGCAGCTCATTCGGAACATGTCGCGGGCCCAGCTCAGCTTCGTTTGCGTTTGCAGTGTGGAAATGGTCTGCTTGAGGATGCATCCGTCTACTGGCATCCACACTATGGCTGGGTCGAACGGGAGCCGGACGACTTCAAGATGGTGCATCCCGCAAGGTGGGCCAAGCTTCGTGTCCGGTTCTGCATGGGTTCTGCCTTGCTGAGCTCGGCTCTTCAGGTTTCCGGAACGGCCACTTCCCACTGGCTGCGGCGCACGGTACCCTGCCCATCACGCCCCTGATGCGCCGTGGCTATGGTTCAGATGATACGTGTATCTAACAGGGCTGTCGCCCACAGCCGCGGCGAAAGCGCCAGGGAGGCTGAAGCGGGTGACTTTGGTGGCCTCTACAGACTTGCGGGGCTCAGGCAGGTGCCGGTTGGTTTTGTGGCCATGATCGGAGAAACCAGTTCCAGCTTGTGCCCATGATGCTCGGCCTGTTGCTTACAAGTGTGATTCGTAGTCAGCATGGACGGGTTTCAGCTCTCAGCTCCAGCGGGGTTTAGGGTTCACCTCGTGTGTCGGAGTGCCTGGGAAGACATGGCGTTGGTTTGTGCCGAGACTTCCTAGACCCCAAACCCGACTAGCCCCTCCCACCCTCCATCCTTAGCGAAACATATTTGACTGTTCAGCTGCCTCTGCACCTCTGCTGCTGAGCTTTCGTCACCCCCTGGGCGCAAGTCAGTGGACCAGAACCGGCGAGCCGGAATGTGGCCTTCAACAAGCAGGCTTGAAAGGCTCAGGACTCCTTGCTCAGAGCCCAAGGAAGCTCAGGTGGGCAACTGTACCAGAATGTGGCCTCCACGAGACATGAGCCGCAACGTCCTAACGCTTGAGCTGTTAAATCTCACTGTTGGAGTATGGTCTTCTCGGAAAGTCGGAGTTGCAACAGCCCACCCCCTCCTCCGTCAAAAAGCAAAAGAAGAAACACATCTTCCTTGACCCTGCAGAACTTATTTGACAGACCATCATTCACCGTAAGTTTTGTGTTTTTTTTGGAGCCTATTCTGGATTCCTCCTTGATGTCCTCTTTACAAGCGGTTATTTCGAGTTCTGATCGCAAGCTGCTGAGGTTCCACACTACTTCGCTGAGCAAAGCAGCCAGCCCCACAGACCGCTCGGTCAACATTCTCAATTTGCAGCACCTGGAAGCGATGGTCATCAACGTCAGTTTGTGTCTGGACAAGAGCTGGACGAGAGCAGCCGAGCGCAGCTGTGGGAAGCAAGAGCAGCCCCACAACAACACATGGCACCGCCCCCTCACATGTCGGGCGCGAGTCGGCTGCAGCAGCAAATGCTTCTGCTTCAGCAAGAGCAGGAGATGCTGCTGTCACTGTCCAACTCCAGGCATATGTGCAGGCCTTAGTTGCAGACCTCTCTGTGTGCGGAGGTTTTCAAGTTTGATTTCTGCAGGCCTTCGCATGCTCAAGAGTACATCGCTCCATCGGATGCGAAGGCTACTTGGCTGCCTTTCAGGTCGGCTCTAGCACGTGCGAACTTAGCAAAAGAAACGCCTTCGTCTAAGGCTGTCCCTTCGAGACTCCAGTCCCAGCATTCGACAGAAGATCCGGCCAGGAAAGGTGTGCAGAAGAGTCCGAGGCAAGAAAGGTCCATACCACCTACACAGACATCATACCCGCTGGCGCAGCATTTTCTTCAGCAGCACGGACTGAACGATCAACAAGAGGACCCTTTTGCAAGGCAGACGGTGCAGTCCACCTTCAAAAGCGGAAAAACACAGACACAGGCCAAGCAACTTTCCCCAAGCCACTCGCCAGTTCATTCTGCTCTTCAATCTCAGCAGGACGAGCTGCTCTACAGTGCTTCGACCGGGCAAGGTATGCAAGGTTCTCCAAGCCTTCGTACCTTAGCAGCTTCAACATCAGCTCCTGCCTACCCACGAGCCAGGGAACTTGAGCATCAACGGCGACTGCTGCAAGAGAGACACGATGAACTGCGAGCCCATCCTCAAGGCAATCTCAGCTGCACACCTCGAACTCAGCACCGCAAAGGTGGAGGCCTTGTGCAAAATGCGGCCAAGGCCATGTCGAGATCATCATCAGCAAAAGCCATCACGGCAAAGGGAAACAACAGCAGGTTTCCGGACTCGGGACCTCCACGGAGCCCAAGTGTCCCAAGAAGTCCCGGGACCAACCGACCAGCACACACTGCTGTGATCAAGGATCTTGGCAAAACGGCTGTCTTTGTGGAGCCCATTACGGCTGGAAGGCGCACGCCGAGAAGTCAGACAGTTCAGACAGTTCATCCCAAGCCTGGCCACAAAGAGGCCCGTCCCAGAGCCGTCGAACGTTCTGGGAGCCCCTTTGCGGGGCACAGGGCCTCTCCAGTGCGATCGGATCGATCTGCACCTGCAGCGGCAGTGCGACCGGCGCGAGCAGCGCAACCAGCCCGACCAGCGCGACCAGATGGCACAAAGCCTGTCAGCCCGTCGAGGGGCTCCAGCCACTCAAGTCCACGGAGCCCGCGGAGTCCGCGGAGTGAGCGGAGTCCACAGGGCCTCGCAAGCAACCCAAGGGTCAACCGACAGGTCCAGCCCAAAGCAAAGCCAACAAAGATCAAGGCTTCAGACGAGAGTCTTCGGGGCTCGGGAGCCGCGGCTCCAGCTGAGCGCCTGCTGTGCGGCTTGGCTCAGCGGACTCAACAGCTTCAGCAAAGGCCGTTAGGGGATCCCTCTCCGGAGCGTCTTCCGAGGAAGCCTGCAGTGCCCTTGGCGCCGAGGTCTCCGAGATCGCAGACACCACCAAAGAAGAGCCCCGCGGGCCACGCGGGCCCCGCGGGCCTCGCGGGCCTCGCCTCATACCTTCCAGGCGGTCCTGCAGAGCCGTCCAAGCCTAGTGCAGACTTTGCGGACAAAGTGGCAGCTTTGCCCTTGCAACCCGACAAGACTAAGAAGTCCGAGGAGAGTCAAGGGGGCCGTGTGTACATGGGTTTCCGTGATGGCAAGGGACAGAAAAGTGGCTATGGAGTGATGCAGGCGGACGGCACGACCTACACTGGCCAGTGGTGTGGAAGTAAGCGAGAAGGTTATGGAACCCTGTTCTTCAAAGGTGGTGTCTTTGAAGGTCAGTGGCTGCAAGGCAACGCACATGGAAGAGGAGCCATCCATTTTCAAAATGGAGATACATTCGAAGGGACCTATGCGCACAACAAGAAATGTGGACATGGAGTCTACACTTGGGCAGATGGCACCAATGAGGCAGGTGAGTATCTCGGGGGTCAAAAGGATGGCATCCACCTGTGGCGCTCGGGGAGCGAATCGTGGGAGGTGGTTTATGAGAAGGGAACAGTCGTAGCCACGCGACGAGTGGACACTGCAGACGCAGCAGACACAGTGGACAGGAGTGACACGGTGACAACAGCGAAAGAGGATGTGACGGACCTGAGACCACACAGAAGCTCCGATGTGCCAAGCGTCTCGGCTGCCCCGACTGCTGCGGAAGCCAGAACAGCAAGCACAGCGAGAGCGGGCTCGGAGAAGGAGACGCCGAGGGCCCTGGACAAGGCATGGGCGCCCTGCAGGGAATTCTAAGAGGGCCCCGATATGTTCCCACATCTGTTCCCACTTTGCTTGTCTCCTTTCAGGCACGGCCAGCGCCGAGGCCCACTCCGCCCCCAAGTCCGCCCTGCCCGAGTGCGAAGGCCTTGGGGGACTTCTCCAAACATCTCAACCAAAGTTGCCTTGTTCAACTCTTTCACTCAAGACAAGAAGTAGGGCGAAGTAGGGCGAAGGGGGAGTTGGAGGTTCTGTCGTCCGCCATGTGTTTTCAAACCAACGCAGGCTGGCCAGCTTGGCAGCCTGCCGAGCAACCGCTGCCGCTCGGACAGCGCCTTCCGGGCGCAAGGGTTCACAGACCAAGAGATCGCTCGGAACTCAGACTCGAACGTGGCTTCCAGTTTGCCAGTACGGTGGAGGGGCTCCGGGGTGTTTTTTTGGCAAAGACGTGGCTCAACCCTTGTCCCTTGTAAAGGGCTTGTGGCTTGGATCGTTCTTGTTTCCGTCCTCGACGCAGCTTGAAAAGCATCCGACTCCCCACCCTCCCCCCCAACAGGGGTGGCATGGTGGAAGAAAGCCCGGCCCAAACCACCAGTTTCACGGGTGCAGAGCGTTTAGCTTCAACATGCGATGGCTGCACGAACACTGTGGCAAATGGCGGGGGCCAGGGGGGGTGGATGGCTGTGTCCGCCCGCTGAGTAAGAATTCAGCGAAGCCAAAGCCAAGCCATTTTCCTGCGAACTGTCGAGCCACACCTTTGCACAGGAAACGTACGGAGCCGCACCTTTGCACGACAGATCCTCTGCCTAACTCATGGAGGCGCCATGCATGCCATAAGTGGGCCATCTGTGGGCCATAAGGCTCTGATTGAGCGCCGGAGACGCGGCCTAAGTCTCGTTGCTGATCTGACTGCTTCTCCATGAACAAAGTAGGGCACGTGAACGGCATTCTGCTCGAGAGGTCCCCCAAGCTCACCGGCTGCGGCACCCGACAGAGCTGCACAGCCCGGAGGTTGCAGTGTCAGAGCGCCCGGCTGAGACTGCAGACAGAGTTCCGCTCGCTGCTGCTTGCTGAGTGCTCTGTTCCTTTGCAACTTATTGCATGGAAGCAGGTCTATTTCCCCACATCAGCCCGAAGCAGAACCAGGGACACAAGCCGAGGTGGCAGAGCATGGTGTTGAGAAATCTTGAGAGCCATCGGTTCCCTTCTTGCGCCGAACAAAGGTCCTTGCGGTGCTGCCCCCCGTGTATCAGCTCCTGAAGCCGCCGGGGTCCCAGCAGCCTCTTTCAGACCCGGCTGTGGATGAACGGGTACCGGGTAGCGGTATCTGTAATGTCTGTGTACTGTATCTGTAGATACCTTGCCTGTCCTGCATTGTCATGCTGCAAGTGCCGCCCGCCTTTCTGCTCTTTGCAGGCTACTGCGGATGCCGCGGCTGGAGCGGCTGCACCTGCGTGGCCGCAGGTGGGACCCAAGCGTCTTTCACAGCTGGTAGTCGGTGCTTATAGCACAGTGGCCGAGGCAGCAGCTGCTCCATCTGAGGACCGAAGGCGTAGGCGTAGACCACACCCTCCGTGTAGGAACCATTAGGAACGGCTTGCTTTTGATGAGAGCTGCCAGGACTCTTCAGCGCAGCGGGTGCAGGAGATGGATAACGACTCAGACGAGCAAGATTCTTAGCGATGTAAGCCGCAAGAGGTCTGAGACATGCTGCCCATGCTTTCCAAGTTGGCTATTTTGTTTCTGACCGAATGCGCACAGGGTTATGGGCGCAACATCGGAAGGCAAATCCAGATGCAGAGGAAGGCTTCGGGTCAAGTGTTAAAGGCCGTTAGGGATCAGAGCGGTGGCTTCGCCAGAAGTACCCCCTACGCCTTGCTACGCAAGTACTCGACCCAGCAACCCTGAGCGACCCTAACCCAAAACCCCTTGAACGAGAATATCGGGGGCATCCATCCGGGGCAGCGGCAAGGCTGTCGGAACGTGCGCGTGTGTTTCTGCGCCACCCTACCTCTTAATGGCCGAAGCTTCCGAATGAACCGTCGTCCATCCCCACTGCCATTCCCCATGCTGTCTAGTTATCGATCAGTTGCCAAAGACACCGAGGGCCCCCACACGCCTCAGAGAGACGACGCCTGAACGGCCCGAGCGGCCGGAGGATGTCTCACCCTTCGAAGTTGCCACCTTTTCAGAAAAGGGGTCATGCGACTGATAGTCCAGTGATAGCGCTTGTTGTAGAGACTATCTGCCGCATGGCCGAGTGCAATGCTAGTGCAACTTTCCTAAGAAGCCGCGGATGATTTTCCTCTGCTCCTGAATTGGGAGCGTTGCCAACTCTGTAACTAGCGGGATGTTGGCAGGAGCTGCACAGGTTTGTGGCTTGTAGGAATCTGGAAATTGGGAGGCACGTGGTCTGAGCAAAGCTGGACCCTGCAGGTGTCTCGTGTAAACGATTCCCGCTTGGCCAGTGGAATGCCAGAAATGTGATCAGCAGCATTATTTACAAGCGCCGAGTCAAATTCCACGGGTCAGCGGCTTGTTCAGATAATGCTTTGCGCACGTGCACTCCAGTGCTTGTTCCGCGCAGAAACAGGTCACTTCTGCCCTCTGGTGGACTGCGCTGCACCCTCTCTTGTGCATAGCATGACGGGCACTACGCTAGGGTTAAGCCCCGACCTGGCGGGGTGCTTGGATGTGTTACAGTCTGGAGTCAACCCTAGTCGGCCGTGTGAGTGCAAGCTGAGCCCCGTGTGATGTCCGCATCACCAGAACGGAGTAGATGATGTTCGTTCTCGCCCGCTGCTTTTGTGAGAAGGGAGTAACTGAGTTAACTGGGAGCCCCAAGAGTTGCTGCCCCTTGCAATGGCATCATGACATCGCGCCATGTGTCACACGACAATGCGTCTACCTTCCTGAGACGTTGCTTTGCAAATCCTTCTCGCATGCGGCTGCTTTGTAGCAAGAAGGCCGGACGGGAAGGGGGCGAGTGCTTGACTGTCTCGGTGGAGATCGGGCCGGCTGGCCCTATCGTGGAGGTGCAGGAGACCAGCATGGCAGAAGGCCGGGGAAATGTTGACATTTGGTGAAAGGAGACATCTCTGGAACACTAAGTGTAGACTAAATTCATCAGATATCGGGATTCTCTAGCACATTGACATCTAGAAGAATCTCTTTCAACTCTCTCACTCTTTTGAAGGTTGGACGGGCTGCCGCTTCTCGCCCTCTGCCTTGTGGCTAGCGCTCAAGGTGGCGGAGCCGAGCTTCGCGCGCCTCACCGGCCTCGGCAGCCCTGAGCTGAAGGACCTGAAGGACCTGAAGAACCCGAAGGCCCCGAAGGCCATCGAGTTTGGATGCGGGGTCGGCCTGGCAGGACTGGCCGCCCATGCCGTCGGATATGACACCACACTCACTGACTGTCTGCCGGGTCATCTCAAGAACCTCTCGGCGCACGTCGGGAAGCTGATGGCAAAGGCTTCAGGCGCTTCAGGCACTTCAGGCACTTCAGGCACTTCAGGCACTTCAGGCACACGCGGTCTGCATGTCCGCTTTCTGGATTGGATCTCAGATGTCGGTGCTGACCTAACTGGGTGTTCAGTCGACTTGGGATCACCGGAGAACGTGGCAGCCAGCTCTGACTGGGAACGTTTGGATGAGCAGGAGTTGAACAGCTTCGACCTGGCGCTTGCAAGCGACGTGACTCAGCAAATGCAGCAAAAGACAAAGCAGTACCTTGATGCGACAGATCTTGCATGATGTTGAGCCAGGTACTTGTGGTTGAATACCGTTAGCCCGCCAGCTTAAGCCAAGAAGTAAGTGTGTGTGTGTGTGTGTAGCCAGTAGATGTTCTACTGTCGACTAGACACACGAAAGGGATCCAAACCATTTTCCAGAACTGTTTGGGGCCTCCGGGGCGGCACCCGAATTGCCGCCGAGGTGGTGTATGAGCAGCACCATGCTATCCTTCTGCCGAGGGTGATGCAGCGCTGGCTGAAGCCAGGACGGGCCGAGAGAAGAGCTCAGCACGGCTTGTGTGGTGATTTGACGTGAGTTGACGTGATTTGAATTATGTCGCCGTGTCAGTGTTCGAAGGTGTTGTGGGGTTACTCGTAGCAACCTGTTTGTTTCATTATGTGAGGAGGTTTCTGGGCCGTTTGCCTCGCTATTCGTGATGCAGAGATGAGCCGTGCGCCTACTCATGGCTGCCTGCAAAGTTTGTTGTCCCTGTGGCGCCCTTATCCCTCAAACGCCTGCTCTTGGCGAAGGCTGTTGCTTCCTGCAGCAGCTGAACGATTGTGGACTGATGCCAAGATCTGCCGAGCAACTCGATCTGAGAAAATTGTTGGACATGCAGTCATGGTGACTGGCACTTCCTTGCTCTGTCACTCCCTGACTTCTGTATCAGGCACATTGTTATAGAGACGGCATGCAAACCAGATCGCGGCCGGGCTTAAAGTTTGGTGGTCGGAAATTGTTAGGAATCATGGAGGGGTTTCGTGTTTGGTTTCAAGGCTGTTCCTACTGCTCCTCGCGGGATCTCAGCTGGCCTGCAGAAGCGTCACTGCTGGACAGGACTTTCGGAAAGCAGCAGTGCAGCTGTTGATATGGGGTTTGAGCTAAATTATGTGGATGTGCCCTTTTCACGAAAGCTAGCGGAGCTAGGCCAGAGCCTATGTCTTGCTTCAGCATGGACAAGGTCTGAAAAGCAGCACGCTATTGGTTCAAAGCGGCTCAATGTTGATTGGTTCACCGAGTGAGGGGTCCAGATTAACACAGCTTGTGGGCATCACGGGGGCTCCGTCAGAGTAGGCGCGCATAGTCACTTTGCGGGGCGGGCAGGTGCCCCTGGTTCGCGGACTACTGTATTCTAGGTGTTGGACCCTTCCCTCGATCTTGTCTCCGTCATCATCGTCCTCCTCCTCGTTTGCGATTTGCAGCCTCCATGTCTCTGTCGGATCTTTCGTGTGTTCCCGCACGCTTGGCGACGCGTCACGTCGCGCTTGGGCTAGCTTTCGTTGGCCTCGGCTTGCCCCTCAAGTTGGGTTTCACCTGAGAGGAGTTTGTTCAGATAGGTTCAAATCAATCCCCAATTTGCCCATCATTCTCTGCATGCTGCTTGCTGAGGCTCCAAAGCATTGTCAAAGGCCACGAGGGGGGTGCTGTTCTACTGCTGGGCCAGCGCCAGGAAGATCTAGAGGAACCTGTTCCGACACGGAGCGAGCTCGTGGAGTCAAAAGTTTGTTCTGAAGAGTTGGTGGTTCTGCAGGTGAGCATCATGGAGGAAGTGCTAGCTAGAAGTCAAGATGACGGAGAGCCGAGGCTCACAAAGCTCACTTGAAGACGCCAAGGCCATCCTAAATTTTCCCCAACAAGCCCTAAGCTCTAAACCCGCTATGGCCCCAAAGTCCATGGGATCATCTCGACGGGGTGAGAGGAACCCACATTGACAGGCTCTTCATCCAAAGCCTTTCGTTTACCATGCCTTGGCGTCTTGGTTGTTGTCTTGTATTGTGGCAGTTCCGAGAATCTGGCGCTTGCTTTTGCACGCACGTTGCCTCAGCATCCAGGCACAGCTTGTTTTTAAGTATGAAAGTAGCCGACATCCCTGGAACGGCACATCAAGTGGTCAGCACCCAAACAACACCCAACCAGGTTTCAGACATTCCACAGTTGGAAGATGTTGCAAGCAAGCAGCAGCGACCTGTCCACATTGTGATCTGACATGGGCTAGTTGGCCCCATGACATCATGGGAAATGGCGTCCTCAGGTGCGAGGGCAGACCCAAGCCTGCTCATGTGATGTCATGCCTATCACACGTGTCCGGGACAGGCGCTATCGTACGAGACCAGAGGCGCTATCTTCGATGCTTGTGGGGCCAACATTGCAGCAACTTAACTCTGCCATCCGGTCAGCAAGAGGCTGACAATGACTCCTGGCGCAAGCCCAAGCAGAAGGGAGGCGCAGCCAACAAGGAGAAGGTGCATGACTGAGTCGCAGTAGACCATGAATGCTGCGGGCCATGCCAGGAGTGCAATCCCAAGCTTGATTTTGCTCAAGCTGATATCTGACAAGCATTCTTTTGGGCGACAGGAGCACGATGCACGAGCAGTAGGGCCCAGCAGGGCGACATGGAGACTCATAGCAAGTCGACCAATCACCACCACCAGCAATGTCAGTATGACTCCAGCGTGCTGCTTCCCGGGCGAATGGAGGCGTGTAGCTTAGAGCATAGACATCGGGCACTCGGCACTGCTCTTTGTTCAAGCCTTTCTTTCTGCTGGGTTTTGGGAGAATTGAGTGTCAAAGTAAGGCCCAAAGAGCCCTCCCCACCCAGAACCCTGGGCGTGGCACACGGTCGACGCCAAACCCTATAAACCCTAAACCCTACAAACCCTATAAACCAAGTAACCCTATCAACCCTATCAACCCTATGCATTCATAGGGTTTTGGCAGCAGTTGAAAGTGCAGTTTAGCTTGAGCTTCTGGCAAGCCCTGAAGCTGTGGGCGGCACAATTTTTGGGGGTCACTTGAGGCGCTACAGGTTTGCTGCAGAAACAAGTGTTGCAGTATGTGCTTGGGGACGAGAGCCGCACCTGTCGCGCTATGTTGCTGATTCCCGCAATTTCCCGCATATTCCCGTGACCCCAGCCAGGCTGCAATGCCAACCTTAGATGATCAACCCCCACCCTTGCTTCTAGAGTTTGTGGTCCACGGATACACTCAGGTTTGGGAGACAGCCTCTGCCATCATTCTGGCTGTTGCCTTCATCGCTGTAGCGGAATTTTGCTGGAGTCTTAGGTGTTCCGGAGGGCGGTGAGGGGGAGGGGACCTTCATGTCAGATGCTTCATTAGATGTCTTTAGCTTCCAGTGCCTACACCTCGAGTTTTATCTTCTGCAGGCCGCCGCCGTGGCCACCGCAACAGGTGCAGAATCCCGAAGATTCGATGACCGTCGTTTAGATATGTCTGCACGCTTCTAAATCTATTCAGAGTAGTTCAGGCCACAGCAGCTCTCCTTTGCCAAGGACGAGGCGCTTTTCCAGCTCTTGAAGTCTTTTTTGAAGGCCAAAGTGACATGAATGGAGACGGGCCGTGACTGGCCAGGTGTTGGGATGCGATCGCGTGGCCCCAGCTATACAGAACAGGCTACCGCGGGCTGGAATGGGCTGTATGTAGTTCAGCTGACTTCAAGAGCCTCTGCTGTTTTTGATATTTGGCCCCCGCCAATTTGGATGGCTCAGGGGCCTTCGCTTGGTTTGCATCAGCGACACGCACGGTCAGCATCGAGAGCTTAAACTGCCAGATGGGGATGCGTTTGCCCCAGTTGGGTGCATTCGCAAGCCTGCACCAGTGCTTCTGCAGCATCTGCAGCCTCAGGTTCTCATTCATGCAGGCGATTTCACCCAATACGGGCGAGAAGAGCATGCACGCGACTTCAACAGTTGGCTGGCAGATCAAAAGCCGCACTCTCATTCCAGTTGTACAGGCCCCAGCAATCGAGACTTCATCTCCCGGACAGACTGAGGCACAAGACGAAGCTTGTTATTCTGGGGAACCATGAAGCCAATGCGCCAGCAACCCAGGTGATGAGTGTTCAGGAGACCGAGTGCCGAACAAGATGGAATCCACAGCAGCAGCACAAAGCACTCCCAGTTCACCAGGGACTGGGCCAAGCGCGCCGAGGAGGTGTCTGAGGCTTAGCATCGCCTGCCCTCCGAGGTCTGAAGCCTGACAGTGTCCGGACCACTGACCAAGCGTGACCATTTGCCGTCATTGCAGGCTCTCCAGCGCCACCCTGCTCCGCCAGGCACCCTTTGACTTGGAGGCTTCTGCGTGGCGTAACGATTTACTCAATGGCTTTTGGACTATGGCCCTATGGCCCGCTCTACAGAAACAGTACTGAGTTTTTTGATGCTTTTTGTAGGTTCCGGGCTCAACGGCTCCACTTCGCTTCTTCGGTACTGACTTCTTCTGGCCTTGCACGTGCCTCAGAGCTTCAGAGCTTCGCGAGTCGGGGCATGCGGGGGTTCTCCGAAGCGAGGTAAGGGTCGCAATCCCTACTTCGACCAGATCCCAGACAACACGGCCGCTGTCCCGGATGTGGCGCAGAAACAATCGACTTCGTCCACGGAGCACTGCGCAGTTCCGAGGATGTCGTGCTGGCTCACGGGCCCGCAAAGGGCTGTGCAGATGGAGACAAGGGATGCGCTTCTTTGCTACAGGAGCCCTGTGGTTGCTGATCATATATTCTGTGCCCACTGTCCTGCCACATGGATTGCAGGCAGTGAAATCAATTCAGCCAAAGCTTGTCGTCTCTGGACACATACACTTTGCACGAGGCGCGCTTGCATGCGTTTGACAGAACGATTCACGTTTTCGAAGCTCAGTAAGACCTTGGTTTCAGGGGCGGCGTTGCTGAGACATCCTTCTTCATCGCCAGTGCCGTTGTGCAATGGCAGCAGAAGTCGTGACCTGCCTTTATGGTTCGTGTTGTGACTGCTGAGGAGCAGCTCAACGATATTGATCAATGCTGCAAACTGCGGCAGTCCCGCAGCTGAACTAGAGCGCCACGTCTTCCTAGTGTCGGTCAGAACCTGAAGCCATTGGGTCTACGTTGGTGATGGGTGAACAAGGAGAGAAAACTCATGTCTTCCTTGCAACCTTAGTCTCTGGGAGTTAGTCTGCCGAGGCGTGAAGGTAGCAGCCCCCAGAATCCCATTATCCCAACGTTCAAGTGCGAGACAAAGTTGTGAACAGAATGTGGTTTTCAGGTTGATACTCAAGGTGTGGCAGGGAGAGTGTGGCAGGGAGAGAGCGGCTAACCTTCGACTCGTAATCAGTTCTTCTATCCCCGGTCTTAAAAGCGAGGAAATAGTACATGCTTCTCTAAGTCTAGTACCAAGGGCAACTGTGTGCCTTACCGTGTTGCTTGAAACATGCCCTGCGCCGCTTGGAGGTGGGCGGCAAGAGCGAGCCTGATGCCCAGACCATCCGCATGCAGCTCATGAGAGAGTTTGAGAGAATCCAATCCGTCGTCCTGTAGTGGTAGTATGTGGTAGTGATGATGTCACTCAATGCCCTTCGAAGGCGCTCATCCATGGGCCTGTGGTCGTCGACATCTGCCGAATACCCAGCTTGATCCAGCTTGTGCCCTGCGCTTGGCGCATCTACTCCAACCTTGTGACTTAAGGACCATCAAGGCATCGAGCCATGCGACTTGGGTCATCGAGTGTCAAAGATGGCAGCGGTGGCCAGCGTGTGCAAAAGAGCGCCAATCTGCACATCTTGCACCCAAGCTCGCCCGAGCCACACTAGCGATGTGCAGAGATCTGAGCCAGAGTGCCGGAGGTCGCTCCGCCAGCCAAAGATGCCAAAGATGCTGCCAAAGCTGCAGAGACTTGGCTGGCGGCCAGCGGCCTGGAAGGTGGCAAGATGCAAACAAAGCCCATGGAGTCGGATTTCGATAGCCCAGGGCGGCCCCAAGGGGCTGGGCGGCTTGAGCAGCTCCGGTGGCGGCGCCGGTGGCGGCAGCGGTGCCGCTAGACCAGCAGCAGCCCGAGAAATAAAGCGTGTAGTTGTTGCGGTCTCCGCAAGAGGGAACAGCTCCTGTGGCACTGATCCTTTACTGAGGGCGCAGGCCTGGCCAGCATTGGCAAGTCAGGTAGCCAGGCCCGATGTCCCAATGATTGTAACTCGATGCACTGCACTCCTGAATCATGCTTGCAGTTCCTGATTTCCGTTACAGGGCAGGCAGTTGATTTGCAAACAACGGGCTTTTCTCTTGTGCAAGGTTCCTGTTTCTCCATCGAGCACGGCACCACAGGCGGTTCTTCGCTTCAGGGTTGCCGCAAGAAGGACGCGACAGCAGAGCAAGTCTTGGTGAGGAGGATGATGATGACAATGACCTGGCGGGCTTCTCCGGCCTCGCCGACGCAGCAAACAAGGCCACACTGCTAAGCTTTCAGGACATGTGCAACATGTGGATGCCCCGGTTTCTCCATGAGAAAGCTGTGTGCAGGTGTGGGATGACTTGATGGCTCGCAAGGGTGGCATCAAGGTGCTCTTGTTTTAGCGATGCTGTGACAGGGTTGCTAGCTTGAGTCGTCTGCTATGATTGTTGGCTCTGTCTGACGTTGTCCAACCTCGCACGTGTTCCGACGTGTGCGAGGGAAAGCAAGACATGAACTCTCTGTTCGGCCTTGCAGAGCTGAAGGCAATGCCCTCCTAAGTCCAGGATGCTCGGGCCAAAAGCGATGCAGAGGGAAACAGAGAATGCGAGCAGGATGCTGTGGAGCGGTCCGTGAAACGGACAAATGTGCTGCAGCAGCAGGCGCGCGCCAGACGCGGACCATGCGGAGGTTGAGTTGTGAGAATGCCTTCAACCCCGCAGTCTCACAAGGTGGATGACGCTTCGTCGAACCTCGAGGACAAGCAGGCTTCCATGGAAGATCTTCGGCGGAAGATCGAGGCCAGGACACGAAAGCGACGAAACATAGCATGCCGCCTGGGATCGCATGTCATCCTGAGTGGAAGGTAAATTGAGCTGCCATGTTTTCGGGCATAGCATGTTGAAATCTCAAGATGTTCTGACATGCTGAAGAAAGCTGCATGTTCTTGATCCCCCGTGCGCAGGCCAACACCAGCACTGCGAATGTGCACTGGAAGCTAGGCCGTGGCTCGGGTCCCTCTTGCAATCTCTTGTGTCGGTGTTGAGCTGCACAGGCGACATGGCTGTGCGACGGGGAAAAGGCTTGTGTGAGCTCAGCATGGTGCCCACGGCTCTGCTTGCACCGAGTACATGGAAAGGGAAAGCCGAAGAGACACCCGCCAGGTGCAGATGCACATCCAGCCTCCCTGCTTCGAGGCTTCGGGGACAGCTCGATGGCAGAGCACGCAGTTGAAGGCTTAAGGCAGTGACGAGATGTTTTCAGGTTCGAATGTTGAGCACCGGCACCATTGTCAGCACAGAGTGCCCGGGCTGCGATGTACCGGATGTCGCGGGGTTTTCCAGAAAAAGGCGCATGCTACAAAGCAGGGGCTTGCACCCATCCATGTTCAGGTACGAGAAACTCGTGCCCCTCAGCTCGCAGCAGCAGGTCGCAGCACGATCAGCTCTAAAGGAGCTCGAGGAGGCAACTTGCAGAGCTTTCGCATGCTTTCGCAGTTCCTTGCTTGCTTCTTTCACACTCTCGGTGCGGAGTTGCAAGGTTTTAGGTCAACCTGCTCCTCGCCTCCTTGGCTCCTCGCCTCCTCGCCTCCTCGCCCGATGTCCCCCTAGGGTTTGGTCCCTGGAGTGCCCACAGAGAGTCCACTGGAGTTTATTCGTAAGATGTGCCCACTCCCAAAGAAAAGTCCCGCAAAGTATCCTAGGGAATAGAGTGCCAACCCACAACAAGTCCTTGGAGGGATAAATAACAGAACGCCCGGTGAGAGTCCCGCCAATTCCCGCCACCTTTTCTTGGAGAGGAGGAACAGGAGGAGGAGAAGGGGAGGAGGAGGGGACGAGTTTGGCCACACAGCATACGTTAACTTTCCTGAAAGCGTCTGCCGTTGGCGACTCCGACAGAAGGGGGGGGGGGGGCAGGACGGCCTAAAAAATTGCTCAAAGTAGGAAAGTAGGCTTTCAGTGCACAGGTGGGATCCATAGGCAGGCCAGCCAAAAGAAACACAAAACTTGAACAATACTTTTTTGCCGTGGAGAGATGCGAGATGTGCCGCGGAACTGCTGCCCTAAACCCTAAACCGTAAACCCCAAACCCTAACCCCAAACCCCAAACCCCAGACCCCAAACCCCAAACCCCAAACCCCAAACCCTAAACCCTAAACCACAAACCCCAAACCCTAAACCCTAAACCCTAAACCCTAAACCGCTTGTGGGGGAGGCCAAGGGGCGGCTGGCGGCCGCTGAGGAGGGCCTCTTGCAGGCCCAGGAGGAGACTCGGGGAAGCGGAAGAAAGTAGACAAACATCAATAGAAGAATATAAGTATACAAATGTAAGCATATAGTTAAATAATCAAATAGATACATATATTTATATATGTGTATATATACAGATAGATATAGATAATATAGATGTATACAGAAATACACACAAGTACATGAAGAAACAACAAAAATATATCTATAATCTTTTTGGTGCCCAAGGAGCTTCGGCAGCAGCACCAGAGCCTCACCGAGCAGGTGGAGGTGAAGCTGAAGGCATGGGGGCTCTGGGTGGTGTGGGGTTGCTTGCATGCCCTTGGAACCTGTTACTCGTGGACCGGGTGGGAGGAGCCCCTGGCACCGCCCGGTATGCCTGCTGCAAGCTTACATCATGCAAACCTGCACCGGGTCTCAGCATGCGTAGATCAGCCCAACCCAAGGACTTTGGCTACCTCCAGAAAGCGAACGCGCAGTCGTCGAAGGTGGCATTGTGCAATTGGCCAAACCAGACTCTGGTGGCACGGTTCGCAACGCAAGTAAGAGGCGGACGCTGCGGCTTATCCAGAGGTGAAGGCAGATGTTGCATCATATGGGTTCCGGAGCCTGGGACCCTTCATCGTGTCGCAGGGGGTCAAGGAAGACCTGCGCAAGCCAGCTGCTGCAGCTCGTGAGGTGCGCGCGCAATGCGCGCCGCGTCATGGGTGGATCTGGTGGGTCTTGTGAGTCGATGAGGCTTCAAAGGATCACAGTCGAGCGGATCCTGGAACTCCGGTGAGCAGCAGCAGCCTCAAGCCTTGCTCCCGTGGACATGGAGAGAGCCAGGAAGCGGAACCTTTATCTGAGGCAGCGCAGGAAACACGCTGCCTCGTCAGGCAGGATTTGGCTTCCGCCGTGTGACGATTTTGCGGTTCTTCGACTCGGTTTGACTTTCTGTAGGCACCCGGTGGGCCGGCGGGGTTTCCATCCTTCCAGGATCTCAACAGGACAGTCAGACAGTTGCTTTCAGACAGTTGGGCGACACTGCGATTGAATGGTCCTCACATCTTGCAGGATGCAAAAGGAGGCGCGTGTTTGCGAAAAATGGTCCAGCCGTATGCCTGCAGATTTGATGTGACTAGTTCGTCTTGCTCTGTCCGAGTTCCCGGAAGACGAGGGTGGCAATTGCTAGTGATTTTCGGGAGTTCTCGCCCGGGCACGCTAAGATTAAAGGGGGAGGGCCTGGCAAAAAATGCTTAGATTGTCAGCCTTGTGATTCTGCGGCTATGGACATGACCACGCTGTGGATGGTGTGCTCTTCATGAGCAGGGACGAGCTGACCCAAATACCCGAAGATACCCGGAGCTTTGCGCAGAAGCCCTCCGTTGTATTGTAGTGATTGCCGCAAGTACTCGTAGCACGCCGCGTCGGGTCGGGGGTAGTAAGCCGCGGCGGGGGTTAAAACCTTTGCCCGTTTCGCCCGTCTTGCACAACACATCTGACGGGAGTAGCCCGGAAACCTCGGTGAACGGTGGGCTTGGACATGCCTTGCCTTTCACCGGCACGAAAGCAAATAGCAAGGTCGCGTTCGCCGCGTCGGGTCGGGGGTAGTAAGCCGCGGCGGGGGTTAAAACCTTTGCCCGTTTCGCCCGTCTTGCACAACACATCTGACGGGAGTAGCCCGGAAACCTCGGTGAACGGTGGGCTTGGACATGCCTTGCCTTTCACCGGCACGAAAGCAAATAGCAAGGTCGCGTTGACCAACCTTTTGATGAAGGGGGGCGTGCCAAGGTTGCATAGGCTTGAGATCCGCCAGGCAGAGGACCGGAGCAAGACAGAGGCTGCACGGGCAGCCTCATACCCGTGTCGTCCTCAGTCCTCAGTCTCTCATGTCTCGCATGCAATTTCTTGCACCTCGCGGTTCGCCGCTTTCTTTCGTCTTCACAGGGCGCCGCATGCCACGCGCGAGGTCTTCAGTAAACCGGAGGCATGGGAGATTTTTACTTGCCGACCCTCAAGTGATAAGAAGTGGCATGTCAGCATACGGAACGATCGACGCACGTTGTGAGTGCCATCGCCGATGGCCTCTCTTTTGGTTTGCTCTTTGTTGTGCAGAATCAGAGTCATGTCTTTCAGCTGCTAGGGAGCTGACCGTTCTGGGCTCCAATCTGAGGGTGTGTGTGGGATGGATCGCACACTGGCGTGGCGTGTGGCACATGGCACCTCTCGGCTGTTTCATTTGGTCAGTTTTGTAAAAGACTTAGGTCCACCGCCGCCGGCTCAGGCACCGGCCCCAGCACTGCCGGTCAGGACGCTGCATCTTCTGTGCACATGTTGTGTTAAAGTTGTGGTGAGGGAGCCCCACGTGAGCAGCTGCACCAAGTTGTGAGGAGCCTCCCGGTCGGACCACCCCGAGCGAGATGCCATTCGTTCCGGCCAGCATGTCATGTGCGCATGGTGTGAAATTGTGTGCATCATGCCGGTCTCGGTCGTGGAGATCCTGGCAAGGCTGGCATGCCTGGTATTCCCTCCAATACTGGAGCAGCTGGTTCTGGGGCGAAGGAGGGAAACGAGACATTGCCTGTATAGTCGTGTCTGTTCAAAGCCGAGACTGTAATGGCAGGCTTCTCTGCAGCAGGAGCGCGCAAAGCAAGAGGCATTTCTGCATCACCAGGAGGCTCAGCTACACAGGGAGGAAGCTCAGCGGCATCAGCAGCAGGAAGCACAGCGTCAGCGAGAGGAAGCAGAAAGGCAGCAAAGAGAAAGATACGAGGAGCAGCAGCGCAATCCTGGGCAAGGGCAGCCAGGGCAACCGGAGCGGCAGAAGGAGCCTGACCAGCCCCCCACAGACTGGGTTCGCTACAAGACGCCGGACGGGCAAGTTTACTACCACAATGAAAGAACGAACCATACGGTGCTGCCGGCATGAGAATGGGAGGGAGCATGTGAGTCGTGGCTGCTTGGTGTCAGCTTGCAGGCTTGGTCGCTGCCGCCAGGAGCCACCTGCCGAGACCCCGCCCAGAGCTAAGGATCCTCTTAAAGACAGAAGTTCCTCGAAGTGCAGTCGAAGTTCGCAGTCGAAGTTGGCTTTTGCACCCGCAGGCTGCACCTAGCCAACAAGGCCGCATGCGCCCTGCGCGCTGCTTGCCTTCGCTTGAGCCGTTTCGCTTTTCTCTCCGACATGCCAGGGAGCTCGCAAGCGCAGAGCAAGGAGGAAGTGACAGTCGCATTCATCAGAAAACTTGTCATGGTATGTCGTTGCACGCTGCTGTGAGGACGATCCTTTTGCTGATCTGAGGAAGCAGGAGGAGGAGCATACTGTGGACCTGTGGCCCTTTCTGTTTGTGATGCTTGACGTGGCAGGAGAACCAAAAGCAGCACGAACAATGGAAGCAGCAGGGCTCACAAGCTGCGAGCGCGTGACAGTGACTGCCCTGCCATGGCTGATTTGCACTCAGGTGGTACCAACAGTACACGGCCTGGTACTCGCAGCAGGGTGCCGCAGGAGCAGCGGGGACGGTCGGAGCCCGAAAGCCAGACACTACCAGGCACCAATGGACCAAAAGGTCATGGGTCTTCGAAACCTGAGGCTGGCACAGAGTCCGGAAAGCAGGGCCAGCAAACTGCTGAGCGTTGCCTTCATGAATGATTGCATTGTGTGCCTTCATGCATGATCGCATTGTGCTGGCTGCAAGTGGGATCCATCTGATTCTAGGTCGGGTCAGAAGAAGCAACAGCAGCAGAAGGCCGGATCTCATTATGACAAGTGGGACTCTAACATGTCATAAAGACGAATGAGCCTTCTGGTTGACCTTTGTTCCAGGGACCACAAGGTGAACAAACCGGTTATGTACCGCCACGGGGACCTGCGTTGCCCTGAGAAGGGCTTGAAAAGGGCCTCCACATGCCCTTGCTTTAACCCTTTTCTCGTTGCTCCCCTCTGAGAGGCACCGCCGAAGCTGGATGCGGCCTTCGAGGACCACGCTGTGTACCAGATCAAGAGTTCCGTGCTCAAGGCGGGGCGGGGGGGGTTCCACGCGGGTCCAGCAATTCTGCGGTGGGCGCGCTACTTTTACTGGCCAGGAGATGGAGTCCATGGTTAACCAGGCCTTCCGCAGAGCTCTGCTGATACGCTGTTGCTGTTAGACACGCAGGCAGCACGCATGGCAGCCCTTTTCATGGTCTCATTGCCATGAGTAAAAGGGACAAGTGAGTTGTACAGGTATGTACAGGTAGAAGGTCGATGTTAAGGGGATGCAAGCTGAAGCGGAGAAGTGCAGAGTCGCAGGGCCTGGAAGTTGCGAAGCGAAAGAAGGCTTTGAGGCCTGCCGCCTTGCACTTTGCTGCGCCAAGTCGAGTCCAAAACACGTGGGATGTCGTGGAAAGTGGCAACTTCGCTGAAGGTGCCTTCAGCTAAGATGGCACCCTGACAAGAATCCGGACAAGTTAGAGGTTCGATTGGGTCTGCTGTCAGCTATGCTGACCTCTTGTCGGCTCATCTGCGTGCTCTTTCAGGTTGCCAACAGCATCTTCCAGTTCATTGAAGAGACCAAGCCGTGGTTCCTCCATGATCCGAACGCTGAGTAGCCGCCCCTAGGCCACTGGGACCCTCCGAGAGAGCCTCCGAGTACATCTGGATACCACACCTGAGCATCGACATCGCCGCAAGCTGTAGTCGTTGCGCTCCGCGCAAGCCTCCGAGCAGAGCCCGTCCAAGACGAGCCCTGGGATCCTGCGCCAAGCGCAGTGTTTCACCGAACCAGGCTCGCTCGAGGTTGACCGACATACTCTTAGGTATACCATGAACGCATGTATATCGGCACATCATGTTAGTGCATGTATACGCGTGTGAGTACATCGGGGAAGATTGGTGCATAAGCTGCCAGTTCTGTTAGTACGCCTGCTTAGGACAGCCTTTCAGGCAAGCGAGCCCAAAATGCTGCACACGTGGAGACATGATTATTATGGCTGCAGGTTTCTTGTTTTTGCTCGTCTTCCCGTTTATATTTGGGTTTAGGGTTTAGGGTTTAGGGTTTAGGGTTTAGGGTTTAGGGTTTAGGGTTTAGGGTATACCACCCCTGGGCTTCAGTATGCTGGCCCAAAGCCTGCTGCATCGCCATTCCATCCGTAGTCTTTGATGGCAGATCCGGAGGCCTGAATGGCGTCATGTTTAGGGCTTAGGGCTTAGGGTTTAGGGTTTAGGGTTTAGGGTTTAGTGTGTCATGGTGCGTTCTTTGATCTGGTAGTCTTGGGGCAACCATACCCGGCCTTGAAACGCAGCATCGGACCTTATCATGTGCCTTGGATGCGAAGATGGCGAGAACGGCCATTGCATCCCTAAACCCTAAACCCTAAACCCTAAACCCTAAACCCTAAACCCTAAACCCTAAACCCTAAACCCTAAACCCTAAACCCTAAACCCTAAACCCTATGAAGCAAACATCCAAACATCCAAGTTGGGGACCCCGCCCAGCGCCCAGCATGGACAGGCGAACAATGTGGAGCCCCAGCTGCCTTCTACAGATGCCAGGATCCCAAGCTGACGCGGCATGGAAGAAAGACATATATGTATATATACATACATATGTATGTATGTGTTTTTGTATACACATATATGCTACCCCCCCCCCCCAGCGACCTACCCTTTTTGGGCCTTTTTAGGCCTTTTTAACAAAAAATAACAAAGAAGGCCCAAAAGTCGCGTAGTTAATCACCGGGTAATGAAGGACAGTTACTGGGACACCCACCTCACAGACCCCGATAAGCCAGCATTGGAAGAATCTACATTTTGAATCTGAAGCGGACAATGCTGTTGTTAGATGTTTAGATCAGTGTTTTTCTATGCAAATTGTGCCTTTCAAGGGCAATTAATGTTTTGTTGAGCAACTGTTTGTACGAGGCAAAGTATTAATCAAATAGTGAAACATTTTTCTTGGTTCTATGCGAATTTAGCTACTAGAGTAATTATTCAGCAAAGAGCCCAATTTGACTCAAGTGAATACTATTTAAAGGAGCATACTCAACCAAGATACGAAATAAACACCATTCTCAACCAAAAAATGGCAAAGTGTGCGTTTAAAGTGCAAATACTGTATTTATACAATTGTGTCTGTACTAGGCAAAGTATGCTCTCTGAAAAGTCCACTGAAATACCTTATGTTTACATATTCATGAATCGGTTTTATTTTTGAAATAATCATTTTATGCGAATTTAGCTACTAGAGTAATTATTGAGCAAATAGCCCAATTTGACTCAAGTGAATACCATTTAAAGGACCATACTCAACCAAAATACGAAAGAAGCACCATATTCAACCAAAATATGGCAAAGTGTGGTTTAAAGGGCAAATAGTGCTTTGTTGAGCAACTAATGCATTGAAACAGTTGTGTTTGTACCAGGCAAAGTATTATTGAAGTACTATCTGCAAAGTCAAATGAAACACCTTATGTTTACATATTCATGAAACAATTTTTTTGAAGTATTCATTCTATGCGAATTTAACTACTAGAGGAATTCTTAAGCAAATAGCCCAATTTGACTCAAGTGAATACTATTTAAAGGACCATACTCAACCAAATACGAAATAAACACTTGCGGAAATGGAAACGGTTCTACCTACATAACAATGAGACAAAGATTGCTGAAGTATTCACTAAAGACCACTTATATACTATGTCTGAAAAGCACAATTTGCATGAGCAAGCTTAAAAATGCACAATAATGGAAATAGAAGCGGTTCTACTTACATAACGATGAAACAAAGATGTCTGAAGTATTCAATAAAGACCACATATATACTATGCTTGAAAAACGCAACTTGCACAAGCAGGCTTAAAAAACGCACAAGAATCCTAGAAAAGTACTTAGTGAAGGCCATACACAAGCAAATTCACAAATACATAAAAACATCCAAAAGCGCAAGCTTTTCAGGAGAATCTCTGGTAAAGTTTGGATTATAGGGTTTTGGGGTATTCCTGGACGAGTAGGCGTCACTTTTTAAGCAAACAATTCTAAGCAATAAATGCTTTTTCTCAAGACAAGTATTGCAAATGCTGCTTCTAGATAATTAATCGCATTTACCAGGCAAATATTATCCATGCGAATTGAGCTACCAGAGCACCAAGTAATGGCTGAATAAGGTCTGCTACACTTGAGTACAATCAAAAGATGCACTAAACACTAGCGGCTCTACTTACATAATAACGAAACAAATAGTTCTGAAGCACTAGAAAGACCACTTGTATACTATTTCTGAAAAGCACAATTAGCATAAGCACACTTAAAAATGCATAGTTGTTGCCTCGTGACCGTGAAGGCGAACCAAAAAGCCAAAATACCAAAACCAAAAAACCAAAAATACCAAAACCAAAAAAACCAAAAAAACCAAAACCAAAAAAACCAAAAATACCAAAAAAACCAATTTTCCGGGACTCTTGGAGAAGCCTCATAGGGATTTCCTGAGAGCCCCGGAAAATTGGTTTTTTTTGGTATTTTTGTTTTTTTTGGTTTTGTTTTTTTTGGTTTTTTGGTTTTGTTTTTTTTGGCTTTTTTGGTTTTGGTTTTTTGGTTTTTTTGGTTTTGGTATTTTTGGTTTTTCTACTGTCCCGTGTATGCGATTTTAGTTGTATTTTAGTCTGCGCCCTAGGAAATACGCTATATTGCACACCGAGTTTGCTTGCAGTGCAGCTGGGTGACTTGAGACAAGGCGAAAAAGGGTAGGTCACTGGGGGGGGGGGGGTACCACATATATATATATACATATATATACGCATATATATATATATATATTTATATTTATATTATATATCATGTCTCCGTCTAAACTGCAGCAGGCTGCTTGCCAAGATATGAAACAGAATGGGAAGCATCCTTGCTACCCCTCTGCAGGGAAAGCGTTGCTCCTGTCTCAAATCCACATTGTCTCAAAGTCGGGCCACAGAGAATGCAAGCGATTTGGAGCTCGAACTCACCAGTTCAATCACAACCGACAAGAGTCTACGCGCGGCTTGCTCAAGACTGATAGGGAGACGCCTCTGGAAAATTGGGGATGTTGTCATTTCATTGCGAACACGAAGGAAGTATCATGTTTGTGTGTCGCTTGGCAAGGCTTGGTTTCTGAAGTGCAAGCGCCGTGTGGAGGTTGCTCCAGTGTTGCTCTAGAGTGCTGTCAGGTAGAGGACCATCCGCGGGCAGCTGCTCGAGGCAAGCACTGCTTGCACCCCGAAGTCAACAGAAGAACCATCATCAGAAAGTGCAGTATATAGCGCAGAGACATGCTTGGCTTTGGTGCAGGCATCACAATCACGTGCCCCTGGCCTGGCTTTGTTGCGAAGCTGCTAAACTTGGTTATCAGGGAGTCGACAGATTTGACAGGAGTCGGCTTTCGACATGGCGCTTTCCGCAGGCTGCTTGCAGCGGGCATGCTGTGGGTCAGACTGGACTGCCGGGTTGTGAAGAGGCGGGCAAAGAAATGCCCACATATGTGCAGCGAGCTTTTCGGGCCTCAGCCTCGAGATTGACCAAAGATACCCAGGGTGGCAAGCAGCCAATTGTGGCTGTTTGACAGTTTGGAGAGCTTGCAGTGTGCAGCGCAACCAGCAGAGGTCAAAACGTTCGCCCTTCTCGCGCTGCAGTCGCCTGGCCTTGGAAGTGACATGAAGTGGCACGAGCATGGTCAGAAACTTGCGGGTGGTCAACAAAGGCAAGCAGTCTGCTTTGCGACCATGGTGCTCTTGCGTCAATTCGCTTGGGCCTGGTGCTCAGTGTAAGAATGGTGGGGAAAACTCCGACGCAGAGTGCACCGAGTGCTTTCGCCTAGGGCGGAGGGCCGTTGGCGAAGTCGCTCTCGATTGAGGTTACCGGTGCCATACCTCTTTCATTTTCAAGTGGCACACGAGCAACACTGGCAGGGCATTTACTACATGCTGAGCTTCACAGACATGGTGATGATTATGCAACTCTGGCTCATCCGAAGCTTGGAAGAGATCCTTTAGGTCCCTTGCCCTAAACTTTCGCGTTAAGTCTGAGCACTTTGTCATACTTTGTCTTTTTCGGAGTTGCAGCGAGGAAGCTACTTCCCCTACAACTACATCCTAATGATCGTTTCGGGCTCGGCCTTGCCATATGAACGATCGCTGCTTTGGCGACTAACAACTTGCAAATACTTGTGGTGACCCCCCAGGTGATGACATGTGTCACGGCAGTCCTGTGGAGTCTGACCGAGTCGGTCTTCGCAACGCTCTTGCATGTGGAGATTGTTTGCATGATGTGTATAGCAACGGGCATTGCATCTGTTGTATGCTGGGTGCTAACGCGTGACTACTTCAAGCTCTTCTCGGTGGGAGCTGTCCCTGTTGCTCTTGCCACCGGCTGGTTCACTGCATCAGTCGCTTGGTTACGATAAAGCGCTTTGGGCGACCCGAGTATATCAAAGCTGATTGTAATGCCATGGCTGCATATTTCTCCGATTCACCTTCTTCAATGCTACAAGGACTACAACATAACGATCGGCATCTAATGAACCTCCGGGGTGTTCTCTTCTGGTCGTGCATCCGAGGTTGCGATTGTATTGGCTGCAAGAGCACTTCCACCTTATTATGGCTTTCAAAGCTCTCAAAGCTTTCACGTCTGGGAGCCGTGGCTGGCCTCCATGCTGCTGGGCCTGCTGTTCCTACTCTTGATGTTCGAGGGGAGAGTGGTTTTCATAAGAAGTCAGCCAGATGACTTCATGGGCATTCTCCTCATCACGAATGGAAGCATGATGTCTGTGGTGACTTGGTTGCGGGCGAATGCCGATGAGTTCATGTGGGGATTAGGTCTTTGTTGCGAAAGCTGGAGGCAGCTTCTGAAGCCTTTTCCAACGCTGAGGTCAGTGTCCCGTTCTTCATCATCATTTATGGCTTCTTGTACATGACACGTGAGGAAGAATCTGGCCCTGAGCACGATGAGAGTGGACTGAACAGAGCGGAAGAACAACCTCAAGTCCCAGAAGATGATGTGCCAATTCCACCAGCATCTGGTGAGCCATAGTGGCAAGCTTCTCGTTTGCATGCAGCCTCAAGTTACGTGTGACAAGCTGTCACCGGCTGAAGTTTTGCAAGAAGATCGTCCTTGTGCGCGCCGGTCTGAAAGAGATCAGGCCAAAATGCCTAGCCGCACAGGGGCTGGTGCTTTGCTGGCAAGAGTCCAGATTGAGCCTTCAGAGGCAAAGCACTTGGCAGGCCGAGTTTTTCAAGGATGTAGCGTTCCATTTGTACAGCTTGCATTGTGAATTCGCTGGCACAGCGTAGGCGGCAGTGTGACACCTGCCGAGCTATGCACAGTAGTAGCTCGGACATGTTTATGCAAGTCTCCCTGTGTTACAAAGCGTGCCAATGGACCAAGGGTGGGGACTCAGTGGGGACAAGCCTTGCTGAAACAATGTTTGTGTCCTCCGAGGTCCAAAGTGCGCCGCTTGCAGGTTTGCTCAGACCAGCTTTTAAGCTGTAGGCTAGAAGATCAACAGCGAAGCTGTCATAGACTCTAGTCAAAACAGACACCGACAGCAGTTAGTGAGCTGCTCCCATGAAGCGATTGTTTGGTGCACCGAAGGCTGCCAGGGGCACAGAGAGCCACAAGCAGCCCTAAACCCTAAACCCTAAACCCTAAACCCTAAACCCTAAACCCTAAACCCTAAACCCTAAACCCTAAACCCTAAACCCTAAACCCTAAACCCTAAACCCTAAACCCTAAACCCTAAACCCTATCCTGACTCTTGTGGCGAGGGGTCTTTGACTGTAAGGCCCCAGCAGCAGGGCCTGCACCGAGTCTCTCAGAGACGTCGCAAAGGATTGACTCGCGGGTCGCTTCCAAGTTTGTTCTGGCTTTTTTCATACATCTGCCTATAGAAATACTCGTATTATTCTTAATATTGTTATTTTTAGTTTTATCATTCATATGATTAGTTATTGCTATTACTATTTAGTATTACTATTAATATTGTTATTAATATTGATCTTAATATTAATACGAATATTATGTTTCAATATTGTTGTAGGTGCACTGTGCTGCCAGGTTACTGAACTTGACAAAAAGATTGCCAAGTGTGATGAGGAGATCCGGTTGAACATGCTGTGGGTCTTGTGCAGTGGAGTCCTCACGTCCCTTTCTGGTTCTTTCGTGGGACTTTGTTAGAAAGATGCATGCCCGCTTCATTACAATCAGGACCTCCGCAGATATGTTGGTGGGCGGGCTTCGGCACAGCAGAAGCAGCTGGCTCTGCAGTGCATGAAAAGGCAGCAACCGCCGTCTGAAGTCTTTGATTCAATCGATGCAGCCCCATCAGACTGCTGGGCCTGACTTTGGCACAGCTTTCTTCGGTTTTAAAGCGGGAAGGAAGAAGATGTACGAGCAGCAGCGAGATCAAATTCTCGGAACCCAATTCAACGTGGACTCTCTGGCCGGTGCGCAAGAGCAGGTGCCGTACCCGTTTTGGGCGTTGTGTTGCACATGTCAAAGGGTAGTTTCATGGTCCCTTACCTTCTTTCAAGGGTTTTGAAGTAATTATGCACTAGCACTGTCAGTGGGGGAACACGCGTTATACAGAACGAGCAGCATTGGACGCCCCAGTCAGCTGGTATCGTAACTTGGGCGCGAGCCGATAGTGTGAGAAGTGCAGCAGTAGCTGGGCACCAGCAAAGCCACTCCTTTGACAACGTTGCCTTCCATCTTTGACGACCGGCGGACATGTAAGCCAATGAGCCAACAGGCCGAAATCAACATCATGACTGTTGAAGCCATGAAAGTGGGCCATCAAGACCTGCACACCTGGCATGATTTTGTTCCTGCAGCTCTGGAGCTGGCCAACTTTGTTCGCTAGGGCATTCCGTGATCTAATTATCTGATGGAGTGTTTGAAGGAAAGATCGTTATCAACAGATTGGTGGCGTCATGGACATCGCGGGGTACTTAGCAAGCAGCCTGTCAGACAAGATGAGCAAGTTTCAGCTTTCGGCCAGCGAGCAGCGAACGCTGTGACTGCAGGAAAAGTTGATGGACAACATGGCAGACCTGAACGACGAAATCTCGGACATCAATGAGGCGGCGGTTTCCTACTTTTTGGTGCAGCTCCGTTTCCCCGTTGCCCGTTTGTCGGGCAGGCCATCTCTACGACATATGCAGTGCCCGATGGCTTCGATGAGGCTGTGACTGTGTGCCTCTTCACATTCTTCACATCAGCTGCAGAGAAGTTTAAGACTGGTTAAGACTGGCCTCTGAGGCATCCTTTGAAGCTGAGCAGGATGCTCAGCAGTCTTTGCTTCAGTCATGCTAAGCACTTCCAACTTCTCAGAGAGATCACATGATCTCACCCTGTCGTGATCTGGAGAGGTTTAGCGCTTTGGAGGAAGAGATGAAGATGGAGGCGCTGGCAGGCAGCGCCAGCAGTTCGGCCCTGGGCTCCCCGGCAACTTTGGGATAGCCACGCAAAGCCAGGCATCAGCTCAACTGCCAAACCATCCTATTTGCCCGCTTGACACTCAGATCTAGAACCGTCTGCCCTTGGCCTACGGAAAGTGTCGACATTGCACAGAATTAAAATTGCAGGAGCATGTACAAACCAAGGCCGAAGCACCGGAAGCGCCAGCTACTGCAGCGGAGCCTGCAACTGCAGAGCCCGCCCCGGCCACGGCGCGGGACGCAAACATGAGCAGACCCTAAAAATGTGTGCGAGTGACAGGGTAGTGTTGAACCAAAGTGACCCACTGGTGGACAAACTTTGAGAGAGCACTCTCTTGCACTTGCTTCTTCTGCCAGGCTGCCCGCGGCTAAATCGGCGTCATTCTTTTCTTTTGCCTTCCACTAACCACCAGCTTTAGCTTATTGTTGATCTAGTGGTGTTCTTCTTCTCACGCCATGCACCATATGCACCCATGCTGCTTTGCTTCTACTTCTAATTGTCACTCTGGCGTGGCCCTGCGCCGAGCATTCCTGCCTGAGCCTCAGCTGACTGTCAGTGGCTTATGCTTGATAGCGGGTCGACTGAGCTGTACAAAACAAGGTACAGAGAGTGACTCCAGCGGCCACGCAGCTGAGCTCCATGCTGGTGTGGACGTGTTTGTGATCTAGGGTTCAGTGCCCTTGGCCAGACGGGAGCAGCGAGTTGTGAGTACTTGGCCACAGCACAATGTGAGACAGCCTCTGTGCCAAAGTCGACGTGCGGTTTCAGAGGGAAGCTGGCACAGCTAAAAAGGGGCAGCACAGAAGAGGTTTCAAAGCTCTTAAGCAGCCAACGGATCGACGGACTGGGAACTCGGAAGACGTGCATCCGGGGTCGCTTGCTTCTTTCTACTCAAGCTTCTACTGATGTGCGCAGCTCGCACTGGAGCTCCAAACCCAGCGAGGCGCCGTGTGGGAGTGGGCATCTGGCATGAAGACATCTACATCATTATTCAGAATTCATTATTATATTTATTACTGGTGGTGTTTAGTAATATTTGGAGGTGGAGTTGTTCAGAGCTCGAAATTGGGAAGGCAGTCCGTCGTCTGCTGAGCCCTGGCACCTGACTTCTCTGGGAGATGTTCGAGTTCCTCCGGGACAGTCTTTTGTGCAATTCAGAAGAGTCCGGGCCCCAAAAGGCATTCACGGGGGTCTAAGCCCTAAACCCTAAACCCTCTAAACCCTAAACCCTAAACCCTAGTTATCAGTTGCAATCCTGAGGCCAACTCAGAAGTCGGGACGACGGTGCGGCCGAGCGCTGGCGGTGCTCGTTGAGCTGCGTGTCCCTGCCTGTGTGCAGGGCGATCTGCTGCACTGGGACACCAGCTCCACAAACCCGGAGGAGGATGGAGCAGCGAACGATGTCTGCAGCGGAGCATGGCAGACGCACAGCTGAGCAGACTGCCCTTGTTGGGGACAGGCCGGCGGAAGTGATCTCCTCGCAGGCCATCTTGACAAGTTACTCCCTGCTCCACATGCGCACAGCTGGAAGGGTCTTCATTGATGCGCAGGGCGCGCCCGTGCTTGCAAAGACCGAAGTTCCGGCTGCCCTGCCATGGGATCATCCTCGATTGAAGAGGTCGTTGCTGCTGTTGTTGCTGTTTGTCATGTGTGTGTGTGTGTCATACTGGCGAAGTGCAGCTGGAAGGGATACGCCCCCGCTCCGCAACAGGCGGCATTGAGTCGCTTGTGAGTGAGTGACACTGTGAGCTCAGAATTCTGAGCTACTGCAGCTGCATGTGAAGTGGCGAGGTCGCCCGTGCAGACGTTTCGATCCACGCCGATGGCGCCTCAGGAGTCCCTTGGAATTCCTCAAGGCTCTTGTCTGAGCAACTTGTCACCCGAGGTCCTTGAGCCCTCTAGGCAGTGCCATGGTCGGGTGTCCAAGCGCCAAGTATGTGACCTTATTTTTTTCTCGCTCCTTTCTCGTGGCGGAGGGCTCTTTCGGTAGGTGTGAAGCAGCCGGGACTTTCTCGGTAGATTTTGCTGTGAGGCCTGTTCTGGCGCTGCTTTGGCCCAGCAGGAGCAGCCATTTCTCTTTCTGATTCACTCTGCGCATGGGCAAGTGGGCCCTAAAAGCATCATGCCTCATGCAACTTTTTGTGCTATTGGGCTCTCATTGCGCCAGGAAGACTGTCAGCCTGGCCGAGGGCTCTACGTGGCGATGCAGCGAGGCTCCATGATGTCAACTTTTGCGGGTAGTCCAAATTGTGGCGGTCCTTGTGTCGTGTCACAGGCCTGGGGCCCCGGGAGCCGCCCAAGGTGGGTCCCCTAGTTTTCCGGGTCCTCTCTTGCAGCATACCGGAACATGTTGGAACCAAGCTCTCGGGCTATTTTCAAGTGCCTTTGTGTTGCTAAGTCTCGAGATCGTCGGCACGATCCATCGCCCACTAGGCCTGGAGTGTGCTATACTGCTACACGACGACACGGCTACAGCTCGAAACTAGACTGACCGTCACCATCGGGAGAGGCCCGCGACTCCGTTGCAGCAGCGGCGACAAGTTGCTAGGCCAAGCGTGAGCGTCCCGACCCCGGACGCAAGCCCCCAGAGGCCCCCAGTGCCAGCTGTGTCACGTGAAGCCCTGGCTAAGACCTCCTTTCCGGCGGCCTCTTACGAGGCAGTCCCAGAGGTGCATTTACCACGTCTTCGTTTCTTGGCTTTGCGGGAGCTTTTTTGAAGCCTGTCGAGGACACGCTGGATTTGTACATGCAGAAGTTGGCCAGGCCTGTCTGGCTAAAACTTACTGACTCCAGTTAAGACTTAGCTGACTTGCTTTGCAGATGCTCAGGTGTTTGCCTCAAAATGGGGCGCGCTCCCTGTTCATACGGCGGTTGTCGCGTGGAGAGTACGAGGTGGCGTGTGGAGTTGGGATTGTCACGGGCACTGCAACATTGCAGGACGAGAACCAATGATTGGATTTAATTGGTAGATATGGGCAGGCTTATCACCCACAAGGCTGACGAACGGAGTCAGCTGATCAAAGTAGACATCCCATATAGGGCGGTGTCAGCGGCCTCGACAGCATGAGCAAAATCTCGGTGAAAAGCATCGTCAATGGAGTCCAGTACTTACAGTGTTCATTGTGTCAAAGCCGTCAACGGCGTCACACAAATCCACTTCACGGCGTCAACGGCGCCATAGACAATCCACCATGCCAACGGCATCATGGCGCAAATGGCGTCGCCTGTTCGCACCGCGTCAAGGGTGTTGACAGTTCATATCAGGAAGCATGTAATACAGTAGATGAACTGATGCATGTTGGTCTTTTTGGCCTTCTTGCTCTTTGCATCGTATTTCAACTTCTCCTCCATCATCCAGAAATCGTTTTCTTTGAGCAGGTTGACGGCTGCCGGGTCAGCATCGCCTTGAGAGGCGGTGAGGCGGTGTGAAATGTGCCAGGGTTCAGCTTCACTTATAGCCTTGCCTGGTCCTGGCCTTGTTGGCCTCTTTTGTGACTTGAGTTTTGAAAGGCCTATGTTTATGCAACAAACAGCAACGACGACACGGATCGTGCCGAACGCCTGCAGAGGTGCAATGACAGTTTGCGCATGTTTGCGCGCAATCCGTGATTAAGTCATGCCCCCTGACGCTTACAGCTACCTGCTGCGGGCCGCGGACAATGCGTTGGTGTGCCTGGCAAGTTTGGGACCGATGGGGCCTGATTGGGTATCCAGACGTGCTCGTTGGCATTCGTGCGCTCGTTGGGCATGTTGAGTGGGTCGCTGCGTGCAGGCGCGATCAATGAGTGCTGGCGGACCATCGGGGGCATCTTTCAACCAACACGAGGCGTGCCATTGGGCGAGTTCCGGCATTGCACGTCTGCTGGACTGCTGGACAGCTTGAAACTTAGGTTATGCCCCGGGTGCCGCTAGGCATACGGAGCCAGACCATGTTGGAATCCTAGAAGCTCTCGTCAGCTCTCGTCAGACCCCAGCACGAGCGGATGATTTGCAGATGGCTAACAGGCACATGCCAAGCTCTGGAAATCCTTATGCAGGCGTCCTTGTCCGAGGCAAGGAGTGCATCGACTTTGGACCGAAAGTGCCGACTTCTCTTTGCATCATTCAATCGTTTACATCTCTGCAGGTCTTGATGGTGGAAGCTTCCTGCTGGGCAGCTCTTTCTACAGCCAGACGAGTGTGCTGGCCTCGAGAGTCGCATGTAATCATTCTGTTGTTCTCAGGGTGGTCAACCATGGTCAACACCGAATCCCACAAAAATGTACAAGGAGTGCGGGCCTGCGAACCTCAGAAGGATCCTGAAGGGCGATGTGCTCCGCCATGATCCCGACTGCCACCTTCCTGACGGTGCGGCCCACCCACATGGCCACGGCGATCCGCCAGGCACACTGCAGAAGGAAGAACCATCTGCCACAGCTTCTCAAGCCTCGCCCCGAAGCTTGGCGATGCCAATCGACGGGCGAACTCGATGAACTCGACCAGAAGCGGCCTCCGCCCCCTCCACTGCGGCCGGTGAACGGGGGTCACAAGTAAAGGCATGCCCGGAACGTGGGCTTCAGCTGGGAAATGCTGCAGATCACCCCGTGCAATGTTACAATGCGCATGCAGGCATGTACTGACGGACGAACCAAAGGAAGGTCCAGCTATGCAGGGATTACAGAGCATCCTGCAAAAACTATGTCCAAGTGGTGTCAGCCGATGGCTCGTCAACTTGGCGGGGGAACGCACCACAACGCACCACACATCCCGAAGCACAGTGCAAGTAAAAGTGCGGTGGCGACGTGGCCCTAGGTGGGGTGGCATACCTGCACAGGCATAACTAGCAGCTGGCTAGTAGAGAAAGAGGCAGCTCAGTCTAAGTGAGAACTGTGACAGCTGAGCGTGCAGGGTGGCCATGGTGGTTTGATGTGTTTTCTTGCTGCAGCCGGCTGAGGTGTCTGAGTCGAAGCCGCACATGGAGGTTGGTGTTTTGATTCACGTTCCTTTTCTTGCAGCTGCCATGTTAAAATGAATCTGAATAGGCATTGCATCTGATGCAGACGCAGCAGAATCTACAGACGCCGCATGCTTAGCTACCGGTGCCAACTGCTCGAAGAACCGCATGGAGACACTTGAAGTTTCATGACATTGCGAAACAGCCGGAGGCAATCACACGCGCAGCTGCAGAGGCAAGATGAGGGTGCGAACAATGGATCAAGTTCCATACCTCAGCCGCGGCTACACCTGTTTTTCTGGTTGTTTCTGAGCAGTGTCATACAAGACATGCGAACGTCAGAAGTAGCATGCATATGTGCGACCGGACATGTCAGCTCTCGGGCAGTCTGAGCATGTGGAAGTCCGGCGTTTGCCAGGTCACATGCTCTGCATGGTTCCTTCTTCCTCAACTTGGACCAGGCAGTAAAGCCTAGCAAAGCCCACTTAAAGGGATCCGAGATGAACATTCGTTTGCCAGGAGAGAGCGCACGGCAGCAACCTCAGCGACGATTTTCAGGTAGATGTTCAGACTGATGTTCGGGCCAGGCTTATGTGCAGGGATCTGGCAAAGAGGATGAGCCCCGTGTCTATGATCCACGTGAAACGAGGCTTGAACCTGCGGAGCTACGCGACACCCTCAGGGCTTTTCGTGACTGCATTGCTCCAAAGGCACACCTCGACATCCGTCATGTGCTGTTCTGCAGGGCCAGGTTCAGCATGCCGTGTCAAGCTAAGCTTCTGACATGACATCTGACCGATTCATGTGTACCATCCATAAACTTGAGTAGCTTGGGCACCTTGGGCAGCGGCAGTGGTGCTTCGACTTAGGGTGGCTATCCTTTCCCGGCCGGCCAGGCTGTCGTGGGTTTGGGTACGTATGTGAAGTGAGATTTTTTCTCTGGGTCTCCGGTGACGTGGTGCACGGCTGCCAACCACATTCACCACATGCAGCCCAAGCTGGGCAAGATTGTTGTCCAAGCGTTCTCTTCTGCCGTATTCTGCCGCAAGGTACCTGGGGCCTTCTACGGGCCCCCGGCCTTCGTGGCCGTATCTGGCTGACTGGGCTCGGACTGTGCTTGCTTTCACCTCTTCCTGCTTGCTCCCCGGGACGATCGAGAGAGAAGTGGCCGTCCAATGGACCTTGGAATCTAGAAGCCACGTTGAAGCAGGATGCGAGAGCAGACGCGAGGCATATTCACCTAATCAGTGTCAGCATCAGTAACCTAAACGTAGTCAAGCTATCGCAAGCGGGTGGCTTGCGGGAGATGAGTTCTCAATTCACTGCAGCAAGTCGATGAGCCTAGTGCAGATTTTTGTCTATAGCTCATCCTCATGCATCGAGAGATCTGAAATTTGGCCAAACGTGCGATGCACAGCCAGTTTGCATGCGCAGCGTGATGCCGCCAAGCGCAGCATGTAGATGTCGATGGAAGGAGCTGGACTGCGGCGCTCGCGCTAAGTGACTCGGACCTCAGATTGGCTGCCCGAGTTCCAGCTTTCCAGGATCTTGCTGCATGAGCATTCACGCCAGTCACAACACGATGATGTGCTTGTTGCTGTATCATTTGGCTCACGCATCCCTTAACTATACACTTGGCTCCAGAGAAGGGAGGATGGCAAGTATGCCGACTTGAAGGTGGACAGGGGAAGGGTGCCAGTTCGCAGCCCCTGCGCTGTGCCGGGCCCCTGTCGAATTCTTGGGGGCTCCAATGAAAGCTCGGCTCCTTTTACATCTCTTTGCATTGTCTGAATTGGGATCTCACTGTGAATCTCGCATGATGCGCACAGTGTTCAATGTCGAGTAGCTGTCTGAGGTGCTGCAGCACCCCATGCTGTCCGTGGGGAGGTCTTCGGCTTGGCTTAGTTGAATGACATGTTGCTCTGCCTGGATGAACCCTGCGGCTTGCAGGAAGTGCTGACTGGCTTCACGTGGTGGGCACAGCTGGCATCAGATTGCCTAGGTTGGCTTGAAAGTCGAGGCTTCATGGAGTTGGTGGAGGTCAGGTCAGCTTGCACATAGCTTGCAGCTTGCCAGGATGGCTCGGCTTCCTTCAAACGCCGATCACCTATGTGTGTGAGTGAGTGAGTGAGTGAGTGAGTATGACACGCAATGCCTACCAGTACCGGTACGCTGCCAGTGTAAGCAGCGTGAAGGGCAAGAAAGTGGCGGCGGTGGCACGGGGAGCCGGCCCTATCTCAAAGTTGCAGCGTGTGAAGGCAGGAAAGAGTGGCTGACAAATGGGGTCTTTGCAACTTTGCCTGGCTTCGGGAGGTGAGCAAAGCAGCACCTTTTGTGGCACCAGCCTGTCCACCAGGACTGCTTGTGTCCAGCTCCGTTGACTATACTAATCTGTCGGCTAAGCATCTTGCTCATTGGCAGAAAGTCACTGAACATGATGAACGAAAACCAGGCTGTGCGGTGGTTTCGGCTGATCTGCTGCACCAGCTTCAGCAAGAGGCCTGAAACAAGTGCCCGCCAGGGACTCCATGTTTCCCGTGGCTGGCTTTTCGCAGCACAACAGTCATCTCGTGTGCGCATCGTTCAGGTTGGAATAAAGGCAGCAGCACCGGCACGCCCCAAAGAGCAATTGGCTTTGTTGTCTGGCCAAGATTTTCTCTGTCGAAACCCTTCCGCCTGCGCAGCCCGAGCCGAAGCACGCAGCTCACGAAGCTCACAAAGCTCACGAAGCCCCGCGGGAAGTGTTCAAAATTCGGCCTGCGTGGACCTGAGTTTGCACTGAGGTCTGGGTACAATCCTTGTATGGAGTGTAAGCAAGGTTGCTGTGCTTACATTCTGTCCATTTTTTGTTCCGTACATGCTTCACGCTTGTTGCCGCAAGGCACAGGCTCGGCAGGCAAAGCAAAAAGATCCAGGCACACGGTCGGAAGGTGCTCGGAAGTGCAAAGCTCTGAAGCGTCCGCTCTGCACAGGCCGGCAGGAAGTCCTGCCTGTGAAAGCCGCGCTCGTCAACTTGATCGACGAGGTTTGCAAGAGAAGTGCATGGGATGGGCGTGGTCACGGAACCATGAAGCACACCCAAGGTTCCGCCTCCTCCCGGTGCACGCCACGTCAGTGTTGGCCTTGACCTGAGTTGGCAGAAGGAGGAAGGGAAAGAGAGGGAGCCGACAAGTGAACTTGACCCCCGTTAGGGCGGATCTGTCGGGAGGTTACGCGTGTGCAGGGAAGAAGGAAGGGAGTGAGGGAGACAGAGAGATAGCGGACGGTGTACCGTTGAAGCTGGTCCTTAAGTTCACAAGTGTGGTACAGGGAGGCCCTGAAATTGCAGGGGCGGGCGAGGAGGGCTCGCTCCCTCAACCCCCCACGAGAGAAACAAAGACAGAAAGAAAAGAAAAACGCGAGCGGACTGCAACGTGTGAGGGGGAGGTGCTACAACAAACAACTTTGCAGGGTGGCGCACCAGCCATGGAAGATAGCTTGGCAAGGGAGGGGTCATGTCGGTGGCGCAGGAGTACCGTCCGCGAGACGCACTCAGAGTGCAAACTTAGCTGCAAAACCGGGAGAACGACGTGTATCTGGAGCTACGGTGGAGGGGGCGGAGACAAGGCAGAGAAGCTGCGCACAGCGGACGGGGTAGGACGAAGGTGGAACGGGAGAAGTGGCAACTTAGACGACAGCTCTGAGGAAGCAGTAACGGGGCGCATGAGAGCCATAGAGCTATGGGAGGGAGCAGCTGCACTCACCGAAGCAAAGTGAACAAAGCCGGGGATTTGGGGGAGGATGTTGCTCTGGAAGGGACGGCCGTCAAGGAAAAAAACACGCGACAGGGATGAAGTTGTGAGAGCCTTCGACTTACATGTCTGAGACAGTCAAGGGGTCAAATACCCCATGCAGTCCACTTTGGTGTGTGGGCTTTCGGGTCCGTAGCTCTGCTTGTTGGAGACGAACACCCTGCCTTTGGAGAAACAAAGAACAAAGAAGCCACGATGTTCAGAATAGAAAGAAAGAAATAACAAGAGAGAGAATTGAGAGAGACCAGGCTTTTCGGTACCCAGTACTCGCCACATTGCAGTTGACATACTTTGGTGTGTGTGTGTGTGTGTGTGTGTGCAATGGTGGTGCTCCACTTTCCTCCACATGTGCGTATGGCTTTCGAAGTGCTGACGCGAGATCATGTTTGGTGTGCGTGATGCTCTGGCACATCTCCGGTGGAGCATCAATGGACACGAGACCGTTTTCGAGTAGTGTTCAGTCATGCATCCGATGTGTTGGGCTTTCGAGATTCTTGACATCCCCGGGCTTGCTTGCGTGCAGAACTCAGGCACCGTGCAGGCTGTGGAAGAGGCATGCTACCCAGATTTGCAGGCGCTTTGTGTGTTGCCTATCCCTGATATGGACAGGGCACGCAGACCTCGGAGGAAGAGAACAAGGCACACCATTGAAAACAGCCTGAAGCAGAGCTCGTCACAGCTAGTTGTGCTTGCTCTTGTCAGGTTGGTGCACCACTCCCCAGGCCACCAGTGGTGTCGCAGGCCGGCTCGCTGCCGACTTCCGCACGCCCGGGACTGAGTGACCAAAACATCAAGCCTTGCCGACAGCGCCGATGATGCTGTAGCTGCCGTTGGCCACACGCCCCTGAAGCCTGGCAACCTTCTCCTCTGGCTTTCTTGGCAAGGAGAGGATGGAGAGATGCGACCGACAGCCAGACGACATGTTGATGGAGTGGGCGAGGTGGTTGAGATGCCAGAGATTGCGCGTGTGACTTCGTCACTAAGCTCTGGCTTTGTTCCTTGTTGTGGAGGCTGCTCCGTTGCTGTACGATGGTTTCCTGGCACCTCGCCAGGCATTCCTAACGTTCACTCGTGACACAGATCCTGCCGGCAGAATTCCCTTCAATACTAATGCCCGGAACAGGCAGGAGGAGCTCAGCCTCAGCCGACAGAGTCACTCCCTCAAGTTGTGCAGAGACAGAGAGACAGAGAGACGTTTTTTGTTGATCTTTCCCATGTTGATTCAGCAGCGGCCTGTCGAGGAAGTCGCAAAACTATGGGCTGTGCGATCCTTTCCACATGGATAGGTGTGGCGACGCGATGCACGCGATGCTGCCTGCAGCTGCAGCTTGATCTGCTGTCAGGATCACGGCAGAGAAGGAGCGTGATCGAAAGAGGCGGGTTCATCCAGAGCGCCCCTCTGCATTCGTTTCCGAATCAATGCTGCAACGCAGGGTCCAGGCCCAGATGCTTGCCGAGCAGATCCAGGAGACAGGGCCGGACTCGTCTTTGCTTGCACGCTGCTTAATACGCAGGTCCCCCACGCAGAGGCTCCAAGACCACACACATAAATCTTCAGCACACGAAAAGCGCCACACATACACAGAAGAAAGGAAGCACTCCGTGAACATGGATACAGCCAGTTACTGAAAGGCGAGTGATCTTATATGTTAGCTCTGACGAATGCATATCATGGCGACTCGGCATATTCTGTGTAGCGTGGCTATTGAGATATCGTTAGGTCAAACTGCAGGATTCTCTAAAATTCCTTCCTGCCTGCTTTCTCAAGCATGCACTAGACTGAGTCTAGAGTTTCCTAGCAGTATCTGCAACAAGAAGCAACAAAGAGTGTCCACCAGCAAGCAGCAACTGTGCTTTCGGATGATGCTGACCAGCCATGGCTGGAAACTGCTGGGACTGCAAGGCTGCAATAATCATCTCAGGTAAAAAGATGCTACTGTAAAGCCTACGGGCAGCGTCTCTGTGCAGGCAGGTCCTACGCTTTGCATGGAATGCGGTTGGGCACCTGGTGCTTTCTGCGGCCACCGATCTCCTTGCAGCAAACCAGTGCTACATATGGAGGTTTCCGAAATAGGGGTGCCCTTTTCGGGGGTCCCTTTAAGGGGATTCCATTCTATTTGGGTACCCCTGTTTTGGGAAATGAATACCCATATCTCGCAGGTCCGCCTTCGCCTGTATGCCATCCAAGATGCAAGAAGCGTACATCTCTCAGTGCGGATTGGAATGACACCGTCCCCGTGTGGATGGTGAAGAAGCTCCGGCGAACGGCGTTGCCCAGGGATAGCTACAAGTATTGTACAAGGTTGGTCACCCTTTGCGAGGATACGGCAGCAGGCTGCCATTTTTTTAGTCATTTAACCTGACAAAGCAATCCAACCAGGCTGAACTCCGAGCTGCAGCACCAAGCCCTGTGCATGCATCAAGTGTGGTAACCGCCTTTGCTGCTGAGAAGAACCTGCCGCAGCTGCTTGGTTCAATTCTGTAATTTAGTCTGATAGGGAGCTGTGGAGGCAAGCGAAGCCGTGAGGTGCGACTCGGCAGCAACTCTGACCTTCCAGCCTGGCCAAAGCTCGGGGGTTCAAAGCCGTTTCGCTGGTTGAGCCACGTGCTCAATTTAAGGAAAACAGCCTCGATCCACTCTCCGCCTGCAGTGCAAAGGCCTGGTACTGGTACCATCATAAGGTAGCTGCAGGCAGCCGATGTCTGCACCCCTGAGAAGGGGCAGATTGTCAGGAAAAGCTGGCTGAGCCGCCATGGATGATGCAGTCTTCGTGCAACTTGGCCTTTGCCGAACTAGCGTTGGCTATGTTCAGCTCTTGATGATGCTTTGCCATTAGAGTGCTGTGAGGTTCGACACTGAAAGCGAGCAAGCTACGAACTTTGCTATAGCGGTTGCAGCCTCTGCAGCTTCAAAGGGTTTGCATGACAGAGGCTCAAGCACCCTTGACGCCACACGGCCTCTAAGGTTTGGAAGTCTCTGTGACTTGACTGCTGAGAAAGATTCGGTACACCCTCTCCGCATCTTTTCGAGCTCCTTCCGCCAACTGAGGAAAGCCTGGCTAGGTGTGTCTTTCAGAGAACCAATACCGGGCACAAAGCAGTTCGAGGTGAAGGCCATGAGTTCACATCCGGCACCGCTTCCTCTGACGTCTTGACTCCCCGTCGGCTCTTTTCAGCGCAGGCTCCGAACACAGTCATCGTCATCACACCGAACATCTTCAAGAACGAGGTCGTCAGGGAAGCGCAAGGCTCTTAGATCTGTCGGCCGGCATTCGCTGCCTCCAGCTGCTGCACACGCTATGTTCCAGAGCATTGAAGTCCCGTCCAGGTACGCGGCAGCAGCGACAACCAAGAAAAATGCCTCCTGATCGCATCTACACGGCTAGTGTACTAGCAGCCAGCAAGAGTGAAGTCTGTTGTGCCGGCTGAGGTAGTGTTTCTACACCACATAACTTCTGGCTGCAACCTCCAAGAGGAGGCTGCTGATTTAGGTCTTATGTTTCTGGTCTCCGGTTCTCAGTGTAGATGCCTTTCTTGAGGGCTGATCATGAGCAAGATTTCTCAGCAGGCTGAGCAGGCGCCAGAGGAGCTGAAGAAATCAGTCGACAAGATTTTCAAAGACAAGAGGTACGTGATCTATACGGAGGAGCGACGCGGCACTTGTGCAAGAGTTGAGAAGAACGCCGTTGGTCCAGTGTCCTACTCATGGTCCCTTGACCCAAGAAGATTTCACTGTGAGGACCTCAGTGAAGAGTGCAATGACATGCTCATGGAAAAGCTGAACCTGCGAAATGCAGACGAACTGAAGGCCTCTCCGTTGTTGTCGCCCAGAATTTGCAATTACGACGTGCACCGCGGTGCCACAGGCTGCCTACGAGAAGCGCGCCTTCCGTCGAAACATCGTTACTTGGTGGCCATGTCAAAAACGCAGCCTGTTTTCTCGGCTTTTGCAGCCTCCAGGCAACGCCAACATTTCACGCAACTCAGGACATCATGAAGTACAGCGCCAAAGTTGCCAAGGTCCGCTGACAGGGCGCTCTACTTTCATCAGCGGCTGTCTGCTAGTTCAGGCACGCACACAAGCTGGAGTCAAGCGGAAGTACGACCTCTGCATCACAGCGGCGAACGTCGAGCACAGCCCAGATGGAATGCCAGTGGCCGCTGTGCCGCAGCTTTCGCGCGAAGCTGGCGATGGTAGGTCACAGTGAGTGGTTCATCTATGCTCATCTATTCAAGCTGTGCCGAGGTTGACCGCTTGTTCACGACGATGTCGAAGCTTGCACCAGCTTTGTGCATTGGCCGAAATTACGGCGACAAGGCTGGACATGGTGCTCAAGCATCTCAAGCTCGGCACATCTACTAAAAGCGCAGCCATGCTTGGTCAGGTGTCCAATGCTGATGTGAGACACTCCTTTAACATCGTCGTGGTGCTCACGAAGGAGACCGTGTGCCAAAGAGACCGGGTGCTGTTTCCTTGCAGCCTTGCAGTGCCTTGCAGGACGCCCTCACGTGTCCGGACTTGATGGGGGAGCTGAAGTCTGCCCTGGAAGCAGAAGCCAGCATTCTCATCGTCGGGACCTTGCCCTCAATTCCTCGATGGTGCACCTACGCCTGATGTGAAAATCTGAAGGTGCACGATCTGCTGAGCTGTCCAGACCTGAAGGCTGAGATCGAAAAATGCGAGGACCAGCCGACTTCCATAGAGTTGCTGAGGGCTTTCCACATTCCATTTCTGCCAGGACAAGGTGGTTGCGTCAAGCCTGATGCGCTCCGCACGATTCGTCTACATGTCAGAGGCCTCGTCTGACTGTCGTAGTACTGTCGTGAAACATGTCTAAGAACACACCCAAACTTGCGCCATGTGACTCTGCCGGCCCTCAAACCATCGAAACCCTAAAGTCCTAAATTCATGTGAACTCTCAGTCTTGAAGCTCATAGGCCTTGCATATAGGCTCACCATGCACAACCCCTCAAGTAATTTTATTGACGCGCTGGGAATCATGCGATCTGTCGGAACAGAACACGACATGTCAAGTGGCTTGCCTTGGGGTGTTGCCGATATCGTTGTTGAGGAAGAATGCTGAGCGTTGCTTAGCCCATGTGATGCTGCGAGGTGGTCACGAGTGTTGTGCTTGGCATCTTGTCGCCTGGCACAGCGGGGCCCTCATAGGGCCGCGGGAACGTTTAGGGTTTGATGTGGGATGTAGGGTAGGTCACTACAATGCTCTTGTGCCGCAGATCAAGACAGACGACGCCAAGTCACCTCGAACGAAGCAGGCGCTGTCCTCTGGAGGTGCCTCGTGTCCCTGATAGACTTGCCAAAATGTACATCCTCACAATGTTCACCTATGAATGAGTATGTCTTGTTCAAGTATCTCTTGGTCCGAAGGGCCAGGTGCGTAGGCGCACAGGTGCCGAGAAGAACTGCAACTTGCCCTAGCCTGTCTGACAGGTGGAAAGCAGTTCCGGCTCGAGTACAAGAACTGCTTTGCTCTGGACCTGGCGAAAGATGGTACAGGACAGGTGTACAACACCAAGCCGACTGGCTCAGCATAGTTCAATACAAGGTTCAATGCAGTTCGGCATGTTCACGGGGTAATCGCAGGGTAGGGTTTGTGCGGCGTTCTGCAAGGTTTAGCGACAAGAAGAAAGACTTGCCGGGCGACATCGACTCCGCCATCAAAGCCCTTTTCGAGCTGTATGATCCGGCCAAGAAGGGCTTCTTGTCTCAGTGTTATTGCTATTATTCTTATTATGATCACTGCTACTAATACTGCTACTACCATTATTAGGATTATTGTTAATAGTATTATTATTATTATATAATCCGGTGTGCTGCATGGACTTTGCTTTTGCCTCAGGAAGCATTGGCTGGCCGCAGTTTGCCGAAGTCGATCGTATCGTGACGGAATGCCTTGGCGGCCAGTACGAAGAGATGATCTCCCGAAGAGCTTTCTCCATGATGAACTATCCAGGCGGCTGGATTACTTGCGCAAGGAGATGAGGGCATGTGACGCGCATGTTTTCCCAGTGGCCTCAAGCCACAAGCTGGGGATGTCCGGGGGACCAGCAGTGTGATTCTGCCAGGGCTGACTCTGGAGTCGGAGATTTCCTTCACGACGTTCCACAACTACCATGCCGGGGGCCTTTTCTGTTCGTTTTTCGGGGGCTTCGTGAGCTTCAAAGCATTGCAAAGCGCTCGCTCCCCTATGCCCTGAGAGCTCTGCCTTTCCGAGGCCTTCGTTGCAAAGCAGATGGGCGCATTGGAAGGCATCTTGTCCTTAAAAGCTATCGGGCTGGAAGCAGGCAGTTGTGCATGCTCGTTGCTGTGAAAGGTGACAGGGACTCAAGCATGCACTACAAGTATATCGTGGACAAGGCGAATTAATTTGCAATGCCAGCTCTCCAGAAATGATTCTGCGCGGTTGCACTTGGAATTCGGCTCCGATCAAAAGCAGTCGGCATTGCGCATGCGTTGACGCCGTCACGTAAGCGAACTTGGAATTAGCAGAATGGAGACCCAATCCTTGGGTGGTTTCTGCTCGGCCAGGTGAAGAACTCCAAAAAAGGCAAGCGCTTCCTGAAGCTCTTCGACTTGTGCCCGATGCTTGCACTTGGTGCAGCCCACGACTTGCGAAGATGCGTGTCTTGATGCCTGGTCCTTCTCGGCGTTGCGTCTCCTCGTCCCCTCGAAGCTCTCGCTATGAGAGTCGGGCAAAAGGTACGGAAGACTGGAGGGGTCATAAGGGTTCGATGACTTGTGCTATGAAAAGCCGACAGGGGCAGATCCTAGGCCGATGGCCCTTACGTACTTGATATCGTTGCTCAACCCGTAGGGGCCGCTACTGAGCAACTCCTGTAGCACAGCCCCGCGCAATCGACAGAAATCGATAGGGGCCAACCCTCTTTCGCGCGAACATTCGGATACAAAGAAGAGTGTTTTTGACCACTACTCTATCTGCTTGCCGTCGCATGCCGTCGCAGGATGGTCCTCAAGCGGTTTAGCCGTGCCGATTTGATATGCTTATCTGCTTGTTCGATGCTGCACATGGGTTGACCAACCGACATTCACAGAGGTTCAGAATGCGGAGATGTCACTCATGCACCACTTTTGTTGTTTCATTCGCGAACAGGGCGTCTGGCATTTCAGTTCAAGCTGCGCTTGCTACAGGTACATCGTCCATGATGAAAGCAAAGAGTCCATTGCTTTCGCCAAAGCGCTCAAAGTGTCCATGAAGGATCACACGTGCCACGTCTAAATCTGGACACCTTAGCGAGTCCGGTGTGTCTTGTTGCCAAAGCTGAGCTGCTTACCTGCTTCGCTCTGGTCCGTGTCTGTACGTTTGCATAGCCCGTAGGCTTGTCGCGTGTTCTCGGCCGCCAAGGCCCAACGTTCGCACAGCAGTTTGTAACGAGAAGGTCCCTGGGAAGGATGACATGCAACCGGGACGTCATTCGATTTTGTGGCAGCGCACGTGCTGTGCTGGAAACACGTTGTCCCACTTCACGCCAGCCAAGCGTAAGGCAGCGCACCCAGATTGCAGCTCAAAGTCTGAACGTCCTCATCTTGCTCCAAGAAGACTGCCTACTCAAGGCCTGATGGGTCTATAGTCAGAAAGGCATCCTGAAAGAAGCTGTTGCAGACAGGATGAAGTGGCCAAAGATGTCGTCGCCGGAGCAAATGAGGCTGTGAAGTTAGAGAAACAACTTCAGCACCCATATCAATCCAGATCCTCTCCAGGGAGCTCAAATCTTGGTGTTGGTGAACATGGAGAGCAGCCCCATCTTGGAGAAGGAGCGATTTTGCTGAGCTCACCTTTCTCGATGATCCGGCATCTTGTTGCATTTCATACATGATCTGTCTCGCAAACCTCAGGAAAGAAAGAAGGCGAATGCAGAGGTCCAGACAGCACTGTCAAGACCTCCCGTTGTGGAATATTGGAAGGGCAGCGACCAGGTGCGAGAGATAAGCCGCATGAATCCCCCCCAAGTCGCTTCTCAGCTTGTTTCTGAGCTGGACCATGGAAGCCTGGAAACCATGAACTCCGTGCGCGCGGAGGCTTGCTGCTGCAAGCTGCTAGACTTGATGTCGTTTCCTGTCGACGCGAATGCAAAGCGGCCCCTGCCGAACAAGACCCTGGGGCTAGCAAGTTACACTTCTTGTGGTGTTGGGTTCATTGCAGCTTCAGGCTTCTTTCAACGCGACTAACATGTGGTCACTCAGGAAAGCGACGTTCCGGCAGAAAGAAAACCCAGTGGTCCTTTTTTTGTACCAGCAGTGCGAGGAGGCAGCTCCAACCGTTCCAGTTTCTTCAACAGACACCAGCAGTTCTTTGTCCCATCCTGCGCAGGATACGGTGTGTGGTCAGGCCATGACGGCTTTGGCGAACTTGGTCAGTCCCATTAGCCACTCGGCTTCGGGTAGAGCCATTCCGGTTGTCGCTGTCAGCAACGCCTTTGGTGCTTAGGCAAGAGTGGCGACTTGACGAGGCCTTGTGCAAGAGCCGTCATCTCATGAATGCTATTTTTCGTGTTTCTGCAACCAGCAGTACGCATGGGAGGGCCGAGTTTCTTCGAGATGGTGGCTGCGATGTCCTGCAGGAGCGTTTCTCCTCGCATCCAAGCTGCAGTTCAATCTGGCTCAATAAGGCAGATTCCAACAGCTGTTCTTTCAGCACAGGTTCCTCTCAGTCAGCGCTGTCGCAGAACCTGCTGCGCGATGCGTGGCGAACTTGGCAATGTACCCACCTTGCGCCCGAAGGACCGTTCCTGACCCGTTGCATCGACCATGCCATGCATCCAACCATGCAGGATGGCCGAGCTGGGTACCGTGAAGACACTCATTGAAGCTATGCAGGCGCACGTGGATTCTCCAAATCTGCAGGCCGGAGGGAGACGCGGTAGAGTCTGGTACAAGAACTGAAAGCATGACAATGAGGGTTGCAGGTTGTGTTGAACTTAAATGCTTCCAGCCCAGGGTGATGCCTGCTGCGCTATTGTGAACATCGCTCAAGATGACGTTGGCAAGAGGAAGGTCAACGAGTTAGGCACCGGTGCTGATGTGGTCAATCATGGTCAATCCTATTACCAGCAAGGATTAAGGTCGGCAATGGCTGTAGCATGTAGCAGTTGGCCCTTGCACGAAACCCTAAATTCAAGCATCAATCTGCGTTGGCCCCGCACCTGACTGTGCAGGTGGGTTTCAGCAAATGCTCCAATCCCAAAAGCGATTTGAGTACAACGCTGACTTCTGGGAGATGCGATGGGGCATGAAGGAACTTGCCGAAGGTGACACGGTCATGGCATCTTGCCGCAGACGGCAGAGGTTGGTAGACATAGAACAGGTGAATGTTAAACGAATCAAGCCTCCGATTTGTCCTCAGTTTTGGATTTGCCTGCAACTTGACAATGTGCCTTTTCCCTCTGAGGTAAATTATCATGGCAAGGGACGTTGGGTGACAGGAACAATCACGAGAGTCAACAAGGGCAATGGCGCCTACGATGTTGACTACATGCATGGTGGCAATGATCGCAAAGTGCCCACGAATTTGGTCCGCCCCAAAGACAAGTCAGCTTTTTGGTTGCAGGCGAACGTCTTTTCTGTAGTCACTGTAGTCTTGATGTTGAATTTTTCATGACTAGTACTTGTAAGCGTTTGTGCCCGCCGCCTCGGCAGCCGGGCCGGCCCAACTCCGGCCTTTGGAGGCCTCATATAGCCCTATTCTGTATCTTCTGCTGATACGGCCAAGCTGCGTAACAGCCCTGGACGTTTGACCAGTCAGGTTTAGGACAACGGCCCGAAGTCCTTCTTTTATAACTTTCTTCTGATTCCAATTAGTTTCAGTAGCAACTGCTACACCCTGCTACTCCATGCAACACAGTGGCCGCGGGAAAGAAAAAAACGCTTTGTAGCCTCGGCCTCCGGCCGACAGGCGTCTGGAAGAAGCAGACAAAAAAAGCCGGTCTCCTTGCCCCCTTCCCAACCCACACCAACCCATCACCCTTCTTTTCCCCCTGTTGTGGGAGCTGCAATCCGATACCTTGGGGTGGTCACTGCTTGACAAGGCATTTTTCGCGCCCCAAGCACTTGCTAACAAAGGCAACAGGCACCCAAACAACAAGTGCACCGAGGGATGCCGAGGGTCTGCTGACACTGCGCACGCCCTTACTGCTGAGGAAAAAGGGCAAAAGGGTCCTCCAGCAACCCTTTCGTCCCCAAAACTTGCTTGCAAGGGTTCGGGTTTATGGGTCGGTTGCTCTCCGGTGTCTTTTCCTGACCCGCAATCGCTTTCCATTTTTGCGGCCCGATTGTGCGGACAAAAGGAACATAGGGGCCAAAAGAAAGCAGAGGAGAACCCGGAAACCGCATCGAGCTGTGGGGGCTGGGAGGTGGCTTGGAAGCTTGACATGAGGGTGACACGGACGGAGGTCGGGTGCAAGTCTCAAGTCTCAAGCGGGTACTCGTAACAGTTTTAACAACCTCGGTGGAGCTGGTAAGCTGGAGTTGCGATTCTTTTAAGGACATGATCGACGAGTTCGTGGCTGTTTGGCAGTGGAAGCCAGAGGGCAAGCTTACAGAGGATGAGCTAACCCTCAAGGCCGATGGGATTCTGACGCTGAAGCGAGAAGGGCAAGGAGCGGCAGGGACCTGGAACGTTGCGGAGCCAAAGGGCGGAGGCCGCAACCTGGTCAAGATCAAGTTGTCCGTGGAGCCTTTCTCCTCGATTGAGATGGAGCGCATCTCCTTGACGACCCTGCGCTCCACCAGCGGACCGCAGAGGGCCGTCTTGAAGGACTCGCTGGATGATTGCCTCTACGTTGAGTACTTCGAGTTCCCCGAGGGTTTGGACACTTTCAAGAAGCCTCCGCCTCTCCTCGGCCGTAAGCCTGACATCTCCCGGTCCGAGCAGCAGATTGACTGGGTGAAGACCGACTCGCCACCTGGCCAGCACCTGGATGCTTCCCTGACTTTCGAGGTATCGGCTTCGAGAGCTCTTGGAGCTCTTGGAGCTTTTGAGTGCATGTTCTACTATAAGATGCATCCTTCGAATGTACTGAAATCATTCATTCCAGCTGAGGCCGTGGACTGGGCTGCCGGTCAACTTCACCAGCAACTATGCAGCGAGGTGCCGGGTCCAGCAAGCAGCTCCTCCACAGCCATGGGTAGAGGGCCGGGACAAGGGATAACAGTCTTCCCCGCATGCTCAGCCACCATCAGTTCAGAGGTGGAAGGGGGTTGTCGAGATCACGAAGATGGGTGACTACCAGCTCAAGCTGGAAGCTGCGACCAGTGCAGTCTTGAGGCTTTGCAATGCCGTGCTTCGGCATCGAAAGACATCCGTATTGTGCCTTTCAGGCTCAACGACAAGGTGGTGATCGATGGGTCTGGCGAATGGCAGGGCAAGCTCTTGGGAGGCCAGTGTATCCAGTGTCAAGATGCAGCGTTCTTCATGTTGGCATTCTGTCAGCTTATGGAAGTCCTGTGCCACAATGCAGAGGCCCCAATCGGATTGCCATGGACTTCTTCGCGAATGAGGACGGATGTCTGGAGTTTGCCTTTGACATCTGTACCATTCCTCCATGTAGGCCTCCAAGTTCGTCCAGCTGTCGTACTGCGGGCCAGACACCGGGGACGAATGGTGTATCATGCCGGTGGCAGTGCTGCAGCACGAAGCTTGAAGGCACGAAGGAGCCTATTTTTGACCTGTGCTTCACGGCAGCTTCGCTGCCGTCATTTCCGCGCGACCCTGCAGCTAAGGATCTGGAGTCGTGCCAGGCCGGCACTCCAGTTGTGGTGAGTCTAGTGCCACTGAACACTTCCACGGAGCGGGGGTCTGAGACCTGTTGCTTCCGATGCAGGTTGTTCCAAAGCCAGGCTTCATCGCCGAGTACTTTCCAGAGGCCAGGGCAGATGGGTGATGAGCAGTGCTCGGTGTCCATGCACACGTCAGCAGGTGCACAGTAAGACATTGGATTGTTCGATGTCGGGTCTCTTGAGGACTACGAGGATGGTGTCATCCCAGAAGGTATGGATCCGGACATTGTTCGAACTGAGAAGCAGCTTGATTTCGAGGAGGCCACGGGCTTGTCATGTGATTTGGAGCTTGACCCCGCAATAACACAGCTTTGGGCATTCCGGTCGGGGTTGGGCTTTATGAGGCTGTCGGGACTTCGTGTGTATTGAGGGTAGCAAGATCCATGTGTGATGCGACCGGCATGTTTGCACTGACCACGTCTGCGATTTCTAGGAAGCAAACTGGCTAAGTTAGAGTAGGAGACAGGTGCATCATGGTGCATCCATACCACAATTCAGTCCTCATATCACAGCCTAATTAACGTCGACTCAGGACATTGTCGTTCGGGGTGGGGCCAGCACGATCTTAGAATTACAGAGCCATGTAGAGCCCGAAATAGTAGAGTCTTGATATGTCTTGACATGTCTTGACATGTCTTGACATGTCTTGACATGTCATGTCTTCATCGTCTTCATCGTCTTCCAATCGCAAAGAACCTAGACACCGAAACTATAAAAGCATGTTGAAACTGGACCAAGCCGGCAAGAACCGGGATCGACCTTTGCAGCCCCGGGACCGAGGTTGTAAGAGTCTTACAGTAAGACGGTTGCCAAGCTGTCACTAGGTCTGCGCAGAAATTGGTGCTGGCATGAGGCGCTAGACCAGCGCCGAAGCCAAAGTGCCTAGCCGTGGCTTCTCATGAAAGCGCTGCAGTTCACGCCGAGGGGCTCAACATCGAAGCGAATCATGGCTGGGGTGCACTATGGAAACCTCCAAACCTTCAAACCTCGGTGAGCAAGGAGGGGAAAGTGATGCAGAGGGGCTTCAACCTGTCAGGTTGAAGCTCCGTGGCAAGGGCTTCCCAAGCGCTATGGCGGATCGTTTGCAGCCCGCTTCACAACGTCCGATCCCCAGCTTGGCATTCGCACAACTTCCAGCCATATCAGCTGCCTTGACAGGTACATCAATGTTACCTGTGGAGATGCCAAAAAAGCCAAGTATCAGTTCATGCTCGAATCGGGCAGCTGGGCGTTGCACCAGAATCCTTGTGTTTGGTGCTGGCACAGTCGCTAGCCTGTGAGGGCCGAGGCAAACCCGCCGGGTCTGTGCAAGATTGTGCAAGATCCAAGGCATGAAGGCAGTCCTGTACATCAACGACAAGCAGGTGTCTGTTGAGGACAAGCCTGTGGACATCGAGCTGAAGAAAGGCCTGGACATTTGGCATGTGCTAGCTCATTGTCATTGATCGGCCTGCCAGGTCAGCACCTCGTTCGCGTTGACTACTTCTGCAAAGCCGGGGAGAAGCATGGCTGCTGGCTTGCAAAGGATTCGTGTACTTCAAAAACATGCATCCCTAAACCTTTCCCCATACTCTCTTCTGGCAGCTTCCTGCAGTTGGCTTCAGGGAGTCCTCTCAACCAAATCTGCCATCTGCAATCAGGCCTGAAGCTCTTCTACCGTGGACCGGAGACAATGCCCAAATTGGACGATGGAGAGGAGGTGCCTGAGGCGCATGAATGTGAAAGTTCAGCCATGCAATGGCCTCTAGTATGCGCTGGGCCGCGGAACTCGCATGTGTGCAGGGTGCCGGCAAGATCCTTGTTCCGCCTACAGCCACCTGTGGCTTGGCACATCCTGTGCTGCTCTGTTGACCTCACCAGATCCAGTGGTGGTTGACCCACAGTTGTTGTCATGATTGGAATTATCGCGTACCTGCCTAGTGCTTTCAGCATGAGGCTACTATGCCCTTCCGTCCTGTGCCGCATTCTAAGTTTCTCCAGCCATCCCAAACCTCCAAGCGGCTAGAGAGGAGCGCGGGCAGCAACCTGATTGATAAGGCTCAGCCCAAGGGGGAGCCCCTGATGAAGCACGACAAGGTGGGGAAGGGTGCTGCCGCCCATTGCGACTGCATTCGACGGGCGATCCTAGGCCGTGCACACGGTCCTCTGGTCTGATGACGATTCCCGCATCGCATCCGTGGGAGGTGCCGGCAAGGCGGGTTTCAAGGTCCTCATTTCAAATTGCACATCCATCCTGGATTAGCTGCACAAAGCCGCGCATGTGTCATACACCTTGCAAAGCCCCCGCTCTGCAAGATTCACTTCTGGGACCCTCCGACAGGAGCGCAGGGCTTGCCTGCAAAATCCTGCAGCTTGTCGGAAGCCCGACCCTGCATCCAAGTTGTCAAGTGCTGGCAGGACGGTACGTGGACAGTACCGATGTCGGTGGCAAGATCACCACAGCCGCTGGTGGCAAGGACAAGATTGCCAGGTGCTCAGCAGCAGGTGCTCAGCAAGTGCAGCTGGACAACCTTGAGCCGAAAACAACGAAGCAAGTTGCAGCATGCAGCCAACCCGTTCGAATCCACCGCAGAAGATTGCTGTTGCAGTGCTGGGCAGTGATTGTCTGTAGTACTGTAGCATGCAAGAAGTAAGTGCGTTGCGTGCTGAACTGAAGGCCCTGGCAATGGATGACGATGATCGAGCCTCTCGGAGCCCCAAAAAGTGTGTTGATCGCGAGAGAAATTCACATGTCGGAATTTTCTTACAGCCAAGGCAGTTTGAGCAAACCTCCACCTTTTTTGTTTTACAGCATCACGTCTTGTCGGCTCGTCTTGTCGCTCTGTACATAAGATCATGGCCGCTCGTATCTGTAACGCTCTTACCATACCTCCGAGCAGGCCGCGCTGCACCAGTCCCTGAATGTCTGACTGTCCCAGGCCATCAAGATTATCGACTTCGCCACAAAGAAGGAGATTCGTGTCTTGAAGCACGTGCCCCAGGATGTGCCGGATGAGGAGACTGGCCTGCTTTGCTATTACGCTGCTGCTGCTTTTTCAGTAGCTGCTTAGAGTTTGAAAAGGAGCCGGAGGAGCCTGAGCTCGATGAGAATGGAGAGGAAATTCCACGCCCTGAGCCACCAAAGAAGCTGGGACCTCATGAAGGCCGGCACTTAGAGAAAGGCAGAGGCTTGCCTCCCACCCCTACTGGTGATGTGTTTTTATTTTTCAGTTCTATGTTTTTTCTTTTGCTACTTTCACAGGCCCCGTACGCATCGTCTGCTTCAGCCGCGATGGCAAGTTCGTAGCCTCTGGCAGCGAGGAGAGGCTGAAGACTGTTTTGCTGTGAGAGATGCAAGAGACATGCTCGGCTAAGAGCCTGTGAAGCTCGTGCACTTCGGCCCCGAGGATGGTGTGGTGAAGCTGTGGGACATGCAGACTGCGGAGGAGCTTATGACAAAGGCCATCCTCCAGACCACGAAGGCGGCGTGACATGAGTTTTCTACGGCATGGCCGGATTGAAGCTCCATTTTGTTTCAAGACACTCAAGACAAACATGAACAGATTCTTCATTCAAAGGGTTCGAACCCGGATTTCTGACAACAGGAGCATGGTGAGACACCGGTGAAGATCCACGCAGCGGGATTCTGTGGAGATGGAACCAGGCGCAAGAAAGCGTTGTCACCTATGACTATATGGTGACCTTGTCCCCGACATCATCTCTTTCTGTTGCTTCTTGCTTGAAATCTTCGAAACACAGAAAAGGCTCCTTGTGGGCAGCAACGAGAAGCACCTCCGAAGCTTGCCTTGAAGTGGTGCTTGGGCGTACCCTCTTGGAAGATAAGAGTTTCGGTGCCTCGAAAATGTGGGGATGCGCTGTGACGCAAGGCATCTACAACACCACCACTCGTGACGAGCTGCGCGGCCCGAAGAAGCTCCTGCCAAAGCCTGCTGAGCCGGAGGAGGGTTGGACCGAGGAGAACCCGGAGCCGGAGGACGAGTATGAGGAGGTTCCAGAGCATGCAGTCGGTGTGCCCACAAAGTGCAGAAGACTGTCTGTCCTCAGGGTGATCCAATCTTCTTGGCCTGCCACAAAGCACCAGTGGATCCTTGGCCAAATTCAGCTGCAGAAGTACTGGTACATACATACTGCAATTCTCAGGGTTTGTCTGAGCGATTGACTTCTCAGGTCTGCCTCTCGTTCTCGCCACTGGATGGCAACCGTGCCTTGGCCCAAAGCCCTGAACGTCATTGTCGGGCCTTCCGTGCAAAAGCGTGGAACCCACGGAGACCCGAACCCCGCAAACTGCCAGGCCTGGCGACTTGCAGCACAGACCCTTGGCGGCAAATTCTGTTACATGCGCAAGAGACTTCCAGGAACACCCCAAGACGTCACAAGAACCGCAGGGACACACACCATCAGACAGCACGGAGTTCCATTTCGCCGTCATGGACAACTTAGGATGCGACCATCCGGATTTGGGATCTGATTAACAGCACCTCGCCAAGCAGAAGTGTTTCGATGTGGTTCTACTCAGATGCAAGGGCTTCAGAAACCGGGGGTTGTGGCGGACGAGGGATGCAGGGACCATATGTGCGACAGAATTGGAGCTTTCCGTGTCATTGCTCATCTCAGTTGCGAATTCGCAGGGGTTGGAAACTCTACTGTAGTCGTCAGGGCCTCGGATTGACCTGGACCCTTGTTAAGGTGAGTATGATGCCGACTTGAAGCAGGCCGGTTGGCTGGTACACCCTGAGCCATCGACCGAACCCTAAAATCTGTGCAGGTCATCGATCCCATTCAGTGTCTGTCGGGATTTGTCACCTGGTCTCCCGATGCCACATCGCTTGTGTCATCGCAGCTGCAATTTGGCGGTTCTACATTGAGCTGTATTGCTGTCCCTTTAATTTAGAGTCCTTTCTGTGTTATCCATCAAGAAGGTGCCTAGACGTGGCGCCTTGATTTCGAGCGACACCCCCATGTACTGCAGCCTGCATGCAGCCGCGGGCAGAGTATGGCAAACCTGCCCAGCGAAGGTCGTCATCAGAGGACATCTACGTCGGGCTGTTTTCCGCAGTCAGTGGCCAGCGCCGAGCGGATCCCCTCCAGGCTCTTCTGCTCCAGTAGCTCTGCAAGCATGCCTGTGAGGGTGTGTGTCACAAGCCGGCAGCACTGGGCCTCCCATGGAAGGGCCACTTGGCAAGCGTGCGATACGCGGCGTGGGCTCCATGCTCGTCTCAGAGCTGCACCAGCATGCCCGATTCGAGGTTTAGATCAATTACATGGGGATATATAGGGACCCAGACAGGGCCCCAGATAGGGCCTCTAACAAGATCAGTTCCCACGTCAGCAGCTCTCTGCTGTCCTCAGCTTGCCTGTGGTGGGGGGTAGCGAGGCAAGCCTTCGTCACGTGCTCCGACGACCACACAGTGCGCCTGTGGCACTTCCTTGTCAACAGGACAACTTGGTCGTAACACGTAAGGAGTGGTGCTGTTATACTTGGCTGCCGCTGTGTTCAGACCTGCAAGAGGAACATCACCGAAATTGCGGTGTTGGAGGGTGAGCAAATGGAGTTTAACGACGACATGCGCAAGTGCGCCACTCAGTGAATTCCCTGTAGCTGCTGTCCTGGTTCTTGATGGCGCATTTGAACTTAAGCCCGAGCTGACCAGGTGGAACGAGAGCTTGCACAAGATTCGAAACGAGTTCAAGGACCCACGTTGGGATTTATGTGATTGATGTCGAATACCTCGGTGCACCGATGTCGTGTCGAGAAGTGAATGTTGTCAGTGTGTCTGTCTCAGCGCGAGCGCGAAGATGACAACGTGTCTTCGAGGGGGCGTTTGCTGAATGGTCAAAGTATGGCCAGCTGCTAAACTGCCCAGCCGTCCGACTTAGTTTCCAGACCCGATTGCTTTCATCTTTCTCGATCCGAAGCCTTGCGAAAAGTGGTTTAACCTACCTGAAAATCATGTTAATGTATACTGTATAATTTAATGTATACCGCATACAGTGTGCAGGGTATATTGTATAATGTATCATGTACAATGTACATTTGTGTAATGCAGATGCATCAGCATGTGTATATATGTGTACTTCTGCACCTACATGAATCAATACATAAATATAATATGTATATCTATATATCGATGTAACCAAAAGATCTCCAGGCGTGTGATTTGCTTCGCCCCCTCCCAACTCCGCTTGTGCACAGCCAGGACTACAGCAAGGGTCTGTCTCAGTACGAGGGCGAGGTCTACAGTTTGAAGAAGAACTTGGATGAGGTGGGTGTTGCCTGCATTCTCGCTTTGGTCAGGCTATGTCAGGCTGATGTTACTGGTTTCATTGGTGGTGCTGCTGCGCCCGCTGCCACCGTTGCTGCTGACTGCGTGGTTGCTCATCGAGTGCAGCTCAGGCCTTGAACAGAACAAAGTCTTACGTGCAACGTGAGCAACTTCTGGGCCTGGAAGTGACGGAGCCTTTGCAAATTCAGAGGTTGTGACCGGACATGACTGTTGGGACATGACGGTTGCATGAAGCATCCTCATTTGGAGTCGGCTGCGCCAGGACTACTACGAGCTTGATGGCATGATCGACGACTTCAACCCGTACTATCTGCTTTGGAGCACCGTCATTGAGTTCCAGCGCTCAGAAAGGCCACGGCGTGCATAGGCAGCTGGAAACTCTTCAGCTTAAGGAATTCTCTGCAACACTCGACACAGGAAGTGGACTCTTGAGCCAATTTCGACTCACAACTCCACGGAAGTGGAGAGCACCATCGATGGCTGGTACAAGCACTCCAGATGCAATGGTCAACAAGACATGAGGACTACCCCCGGCATCTTCCGATACGAACACGTGAAACTATCCAGTTGTCTAGGAAAGGAGCAGAGACCTGACAACTTCGGAAGCTTGCCAGGAACAGCTGTAGCATACTTGGATGTAGCGCAATGCAGCCGAATAACACTGCCTACTGTAGGCCCCGTGCAGCTGCGCCATGCTGTATCGCAGCGAAGCCTAGGTTGGTGTACAAGATGATCAAGGACTTTGACAACGACAACATGAGGCAGGGTTGCACACATATGCACATACACAATCATACATAATCATACATAGTCATACATAGATCGGTGCAATTTGACGTGAACCTCAGGGCCGCACAGAAGATCGCCAAGGAGCTGCGCCAAGGGCTGGAGGAGTTCAAGGGCCGCTTCCCCTTCCTGCGCTGCTTCGCCAACGTGCTCTGGAGATGTTTGGGGGGTTTGGGGCTTAGGGTTTGGGGTTTTAGGGTTTCAGGGATTTAGGGATTCAGGGTTTTAGGGCTTAGGGCTCAGGGTTGGGGAGTTTAAACCCTAAGCCCTAAACCCGTCGGGCTCAGGGTTTCAGGGTGTGAGGGGCACGGGATGGTTTCATGGTTTAGGGATTGCCATATGGGCTGTCGTTGGCAGCGTCAGATCTCCTCCAGAAACCAAGGAGTCGGTCTTGGACCGGCACTGGAAAGAGATGTTCGAGCGCATGGGAAAGGAAGCTCCTCCTCCCTCGAAGTATGGCAACGACTACAAGAATGTGACTCTCCAGATGATGTTGGACCACAACATCAACCAGTTCACAAACGACTTCGAAGAGTTGTCAACTGCAGCAGCCAAGCAGCATGGACTCAAGAAGGCCATGGGCAACATGAAGATCGAGTGGCAGCCCCTCGAGTTCTTAACCGCAGAACGCAATGGAGTGCCGCTGCTTCGTGGCATTGACGAGATTCAGACGGTCCTTGATGACCACATTTCGAAGACCCAGGCGATTCGAAGCAGCCTGCCGCTTAGTCAACATGCCGCTTCCAGCTTACCCTCCGCACCCTCCGTTTCATGTAAAAACAAAATCTCAGATTTCCTCCGAAGTCCTCTCATATTGCCACGTCGAGGTCCCTTCTGCAAGCCTTTCGAGGCAGAGGTTCATGAGTGGGAGCGGACCCTGATGTACATCCAGGATTTCATCGACCAAGTCATCGCCTTGCAGAGGTGAAGGGCTGAAAGTTGAAGCTCACAACGCTCAAAGCCTCAAAGCCTCAAAGCCCCTGCCTTGCTGTAGTTTACGTTGAGGAGCTGGATGGCTCTGGAGCCGATCTTTGCGTCTGACGACATCAAGCGCCAGCTGCCGCAGGCGGGGCAGCTTTTGGCGGAGAGGAAGCCTCAACAGCAACAGCAACCATGGGTCGGAAAGTAGCTTAGACAACTTGGAGAATGTCCTGTAGCTTATGGGAGGGCTTAGAATCGCTTAGACTGGAGTAAGAGAGACATGTGACAGGAATCCGAGTCTTTCGCACGGATTGACAGCAACTTCCGCATGCGCATGGCGCAAGTCGACTCCAACAAGAGCTTCGTCAAAACATGGCCTAGCCATGGCTGGCATCACGTCATAAGCTAAAGATGCTAAGGACTGCTTTAAGGGTCTTACTGTAGCCGAGGAACTGCATTGCAATCTCCAAGATTGAGAACATCGTGGAGGATATGACCGAGGCAGTGCATGCACTTTGCGCGTTTTGTTTTGTATGAAGCCTAGTGTACGTGTTGTTACGCGTGTGCCCGAGGCCAACGTCACAATTGAGAAGGTGCAGAAGGGCCTGAAGGACTACCTGGAGACAAAGAGGAGGGAGTGAGTTTCCATTCACTGGCTGCAACAGCAGATTTTTTGTCTAGGCCCTCTTTGCAACAGGTTGTACTTTCCACGCTTCTTCTTCCTGAACGATGCCGACCTGCTGTCCATTCTTGCAGAGACCAAGGAGCTGTTTAGGGTTTAGGCTTCATTGTGCAGCCCAGGATCTAGGATTACTAAATCCCACCCTTCCCACGAAGCTAATCGAAGGTAGTTCGACATGATTTAAGTGATTCCCAAAGCATTCCCCAAAGATCCCCCTGATCTGCGAGCAGCCCTAAAGCCCTGGACTCGAATTCAGCACACCCAAGCCCTTGAAACCCGGAGCCACGGGACTTCATGTCAGGGGGGGCTTGTTTCAAGGTTGTGGGGTCGTTATTCGTGGAGGGATGGCCGACAGTCTGCCTCTAATGTTATGGGATCCTTTCTCCTAGGTTGCAAGACGTTGTGTTCAGAAATGCAAAGCCACGCTGGCGTGCGCTCATATGCAGGATTTTAGTCTTTTTGCCTGGGCGAGGATCCCACCCTGGTGCAGCCCCACTTGAACAAGGCTTTCGAGGGCATTGCAAAAGTCCGCTTTGACTCCAAGCGCGCTGGTCAGATTAAGCACTCAGGTTGTGCACCTCAATGAATCTCGATGATGCATCCCGGCACATAGCCAGTTATGGACGGCCTGTCATCCCAGGAACGAGATCATCGAGGCTATGACGTCTGGAGAGGGTGAGACAGTGGATTTCACCAACAAAATCGATGTCATGAAGCCTGGAAATGCTGGCGCTGTGGAGTGCTGGCTCGTGGAAGTTGAGGAGTCCATGATGGATATCCTGCGTGAGGTCATTGACAAGTCTAACAAGGCATACCCAACCGCAGACCGAGTGAAGTGTCTCGGACAGCCACGGACACAAAAACTTAAAAGGCACCAGATTCTTGCTGTGCGCCGTTGAAACCGATGAAGCCTCGTGGCTGTTCCGTGCACCTCCAGCAGAGGTGGTGCTGTGAGTGGCCTGGCCAAGTGGTGCTGGCAACCGTGCCTGGCCTGAACCCTGTAAAGCCACATGCATGTTTCACTCAACTTTTCAATCGTGTCAAGAACGCCCACAGAAGCCATGAGAGCCACCACCGAAGAGCCCCACGTAGCATGTCGTCTGAGAAAAATCTCAGGACATGATCTTCTGGACGTCCGAAGTCACTGACTCACTGAAGAAGGGCGCGATTGCAGAGTATGAGAAGCCTCTTGGCTGTGACGAACTTGTACGCCGAATGCAGACCATCGAAAGCTGCATGATTGCTTCACCCCAATTGTTGCGCACAGCAAAGAACTCATAGTCTGCAACGTTCTTCTTACTTCCAAGGAAGCTCTTCAAGCAGCTGGAGGACATCGTGGTTCTGGTTCGAGGAGCCATTTCGCTTCAAGATTGTGTGGCATTGCAAGAACCTATGAAGAAACTTCTATCAGGCCACCCATGCGGGCCAAAAGCGCATCTCTCTACCAGGACAGATGACCAAGCTCAATCGCGTAACTGTGGGCGCCATGGTGACGCTGGATGTCCATGCAAGAGACGAGGTGATCAGAACATATCGGAACAAGGGGGGGGGGTGTAAGGGAAGGGGGGCCCCCATTCCCAAAATAGCGCCTTCATACGCTCATAATAAGCCCACACAAAGGGAATATGGGGCCCTGTCACCCCCTCTCATACACCCCCCGTGGTCCCTTGCGTAGATGTGAACAGTGGCAGATGCGAGGCGTCTACGCCTGCCTTGAGGTAGACGGTGTGCCGTCTTAAAAGGGCCAATCGGGACTGCTGAGCTGCATCTTTTCTCTCGTGGCGTTAGAATGCAGGTGACCAACTTGGTGCAGAAGCGCGTGGACTCCCCAGATGACTTTGCTTGGCTCTCCCAGCTGCGATACTACTGGCAGGACCTTTGCTTGCAAGCATCATGGCTGGTTGCCCTGTGTGATGATGCCACCTCAAGTACAGTCTGCTGTGCATACACACACGCACAAACATAGTCTACTTTCTACGCGCAGCTGGTCAGGACAAGCAGTCGTTCGAAAGAATTGATACAGGGAAGATGCCCCCTGGCATATGTTGATGACGGAAGACTGGCATATGCTGCGGTCAGAAATCAAACTACAGCCCTCGAAAGTAGGGTCCAGTTCGGCACACGCTGCTTCTTATCGAGTCTTTCGCTACGACTTCCTGCTGTCTTGTGTTGCCTGGTGGCCCATTGTCCGAGGAATGAGAAGATGGAGTGCAAGGTCTCCATTGTACCATGGCGACAACCTGACCGACAAGTTTTCTGAACCACATCCCCTGGGTTCCCTAGATTGATTCCACTAACCTGCAGACAGTCTGCAACATGATTACGCCTGAGGTGAACTCCACTTTGTTGTACGGCTTCGAGTATTTGGGCAATTCGCCTCGACTCGTCATCACCCCGCTCACAGACAGATGTTACCGAACGTTGATGGGTGCCTCAAACTGGAAAGCAAGATGTTGGCCAGCCTGCGAGTTCAGCTGCCCTTCTGTGAGCGCGGGGAACGGCTGAGGTGCCTTCGCATTGTACTACGGCGGCGCGCCCGAAGGACCGGCCGGGACAGGAAAGACCGAGAGTACCAAAGACCTGGCAAAGGCCTTGGCGATCCAGTGGCTCAGCTGCTGGAGTGGTCGACAAGCCGAAAAGCAAGCGGTTTGAAGTTGGTGGTGGTCCCCCCCATCTGGAAACCTTGTATCGCATTCCAGCTAATTCTACGTAGCCGTTTCCAGCTGATTCTAGCTCGTTCTAGAGCAAGAATCCAAAGCTGGAGCTACACATGCGACTTTGACATCGCACTGCTGAGCAGTTGAGGTGCGTGGTGTTCAACTGTGCCTCGGCATCATAGACGTTCTTCGCCAATCTTTTCCAGGAAGTGCAGCAGTGCTCATCAACTCCTCAACTCTAGCTTGCCTTGACTGGAGGCAGTGACTCCATGGACTACTTGCAGTTGGCCAAATTCTTCAAAGGCATCACAGTTCAAAGCTGTCAACGCAAGTGTTTTCAATAGCGCAACATGCATCGTTGTGCCACGCTTTCGTTCCATGGTGGTCATAAGTCTTGCATTGTTTTCTCATGCTTCTGTTCAAAAGTTGCTGTTATGCATTCGAGCCTGTGTGTGTGTGTTCATTTATCATCGAATGGTTTTCCAACACTGACTCCGCAAAATCTTCCATGTTGCGTTAGTCTCTTAAGCTTGGAGGTGGATTGATCGGAAGTACGAATGTGCCACCAAGACAGGAAGTATAGAGGCCGTAAAAGCACCAGAAAACCCTAAGCCCTAGGGTCCAAAAGCCGCAGAAAAGCCGCTACACCCCATGTAGCAAAAGGACGTATCTTGCCTAGGGCCTAGTGATGCCTAGTGCCTACAGGGCTCCTTATGAGAATCCTCGGGAAGGCCTGGCTTCCAGTGGATCCTGGTGCTGCTTCGACGAGTTCAACCGGATCTCACTTGAGGTCCTGTCAGTGGTTGCCCAGCAAATTCAGCAGATCTCCCTGGCGATCAAGCGACGTGTGGAAAAGTTTGTCTTCGAGGAGACCGAGATCAAGTTGGCGTCTTGCCTTGTCGAGGTAGAATTGCCTGGCAACGGTCACTGTCTCTGCCAGATACGGTGGTCCGTTGCATCTCCAGCCTTAAGTTTCTCGAAGCCCCATATTGTACCATGCCCATGTCCCAGGTCTTCCCAACAGAATCGGCTTGAGAAGGGCACTTCCCCACGTTTCCCCGCGGCTTCGCCACGTTTCCCACGTTCCCGAACAAAGGCTCACAACTGTGGGGACATCCTACAGAGACCCTGTAAGTCGCACTAAAGCTTTCAGGGACTGGCCCAGATGCACAAGTAGTCAGTAGTCCCGACAATCTCAATATTGGTGTCGAGCTACCTTTGAACCGGGGCCCTTTTCCAGAAAGTCAGGTGCCAACCTGCGCAGTGAACATCACCATGAATCCCGGCTATGCTGGTCGGTCTGAGCTTCCGGACAACCTGAAGGCACTTTTCCGACCTTGCGCCATGATGGCTCCTTGGTTAAGTCCTAGCAATGGGTCGCTGAAGCGTGGCTTTGTCAGCCTTGCGCAATCTTGCACCGCCACCTAGACCTAAACAACCGAGGTGCCCAACTACGCTCTGATTGCAGAGATCCGACTGTACTCCTTCGGCTACTCAGATGCCAAAGTCATTGGCACAAAGGCCACTATGGCCTTGAAGCTGTCCTCGGAGCAGCTCTCCCCACAACGCCACTATGACTTTGGCATGCGCGGTCTGAACGCTCTGCTGGTTGCAGGAGGCAATGGCAAGCGTACATACGGAGACAAGTATCCCGAGGATGTGATCGCGCTGCGTTCCTTCACAGATGTGAACCTGCCAAAGTTTACCACCGCTGACTTGCCCTTATTCAAGGGCATCATCGGTGACTTGTTCCCCGGCGTAGAGCTTCCTCCGAGCAACGCTGGAAAGCTCATGGCAACGATCGACATGGTCGCCGAGAAGAGAGGTCTGCAGCCGACGAAGCCGTTCACCACGAAGGTCGTCCAGCTTTGGGAGACTGTCCTTGTCAGACACGGCTTGATGACAGTGGGAATTCCACCATGTGGCAAGACGAACGTCAAGAATGTGCTTGCAGAGACGTTGGGTGAACTGGCCGATGGAGAAGAAATGATGCCTGTGACCCAGTATGTGATGAACCCCAAGTCAATCACTCAGGGTCAGCTGTATGGCGAGAGCGACTTGAACACGCAAGAATGGACGGACGGAGTGCTGGCAATTGCCGTGCGTGAAGCCATGAAAGCGTTTGGCGACGGTCGGCGTCAATGGGTCGTCCTGGATGGGCCGGTCGATGCCATCTGGATCGAGAACATGAATACAGTGCTTGACGACAACAAGAAGCTCTGTTTGAACAGTGGCGAGATCATCAAGCTCTCAACAGTGACCACGATGTTGTTTGAGGTCAGGGATTTGGACTATGCATCGCCAGCCACCGTCTCCCGTGTAGGCATCGTGTTCCTGGAGCCTGACACCGACTTAGGCTGGAAGCCGATTGTGGACTCCTGGCTGCTCACGTTGCCAGACTACATCAAGGAGGAGCACAGGGATCAGCTGTTCTCGCTGTTCAACAACTACTTCGAAGTCCTCCTTGAGTGCACACATCGCGTGCGCACCCCCTTCGCAGTATCAGATGGATGGCTCTGCTGCATGGCAACAAGGATGATGGATGCCCTGATCGCCGATCAGACTGAAGGCTTCTGCAAAGAAGAAGTGAAGATCCCCGAGGGCGAGGAACCGGATGATGACATGGACATGGGGCAGAACTTCATGGACCGCGAAATTATGATTTTCCAGCTCTTCTGGTTCACGATGACCTGGACTTGTGGCGCGTGCACGGACACAGATGGCCGCCTTTTTGTGTGTGACATCATCCGGCAGTGCATGGACAACAAGAAGGACTTGCTGCAGAAGTTCAACTTCGTTGCAGACTTCACGAAGGTGGATATCACTGGTGGTGGCAGCATGCCATCGGCACCCCGCAAAGGCTTGCTTCATGATTCGTTCATTGATCCTGTCGATGGGGGCAAGTGGAAGCCTTGGACGGAGCGTATTGAGGGCTTCGACATTCCCAAGGACACGCCCTACCACACCATTGTCGTGCCTACATCTGACACCTGCCGAAATCAGTTCCTGATTCGAACGCTGATTGATCGGGGCTACAACATCCTCATCAGTGGTCCGACAGGAACGGCAAAGACTGCCTCCATCCAAGGCATGCTGCTGCAAGGTTTCAGCCCAGACAGCTATGCCACCAATGCCTTCGCATTCTCTGCACAGACAACGGCCAATCAGACCCAGGACGTCATTGATGGCAAGCTGGACAAGCGAAAGAAGGGTACCTTTGGGCCACCACCAAACAAGAAGATGTTGGTGTTCATCGATGACTTGAACATGCCCTTCAAGGAGGAGTATGGTGCGCAGCCTCCTATTGAGATTCTCCGGCAGATGTTCATTCTCACACCGTTTGGATATGGCTGGTATGACCGCAAAGGATGGGAGTTCCGCCAGCTGATTGACATTCACATGTTGGCCGCGATGTGCCCTCCAGGTGGAGGCAAGAACGACATTACAGATCGCTATTCCCGGTGGTTCAACTTGCTGTTTGTGACCCCGTTCGACGAGGAGAGCTTGAGCCGAATTTTCGTCACAGTGGTGAACAAATTCATGTCAGTCATGGCGCGTGACGTCCTAGGAGCGGCTTCTGGTGCTGTCACAGCTACCCTTGAGGTTTACACCACCGTTCTGAAGGAGTTGTTGCCGACACCTGCCAAGTCACACTACACGTTCAACATGCGAGATGTCTCGAAGGTCTTCCAAGGAATCTGCCAATGTTCACGCGAATCTCTGCCAAAGGTAGATGACCTTGCCAAGTGCTGGCTGCACGAGTGTGAGCGCGTGTTCAAAGATCGACTGACCACCAAGCAAGACATGAACTGGTTCACAAATCTGTGCAAGCGCAACATGGACAAACACCTCAAACGCCCTTACGACCAAGCAGTCAAGCTGGAGCCTGTGATCTTTGCAGACTTCTGTGACCCAAAGTCGTCGGCATATGTTGAGATTCAGGACCATGAGAAGCTGTCGGCCAAGGTCCAGGAGTGCTTGGACGACTACAACTCGGTCAGCAAGATTCGCATGGATCTTGTGCTGTTCATGAGCTTTATCCAGCACATTTGCCGGGTCATCCGCGTGCTACGGCTTCCGCTGGGCAATGCGCTGCTTGTGGGTGTCGGTGGCAGCGGACGCAAAGCAACCACCACCTTGGCAACGTACGTGGCGCAGTACGAGCTGTTCCAGATCGAGATGTCCAAGGGCTACGGGATGAACGAGTGGCACGAGGACATGAAGCGGATGCTCATGAAGAGCGGCTCCCAGGATGTCAACACGACCTTCTTGTTCTCCGACACGCAGATCGCCAAGGAGGCCTTCCTGGAGGAAGTGTCTTCAATCCTGAACACGGGCGAGGTGCCGAATCTGTATGCCAACGAGGATCGCTTGGAGATTACAGAAAAGTGCAGCAAGGGTGCGAACGCAGTTGGCAAGAACACGCCTGCAGAGATTTTCGGGTGGTATGTTGAGCAGTGTCGAAAGAACTTGCACATCGTGATTTGCATGTCGCCGATCGGATCTGCATTCCGAAACAGATTGCGCAGCTTTCCCAGTTTGGTCAACTGCTGTACCATTGATTGGTTCCATGAGTGGCCAGCCGATGCCCTGTCCGCAGTGGCAAACCAGTTCCTGTCCAAGGACAAGGACCTGGACTTCGACGACACCATCCGAACCAATGTGACCAAGATTATGGTGCAAGCTCAGCAGAGTGTCTTCAGCTTGTCAGAAAAGTTCCTGCTCGAAGCCAAGCGCCACTTCTACGTCACTCCAACGTCATACCTGGAGCTCATCAGCTCCTTTATCTCGACACTGAAGTCTCGGCGCCAGATCGTGCAGAAGGCCAAGTGGCGTTATGACACGGGGCTGGACAAGATCAACGACGCGAAAGAGCAGGTGTCAGCACTACAGATTGAGCTGAACGATTTGGAGCCCGTGCTCGAGAAGGCGGCGCAAGAAACGGGCGAGATGCGAGAGCGAGTGGAGGCGCAGCAGGCTGGGGCGGTTGAAAAGAAGGCAGTGGTTGAAGAAGAAGAAGCCAAGGCCAATGCCCAGAAGGCAAACGCCGCAGCCATCAAGGCCGACTGCGAGAAGGACTTGGCTGCTGCGCTGCCGGCTTATGAGGCTGCGTTGGAGGCGTTGAGCAAGCTGTCTAAGGGCGACGTGGGTGAAGTCCGCGGAATGAAGACCCCACCAGCCGGCGTGGTCCTGACAGCGCAAGCGATGTGCATCATGTTCGAGGTGAAGCCTGTGAAGGTTGCTGCGGCAGATGGCAAGGGCAAGGTGGATGACTACTGGGAGGCCGCCAAGAAGGAGCTTCTGGTGGACCCCTCACTCATCAACCGCATGGTAAACTATGACAAGGACAACATCCCAGATGCCGTCATCAACAAGGTGAAGCCGCTCTATGACGATCCAGAATTCGAACCGGACAAGATCAAGAAGGGCTCACTTGCTGCGATGGGCATCTGCAAGTGGGTACGTGCCATGGTGGTTTATGACAAAGTAGCCAAGGAGGTGGGGCCCAAGCGACAGAAGTTGGCTGAAGCCGAGGCGGAAGTGGCAGAAGCAGAAGCCACTGTAGCGGCAAAACAGGCAGAGCTGAAAGAGGTCATGGACATGGTGGCTGACCTTGAGGCACAGCTTCACGAGGCCAACGAGAAGGCCAAGGAGCTTCAGAGAAATCAGAAAGACTGCGCTGCCAAGCTTGCCCGAGCTGAGAAGTTGATCGATGGGCTGGGAGGAGAGCAGGCAAGTTGGACCGCAAAGAGCAAGAAGCTGGGTCTGGACTACAACAATCTGACTGGAGACATCTTGATCGCTTCTGGAATTCTTGCATACCTGGGGGTATTCACAAGTGCATACCGCAAAGAAGCTTGCGATGGATGGCTGCAGAAGTTGTCTGACTTGAAAATCCCAGCCAGCAAGGAGTTCAGCCTGCAGAGCCTAGGCATGAAAGCTTGGGGAGTATCCTGAACAGGGCTTTGTTCCAGCGTTTCATCTAAGCTTCTAAACGTTGACATGAACGAGTGTTTGGTGCTGTCTCCTCGCTGAGGAAGTGTATCGGAGACGAGGTGAAGATCCGTCAGTGGGTCATCGAGTACTTGCCGAATGACTCGCTGTCCATTGACAATGCCATCATCTTGGATAACTCGCGCCGTTGGCCTCTGATGATCGACCCGCAGATGCAAGCCAACAAGTGGACCAAGAAAAGCAATCCTGACATCAAAGCCCTGCGTCTCAACATGCCATACATCCGAGATCTGGAGAACTGCATCCAGTTTGGCACGCCCGTCCTCATTGAAAACATCGAGGAATCTCTGGATGCGATTCTTGATCCTGTTCTGCAGAAGGCGACATTCAAGCAGGGAACGCTCACGATGGTCAGACTGGGTGACTCCACCATCGAGTGGTCCAAGGACTTCAAGCCCACTGCTCTGCAAAGCATCAGCGGTTTCATGTTTCCGCGTTAGGTTGATGGCACATATCTAGACGCGCAGAGAAGCACTTAAATTCAGCGAGCCGAGGCTCTTCATCACAACGAAGTTGCCCAATCCTCATTTCCCGCCTGAGATCTGTGTCGCAGTCAGCATCCTGAACTTCATGGCCACGCAGGATGGCCTTCAGGATCAGATGCTTGGAATCGTTGTGGCTGCAGAGGAGCCAGCGACGGAGGAGAAGCGCGTGAACCTGGTGATTGAGTCTGCCAAGGCGAAGGCACAGCTGAAGGACCTTGAGGACAAGATCCTACAGCTTCTGAGTTCTTCGACAGGAAACATCTTGGATGATGAGGAGCTCATTGAGACTTTGTCCAGCTCCAAGATTATGGGCACGAAGATCGAGGAGCAAGTGAAGCAGCAGGAGATTACGGCTGTCCAGATCGCAGAGGTCAGGCAAGTCTACAAGCGCCCTGGTCAGGAAGTCACCTCTGTTACTCGATGCAGCACCGTAAATAGGGGCAAGTCGTCGTAGACTTTGAGGTATCATGCGCTGCGGTGTGCTGCCTTGTACTTCATCATCGGCGACCTGTGCATCGTTGATCCCATGTACCAGCACTTTGGTGGCATCCGCAATCTGAGCTCCATGTGGGGTTGAACCAAACCCTAAACCCTAAACCCGAAACCTGCTTTCAGGTTCTCTCTGGATTGGTTCATCGCCATGTTCAACCAGTCCATCAGGCTGGGATGGCTTTGGCTTTCCTCTTATGACCTTATGCTTAGAGGTTAGGGGTTTAGGGTTTAGGGTTTTCCGATTATGCTTTCCCCCTGTTTTCCTGTTTTCGGGGAAGGATGGCGGAGCCAAAGGAAAGCAAGGACGAGCGCTTTGCAGAATTGTTCCGCTCCTTCATCCAGCTCCTTGGCATGGAAGTCCAACGCCTTTTCGCGTGGGGATTCTTCGTCGTGCCGCTCACGTCGCTGCAACAGCGACATGTGTCAGCCGCGCTTAGGCGCTTCAACTTTCACTCATGCTGACAGACCTGCCATCCATACACCAGGCTGCTCTTCATCATGGTCTGCCGTGGCCTCTTCGAGAAGGACAAGCTGCTGTACTCTGTCGCTCGCCGTGAATACACACAGAGGACAGAATATAGAAGAGATTGCGAAACCAGCAGGTAGAAAGCTTCTCTGAGGTCATGCTCTGTCTGAAGTGCCAAGAGATGGAGAAAGAGCTCAAGCTGAACGAAGTGATGGCTCTGCTTACAGGCACGGGTGCAGATGTTGCAGCTGCGTTCTCACAGGTTGGCAGAAGTACTCTTGAACAAAATCGGTGCCCTTTGCAGGCCTGCCTGGTGGTGCGAAGGAAGAGAAGCCAGCTGATTCAGGCAGTTGAGAGAGCCGAACTGTGCTTTCCCCTCACTACTCACGGCAACCGCTCTCAGGGTGGCTCACTGCTGTGAGCTGGAATCGTATCAACCAGCTGCAGACTCTGGGTGATGTCTTTGATGGCTTCGTGGGAGAGTTCGCTGCGAACATCAAGCAATGGCAGGACTTCTGAGCATGTTTGGAAGCACGGCACTAGACACACAACACCAGAACTGTTGCCAGGAAGTGTTCGACAGCGATGTGCCTTCCGAAGTTGAGTGGCCCAACAACTTCAAGCTGCCACCTAGCTGCGCTCGTTTACCGGTCATGAGCTGCAACATGAGATCCAAAACCTGGGCCCAGGAAGTGCAGCCCTTTGCAGAAGGCACTTCTCCTTTTCGCACTCCGCCCAGACAGCACAGTGGGTGCCCTGATGAGCGTCGTCCAGGACACCGTCTCTATGTTTCCTCCAAATCCGAACGCTGCCAGAAAGGCTCAGTGAAGGCCCCACAGGTCACCTCGTCGCCTACCAAGCGGAGCCCCTTCCCTTTAAACCTGCACCGCCAGTCTTCCACGCTAAGCCTAAACCCCGAAACCAGGAGAAGCTGGGAACATTCTTCCTGGAGCCGCCTCCCTTGGACTTGGAGGTGGCCACTGTTTACGGGTATCTGGGTTGTGGGGCTGTGGGGCTGTGGGGCATAGGGTGGCTTCGGCTGTCAGGCTTTTTTTGGCTATGGGGTTTGCTTGCTACCCTCTTGCCAGCAGGGAGCATCCCTGTGGAGTGCAACTCATTGCAAGGGACTTGTGATTTGCAAGTCTCTGCAAGGGCATCGCGCCTGGGCCTCTGCTTCACCCGGGCAGGTCTGCTACAAGGACTCGACGCCGTCAATTCCGTGCCTGGGCTGTAGATGGTGCTCGCGAAATACGCCCCTTGGGAGATGCCTTCGCTGAAACAGATGCAGACATGACAGGCTCATTTACATTCTGGCTTCGGGCAGTGACCCCATGGCGGACATCCAGAAGTTGGCTGAAACGCCCCGCGCTGATGTGCTTGAGAGCTTGAAGGAGCTGTGAGTCACGCAAAGCGAAGCTTGAGGCTGGACATGTTGGCAAAGATCAATCCCATCAGCCTGGGACAGGGACAGGGTCCAAAGGCCTGCACGGTGGTCGGGCAGTGGTCGTGGCAGTTACGTAACGGCAGTGCAGCTCAACACTGCTGGATTCGCATGGTGTTAGGCGATTGCCGGCATCAACGAGGGCTCGCAGTCCGGAAAGTGGGTGCTCCCACTCTTGAGTCAGTCAAGTCTCCTTCCTGATGTGCTGCGTATCATCTGGACGCGGCATGCGTGGCAGATCTAGCCTAACTATGCCTATACTTCGAACGCAGCAATGTGCAAAGGCACACCAGTGCCTCGAGTAGGTATGCAGAAGGCAGTCTGACTCTGTGGCCATGTATGCAGGTGCTGTTGCAAAACTGCCACTTGGCACCCAGCTTCATGCCCACTCTCGAGTCCATCGTTCGCGCCTCAGACACTGCCAGAGCTCATCACAAGAGCTCAAAAGCCCATGGCATAGCAACTTCCAAACCGCCTGCATCCGCTCTCCTTTTTCCTTGATCTCATTTTAAGCCTCACTTCCAGGTCGAGAAGTTCGATCCTGAAAGCATGAATCAGGTGCCTTCGGGTGCTTTAGTGTGTGCTTTACGCTTGTGGCCCGCCATGTGACCCAATTCAGGACTTCCGTCTTTGGCTGACAGCATGCCCCTCACCGGCCTTCCCAATTTCCATTCTGCAGATGGGTGCCTGAGATACAAAGGGCCATCGATTGTGCCGCCGAAAGCTGAACACATCTGAACGCCGCAACGCTGTTCCTTTTGCAGGGTGATCTTGAACTGAGGTATTAAGATGACCATCGAGCCTCCAAAGGGTCTCAAACAAGCTTTGCTGCGAGCATACTTGGGCTTCGATGAGGAGTGGTGTTTTGGATCCAACCATGTTGCACGTTGCATGTGTTTCACATTCGTTGGTACTCTGTTCAGATCTTGCCTGTGTGTTGCCATGTGTTCTGTTCGCTCATTCACCAGGGTCGACTCGAGTGTTTGTTGCGAGTTCTGGTTGCATCCAAGGTTCAACAGCTGCGACAAGCCAAGGGAATTCCACAAGATGCAGCACAGTAGCACCTAGACGCATGGGGGCAACAGCAGAGCACATTCTGATCACCAGAGGCTCTTTGGCCTGTGCTTCTTCCACGGACTCATTCTGGAACGACGCGGATTTGGACCTGCCAGAGTCCTGATGCTGCCGATTCCAGAGTGTTCATTCTAGCGCCGCTTCGGAACTCAGGTCGGCTGGAACGTCGCCTACGGTTTCTCCGAGCCTGACCGCGAAATCTCACGGCAGCAGCTTCGCAACTTCTTGAACGAGTTCGAGGGGGTGTCTCAGCTTGTGAAGTCAGTCTTGCCGTCAAGTTCTTCGGACGGTATTCATATGCTGGGCAGCTCAATGTTGACTGCGTTGGTCTTGTTGGGCACGCTTCGCTGGATGTTGCAGGATGTTGCGGATGGAATGGTTACGTGGCCCCTTCTCATACCTTGCCTAATTTTCATGAAATCGGCTGCCAAGGGTGCCGTGTGTGTTGCCTGGGGCATAGTGTCATGCAACATCACACCGCCATGCAGCAGGCGGATGTAATCCATGTTGCCTGATCCTTCCTGCATAGGCTTCCTAGCGTTGATGCTCGTTGATGTGTAGATTTTTTCAGAAGACCTCGATACCTCCAGATTGGGAATGTTGGGGTATGATGGTGTCAGCTGCTTTAGTCCTCGGGCTGCTGCACTTGCCCCATGCTGATAGGTGCCCTACGCGGCCTTGAACTACATGGGCTCAGAGGCCAACTATGGTGGCCGGGTGACGGACAATCAGGCCAGCCTTCGGGAACAAGAACGCATGCGCGCGCACACACACACACACATGAACAGTCTCCACAAGCCTGGGTGGCCTAGATGTGATACCCTAAGCAGACAATGTTGAGCGATTGAACCGGAGACCGCACACCAGGACAGGCGGCTCATCATCACCATTCTTCAGGCCTGGCCACGCCTCACATCTACGTCACAAGTAAGGGGCACAGTGCACAGAAGCCTTGCTGTCCCAGGACTTCTACAACCCTAAGATCCTGGAGGATGATTACAAGTTCTCAATCTCCGGTGCCTTGTAAGAGCTTTGTTGATGGTCGGTTTGTGTCGTTGCAACAAGCAGCCGAATCAAACGAGGCATCTACTATGCGCCGAAAGCTCCGGAATCCCTGAGCTTCTATTTGGAGTTTATCAGGCGCGCGTTTTTGAGCATGCGCGAACAGCAGCCATGATGTGCCACGCAGTGCCACGCAGTGGGCTTCCGGAGGTCGCTTCCGATCAGCACCACTCCAGAGGTCTTCTGGCTCCACAACAACGCCAGTTTGACTGCCGCTGGTGTCTCAGTGATTCCCAGCGTGGGTCGCAGCGTGTCGCAGCACTCGGCACGACCTTGCGACCCGCCAAGACTGAAAATTAGGCCATCAATGAAGGGCTCTACATTACCAGGACTCGAGATGCGATTCGATGCCTCATGCGAGCCTCATGCGATCGCCGTGCGGGCAGTTGTTCTATCAGCAGTCTCACAGTTCTGCATATCCCTGCATGATGCTAGGAGCTGCTTGTCACTCATGAGCTCGTTCGGCCAGGGACCCGAAGACAGAAGTGTAGGGTCTTGAAGGCAGCTGTGAGGCTTTGACAGGCTGTGCGTGGGCTGAGGTGCAAGCTCTTCAGCCGATGACGATGACGAGGGAACCAAGGTGAAGACTCCGGAGGCCCTCCTGGCCACATCTGGCTAAGACCACGTTTTGATAAGGCCTGCGAGTGGCTCGAGTGGCCCTTCTCAGGAGAAGTACTCGGAGATTGCGAATGACATCCACACGCGGGTTCCAGCTCCTTGCCCTGCGGAATCTGCTGGCAACCTGCTTCGAGCACGAACTGACGACTGAGGAGCCTTTCGATCTGGGACATGCTCTTCGCACATACCCGGTCCGCTACGACGAGTGCTTGAACACGGTCCTACACATGGAGCTTGGCAAGTTCAACAGGTCAGGAAGTGCACCCATGAGAAAGCATGGAGCAACAGGTCCATTTGCCTATGAATGATTGGCATCCGCGGTCTGTTCAGGCTGCTGAATCGCATCAAGGGGACTTGCAGCAACTTGATCAAGGCAGGGTGCTTCGCTTTGGTGCCAGCAGGCGTTCGGAAGTCAGTGCCCGCAGGGCGGCATGTTATCTCATCGTCCTACCAGCTTCTAGAGAAATTGTAGAGCATCCTGGAACACTAGGGTTCAGCCAAAATTCAGCATCCTTTCTCCTTGGCAGAGTCGGGGAGCAACGGGGGCACCAAGCATCTCGGCCTGTCGAAAAAGCAGGTTGAACATGGTGGAAGTAACTTCTTGACCTCGAGCGTGCTCTGTCTTCAGCCATCTTGCGAGGCGGTGAAAGGCTTGGTGGTCTTCTCGCCTGAGCTGGAGGCGGTTGCTGAGGGCTGTCCCACAGCTGCAAAATCCGCTTGATCTTTGATGTAGTTGGTCATTACTCAATTTCAAACGAGAAGCTGTTCCTGTGATGAGGCTTGACAAACGGAATCCCCGATCCATGGATGGGAGTGTCGTATCCCTCGCTGAAGCCGCACCACACCCAGCAGCTGTCGCTGTCGCAACGTGCAATGTTTTCATTCAGTGCTGGTTCCATCAGGCTGCAGTCATACGTGGATGACTCTTGGCAATAACATAGCCGCAGCTGCATATTGCCGAACCACGATCACAAGAGCTGAAGCCAGGACTTCCTTGGCCGACTCAAGTTCATGTCGAACTGGATCAAGGACTTTGCTGCATAGCTGCTTACCCGAAACCTTAAACCCCAAACCCGACACCCTGATGGTGCCAGTGCAGCCTCGGGATTTGCACTGGCAGGATGGCATTCCATACATGTTCTGGTTCTCGGCGTACTTCTTCCAGCAGGCATTCTTTCGGGCACGCTTTCGTGCTGTATCTGACCAGCATCCTCCCTGCCAGGCTTTCCTGACCGGTGTGCTCCAGAACTTTGCGCGAACAGACTCTGATTCGCAAAAGAATAAGTGGCAACATTGCATGTACGCCGCGCACTCCCCATGGCAGCAGCAACGGCCAGAAAAATGAGGACAAGATTGCGATCGATCGATGTATCTGGAATTTCGAGGTCAGATTTGTTTTTGCTTCGTCTGACATGCAGCTCATACTACTAATATTCCACCATCGATCCAGACTACACATGTGGACAGAGTGACAGCACGAGCTCCAGGTCCTGAAGGCTGCCTTCAAGCCTGAGGAATACCCCACCAAGGCAGGAAGAAGACCCCCCGTCACTTTGCAGGGTTTAGGGTTTAGGGTTTAGGGTTTAGGGTTCATGTCTAAACGACCTGAAGGGTGCCTACATCAACGGCTTGTTCATGGCTGGGGCCCGATGGGATGACGATGCGATGTGCGTAGAGGATTCCTTCCCCAAGGCGCGGCGTTGAGCTGTCCACAGAAAGTTGCTGTGCAAGAAGCCCGCAAGGGAAACCAGCAATATCAAGCAATATATGCGGGCCCACCAGCTTCCATCACAAACAGGTCCTGTGGGCAGAGATGTCGCCGATCTGGTTGAAGCCAGCTCACTCCTTGACCTCTCCTCGCTGAAGCAATGCTCCATATGCACAGATGCAAGTGCTACCAAGCAAGTGCCCGTCAGATAGTGCTCACGAGGTTGAGAAGTCGGAGGATGCACATGACTATGACAAGCTCTACAACGCTCCTATCATGCATGCCAGTGCAGCGACGTGCAGCGACCATGCTTGGACATAGTCACCGAGCGTTGCGCACTGAATCTAGCAAAGGCACCAATCTACAAAACGTCGGAGCGCAAGGGCGTATTGTCAACCAGTCGGAACCTTTTGACAAGCACGAGTGCAAATCGAGCCTGCCGCAACCGGGCCGATGGAAGCTTGTTTGCGTTGAGGTGGCCATTCCTCCAACTTCATCATGTACCTGGCCATCCCACACTCCTGCAATGGAACTCACAGCAACTCAGCTTACTGCAGTCTCCAGCCAGCATGTCTTGGCAGCTTGCTGTGCCTGAAAGGCGAAGAGTTCTGGACAAAGCGCGGAGTTGCCCTCATCTCCCAGACAGACGACTAACTTAGCAGCTTGGTTGACTTGATTTCGCTGCAGCAGCAGGTAGAAATTTCTGAGCCAGCATTGCTATATTGGACTGTGGAGGCGAGCAGATTCAAGGAGGCATGGCTGAGATGTGGATGCTGTTTAGCAGACATCAATGCACATCAGCCGTGGTTCTGTTTTCCAACATTCCAGGCACCGCTGGAAACCATGCGTGCCTGCGTGTTTTCATACAGCTTGCATGAGCTTCTCATGGACAGACATGCGGATGTCGCTGGACATCCAGCATCCGATCCGCAGTGCCAGCAACATGGCAAGCAACCTGCCATAATAACTTTAAAGACAACCAAGTTTAACCAACCTCGTGTCCGCTAGCTCATCAAGTTGGCTCAACGCGCTGAGCGCCTTGCAAGTGCGCTCAAGATGTGCCTTGCATGAAGTCGAATCGAGAGGCTGGTGCATGCGGTGTCACGCGAAAGCACACAGTGACGGGTGCATGTTGCTTTCTTCGGGTTCGTTGACGGTGCTGTGCGATACATTTCTCGGGCGGCCGCATCACCTGATCAAGCATCTTCAGTCGCTCCATCACCAGATGCAGTGTAATTACTGTTGCTGGACGGAAAGATGCAGTGCCCGAGGCCAGAGCGCATTTTCCTGGTACCGTTCCCAAGGAGCCAACATGTACTGAAGTTGTCTTACGTCGCGTGCTGGCTTTGCGCAGCGCTGTGGATGATGCAATGTCAAGGATTGATACGCATCCACTTCGTGGTCTTGACCTACGAAGACTCGAGGCAGCTTGCGCTTTGCACTTTGCCAGCCCATCCAGAGTTCTTGCCCAAGCGTTCTCCAGTGGCTCTCCAGATGTTCTCCAGATGTTCTCCAGATGTTCTCAGCATCTTTCAGTGAAGGTGGCAGAAGGCTTCGGCCTGCTGTGCCGCTGCCTTGTTGCGTCCTTGATGACCTCACGGAGGATCAGGCCTTCACGGCCTTGATGGCCTGTACCCAATGGATGCAAAGGGCAAAGGGCCAGCATCTCCCAGCAGCAAGAGCTGTTCGGCTAGGCGAAGAGCGAGATTCATGGCCGTCTTCTCAAAGCCGCCAGAGGTTCCGGTCGAAGCCGGTGAGGCTGGAGCCTCGGGCCTTGGCGGTTTGACCTGAAAGCGCTTGCACGACACCAAATTGGAATCATGGTCATTGACGGTAGATCATACTCTCAGAACCTGTCAAGGCCAGTGTTTTCAGCAGAGCGCAGAAGTGAAACTCCTGCCTCTCGGGCCTTGTATGCCTTGAAGCGAAGGTCAAGGAGGCCTTGAAGCAAAGTTTGCAGGGCAAGCGGCTTCCTGGTGTGCCAGATCCCCAGATGGCGAGCTTGGTTTGCTAGAGGTTCATGTTCAGCCCTGCTCTAAATGCCAAAAATGCCCTCAGCCCTAAAAAGAGTGTTCTTGGAGTGTTGCTGAAGGCCAGCACATCTCAAGCTGGATGTTGTCGGCAATGAGGTGGATGCTGTCCTGCCGAGCATCGTCACTTGCAAGTTTTCTTTCCTCGAGCAGGTTCGAATGTTCTATGCGGAAGAGGTGTGGGTTGCGGCTACATTCCGCAAGGCGTGCCAGCGCTTCAGGCCACTGCACAAGCATCCGTGTTTACAAGTGATGAGTGCCGCAGTGGAAGTTCAAGTCTGCTGCAGACCTTCATCGACCTGTAATTACCTCATGCTTCTGCAGCTGATCGTATCGTTATAATATCATCGTTAAGACTTTGTGCCATTCTGCCATTCGTGCCAGTGATGAAGCACTGGGGAGCACCTGGGCGAACAGCGCCCGGACGGCTGGGTGGAGGCCCAGACTATACTGAGCCAGGACATGCCGTGGCAATATTGATTGGAGGTTGCAAGCCTGCGAATCTTTCTGGCACGAGCTCCAGGAGACGTGCGATTTGCAGTGAGACTTCGAGGGGCTGCGCCATGCTGCGCCATGCTGCGCCCCATCTGCACGCACCCTAGGAGCTGAGCACTTGTGAGGAGGGCGAGGCTCGGTTATTGTCAGGGAGAAGCCACCTGTGCTGCGATTGGCCCGAGAGTTCTCAGGTCATCATCTTGTGCCAGGACGCAGACGGGCAGCTTCTTGACTGCAGCTTCCGCGTTCCCAATCGTACACTGAAAAAGACCCTTGAATCACCAAAAAACACCCAATGCCCTTTGCACGCCAGGTCTGGAGAGGCGGCCTTGGAGGCCGGATTTAGTGGGCAGAACCGCCCCCTCCCCTCCCCCCCCCATGCCCCGTTTGGCCCCCGCGCCTTCCTTTCTTGCCAGGCCTTAGCAGCACAGAACGTTTCGCGATTGGTGATTCTTCCGCACATGGACGAGCTTCTTGGCACATCAGAACCTCTTTCCGTAGACTGGATGCAGTGAAGCCCGTATCGGACAACACAGGCCCAGATCAGAAAACTTGATTCGAACCGGCCATAACCGTAGCTGAGGTTGAGCGCGACAGAGCGAGCAAGGCTTTGCGACCAATTCCAAATGCGCGTGGCTCTCAGGTCTTGCAAAACTTGAGTCGCACCCTTGTGGTGTCTTGTAGTGGAGGTCGAATCAGTTTTGGCTCGGTGTTGGACTCATGGCTTGTTTGCCAAGCAGCGCTTGCACGAAGCATCCGAAGCCCAACTATTGCTGTTGAGGCACCGCTCGCCCCTGCTCAGAGAATTGTGATCCTGCGCAGAACTTGGACAATTTCCGCTTGAGGGGGGGGGTGTTGTCGGACTCGGGCTTGTGCAAGATGAAGCCGACAAGGAACTATCTCATCGACCGAACTTGGCCGCAGAGACTGTTGAGCGGCAGCGCAGAGCTTGCCGAGCCAGCTTGCAACATAGGCCCAAAGCTGGCGGGAGAAAAGTGCGAGATGCGATTACAGATGGATGCAAGTTTCGCAGCTTGTAAGGGTGATTTGTTGGTGGCATGCCTGTTGCGATGATGGGCAGCAGCAGGAGCAACGCGAAAGGAAAGAGGAGGAGCTACGACGACAGAGGGAAGAGGACGTGCGCGCACACACATGCAACAGTTGAAGTTTGAAAGTCATAGGCGAGTTCCGGAAGGCTTTTAAAGACCAAATGCTGCCATCCAGGAACTACTGGAGGAACGGCGCGTTGCGCGAGAACTTCGTGAAATAGAGGACTCTATGCCGGTCTCAATCAGTAAAGTCAGACTTCAGTATCACACTGAGTCATAAACTTCTTTGGGACACCATGGAGTGCTGCCAGGAGCGACATCGACGGGAACAGGCAGAGTGCAAAGAGAGATCATCGAGAAGCTATTCAAGTTCACCTTCTGCCACCAATTCATTTCCATTTCCGTCAAGAGGCACCCATGGCTGGAATGTCTGCAGCAGCTCCTGAAGCTGCCAAGGCAACCATACCGCGGAACATCGCAAAACTGTAAGTCGGGCAAGAGTTCTGCTTGATCTTATCTGCTTCCTGTTGTTTTTCGGTCTCTGGCGGCATGGAGATTGGGACAGAGCTTGTCACCTTCCGCTGCTGTTGCAGGCGCCGGCCCAGAGAGCTGCTGGGTAGCTTGGCAAGTGACAGCGCACACATGTCAGTGCTTGACTAGGTATCGATTTGGGATGATTTATTGTTAAATAACCCTTATTGTTTAACGAGCCCGTTTTCGAAAAATAATTGGGACTCTTCAAACAATGGAAAACTGGGCCAGTGGCGCAGAGCCAGGCCTGGGCAAGTTAGGCGGCGAAGAAGCAAGGCTCGCGTCACTTCTGCAGCAGGTCTTGTCTTGTAGTTGAGTGCACTACTGTTATCAGGATGCGGCTGGTCAGGACTTCTCACCCTCGCGCAGGGGCCTCAACAGCACCACACGCATCTGCACACGGATCTTGTGAGAGCAGGTTTCGTTGAGCATCTCCGGTGAAGTAACTTGTCGAGGCTAAAGGTGCTAGTTCATGACATGCTCCTACATGTTTCTAATGTTTCTGTTCCTATAGTACCAACCAAGGCGGAGGCGGGACCTATGATGGCACTGCAGGCAGCGGTAAAGCCACGCCTGCACTGGTGCCACGTCTGTGTTTGCGACATGCGCCGACTTAGATCAAGTCAAGAGCCATGGATACATGTTTTCAAAAACGAACCTGCGGTTTTAATGCTTCGCTGGTTGTCTACACGACCTTTGCTGAATTCAGACTTCAGGCAACAGTTGAGGGTTGCCTTCGCTTTTGCTCATGACGTACTATCATCAGGCACGTGGGTGGACGGGGAGGACCGTCGGCGCCGACGAAGGCGAAGGAGACGAGATGTGGACAGCACGACAGGCTTGGCACTGCTTCCGCTGACACACTTGTGCTTCACGTCCTCGCATCCCGAAGTCAGAAGGTGGCGGTCAAGACGGATCTTGGCGCGCCTCCGAAAGGGACAAGAGGCTGATGCCTGCGTGAAGCTACACGAGCAATTCCGAGGGCCGGCAGCACTCGTAAGATATTCAAGCTAAGATCTGCGAAGGACGTGGCGCGATGAGAACTACTCTAGCCTTAGCTTGCTGCCAGATCCAGCCTTGGTGCACGTCCAAATTCTCTCGTGGCTTTTGGCATGATTGGCCAATTTTTTTTAGCGCACAACCGTAGCTGTGGTGTTGTGGTACCTAAGGATGGAAGGGACACCTCATCACCTGTCCCTTGGCTGACAGCAAGCCCTCAGGCACGACCCCCTCTTGCAGAGAGGGAAGCTGCATGAAGCTACGTCGCAGCTACGTGAGATTCGGAGGAGAATGCTGATGGTCCGGACGGGCTCAGCACCGTTCTGGACGGGGTCTCATTTTGGAGTGAGAGCAGATGGGAGCCAGAAGCAGTATCATGCAGTGCCGTGGAAGTTCTCACACTGATCGCACCTCAGGAGACTGGAGAAATGAAACGAACGGAGGCGCACCGCGGCACGCCTGGCGACATCCTTGCGTCTTCTTCAGACGTCAGCATGAGAAGGCGCGCCCAGTGCGTGGTCGGCGACGGCGAGCCTGGCACCCGAGAATCCTTGGAAGAGTATGTCGCAGACAAAGTCCCGCAAAAACAAGGCTGTTTGTATCATGTTGTGTTTATTATATTATATTATATTATATTGTATTATATTATCTTCTGTTCTATTCTATTATATTATATTGTATATTATATGACATGGAAGTCGAGGAGCGCCGAGAGTTTCGAGAGCGTGGCGACAGCTACGATGAAAACGATACCTGGGTCTTGCCGGCGCCAGTTCGGCTCTGCCGAAGACTTGCCGGCTGCAATCAGACCAATGAGACTGCTTTGTCTGGCCAGGAAAGCGCCCCGAATCGCAAGAGTCAGGACATCTTATGCAGTGTGAAGCAAACATCCTGGTTCTACTGACAGGGATCTGCTGGGTGTTGCATACTTGCACACCTAAGTTCAGATTTGGCAGGACGACATGCGCCCTCAACGTGTGCCAACCTGGACGAGGCAGCATTCTGCTACAGTAGCAGTCCTGAGCCAAGCTGTCATGCTCCTGACGCGAGCTTCCATGCAACCACTGTCAAGGGACCAGGACGACGAACAGCGTCGTCGACGAGGCGGATTCTCATGTGTACTGCGAATATGTTCAATCATGTCCATGCAGCAGAAATCTTCTTCAAGCTACGAAAGACCGCTCGCTTAGCCGAGGTTTTGCGGACTTTAACAAGACTCGTACCCCCAGGGTTGTACCCCTTAATATACTCCTAGTGATGGCCCCCATTATACTCCCTTAGACTATCTCAAAAAAACGGTCCCCAGACTCCAATGTACAACCTTAGGGGTCGAAGGTAGAGCCCCATGAACATCTTGGCTATGAAGCCTTGATACTCCTGAGAAGAGATCCTGGCTGTCCTCAAGAGGTGATGTTGCTCAGGAGCGCTAAGCCCTGCAGGAGGCGGCTAGGGAACTCGACTCCTTAAACTGTGTACGCAACTTTGGCAAGGAAACCTCAGACCCGAGGTTGCCTAGGACACCGGCAAAAGGACATCTTGGCTGGCTAGGAACCTCTGCGAAGCCTTCCGAAACCGCTCAAGTGAGATGCCTCCAAAAAACACATCTTCAACCTTCAAAGGAGGGGGCGGCCAGGAAGCCCTGAGTCCTGAAACCTGACGAGGGGGGCATGTTTGGGCAGCCCTCGAGCTTGACAAAGTGCTACCGAAGCAGCAGCTTGCACTGCCGATGTTGATCGTTGACTTTGCCGCGAACTTCGTCTAGGCCGCGGTCAGCCTCCGTTGGCACCTCGCCGGGAGCAGACGGGAACGCTCGAGGAGGCTGAAAGCTTCTGCCAGCACATGCATGCTTAGGCAGCCTTGCTGGCTCTGTGTGCTTTTAGCATCTCGTTCCCTTTCTTCGCAAGGTTCCACCAGTCCCAGCACAAGCCGAAAAAGATAGGCAAGGGGTGCGAGAGGGGAATTCCAAGACGAAGCCTGCCGTCAAGTTTGCACGAGGTCTCCGCAGCGGCCTCCACAGGTAATGCCAGGGACCCGATACTGGCATGTGACATCTCGTGACGTCTTGTGACCTCAGGGCTTGTACAATCTTGTAGAGTCGTGTGTCACGTGAAAATGAATGCTCGAAGGTCGGAAGCTGAACTCTCTCAGATCCGCTCCCTCGTTCGCGCCCGGGTCCCTGCAGCACCCAAGCACGGGGGGTTCAGATCCAGGGATGAGCCTTGCAGTTTTTTTGTAGGGTGGCATGCCACCTTTCAGATTTCATTCATGCACATGCCATCCCGTAGCATCCGCTGCATACTAGGTTTGTGAGCAGCTCCTGCGAGAAAGAGCGGAGGAAAAGGATCGGGAGCCCCAAGCTTACCTTCAGCTGCTACTCGTAGAGTCTCGCAGACTGGACTAGCGACCCTTGCTTGTATCGAGTTGCCCAGGGCGGAGCGCGCACATCTCAAAGGGTCACCGAAGCATTCCCAGTCACCAGCTCGAAAGACTGACAGGCGCTGCATTAAAAGTCGTTTGTTTTGCAGAGCTGAAACCAGGCCGCCGTGACTCGTGTTGCCAGGCTGTCCCCTTCGCGGCACGGCGCCAGCAAGCAGGAAGTGAGTGAGGCGCACGTCACAAGCAAATCACCGCGTATTCCAGGTTGCACAAGCACAGGCCCAGGCAATTGAACAGTAGCCTAGGGCGGTCGTTAGTTAGCGGCTTGCATAACAGCCTACATGCTACCTCTTCCCGGGTGTGCACCCTGCACGGGCTGTGCTATCTGCCGCAGCTGTGCTTCATCCGCTCAAGACATGTTATATCCCTGACACTGCTAGAGCCTGTTGGATAAAGAGATGGACAAGGGCAGGGCTCCCAGCCAACTGTCCTGCCACCAGCCAGCATATTCTGTTGTAGTTCTCGCGCCGGCCAAGGTTACGATGTCTACGAGTACAGCCGTAGAGGTGACTTGGAGAGCCTGCGCGAGGCTCGGCGAGCCTGATATCTGAGCCACAGCCTTGTGTGCATGCTGGGCATGTCTGATCTGGGAGGCTCTCGATTCTGGTATGAAGCCCGACGACTACATGGCTTACGATGGCTCAACCGCCTTGGTCATGGCTGCCTTTCTCCAAGGATTAGCCTCGCAGCAGCCTCGTCGGCGTAGTCTTCCTTGAAACGAGGCCAGAAGTGGCCACAGCCACATTGTCAAGGAGCTGCTCGCACGCGGAGGCGATTCGCAGGCTGGTGTCTCTCGAACGCTTTGAAACCAAAATCTTCGCTAAATCATGTTAAATCTGATGTCCAAACCCTAAGGGCCATCTGAAACCCGAAAAATCAGGCCCTGTACCCCTAGAAAATAACAGAATACCAGTAGCTTGCCGATTGCGTGCTCGAAGCAGGTGCGAACAGAAGATGGCTCCACCCTGCTCCACCATGCTGCGAGCGGAAATAGTGCGGAGGCCCCGAGCAGCCCAGAACGTGGGGGGGGGGGGGGGCTCTAGGTTAATGTACCTATGGATTGTGTCCATTTATATGAGAATGATACTAGGGGGGGCCTGCAGAATTGCGTTTCGTGGAATTTTGGCGTCGGGCTGGGAAGTTTGCGTGGTAGGGTTTTTGGGGACTTCGGTTTCAGGAGGTCGAGTCAGTTCTTGACGAAGGGTTTAGGCTTTTTGGGGGCTTAGGTTTCTAGGAGGCGAGCAGGGTTTCAGGGTGCACAGAACACACCCGGCCAGGCCATCGATCTCCTGATCAAGTCTCGGATCGTTACGGCCCTGGTTGGTTCGCTTTCGCTACCTTCGCTATCTCGCAGTTCAAGCCTGAGGATGCAAACACTGTCAACGAAGATGGCGTTTCTCCGATCATTCTGGCGGCCCACTACGGACACATGTCGTGTGTGAGCGCTCTCTGCAGTGGTGGTGCCGATATCAATTTGTCAGCGGAGGCGGAATTCTTTCTGTGCGCGAACGCGTGCACAGTCACAGGGTCACAGTGTGTGTGTGTGTGTGTGTGTGTGTGTGTGTGTTTGTGTCAGTTTCTCCGGCAAAGACCAGGGCTGGGGTACGCCTCTGGATGGTGCAGAAGGGGAAGTGGCAAAGTTTTTGGAAAGCAAGGGAGCCAAGCGTTCCGCTGGAGGCACGGCCGCGCATCTGGAGTTTCGGACAGTCTCCGCTCAGCCTCTGCGGGCAACGAAAGCGTAGTACAACGTGGGAAGCAGGTGCTGACCAGCCGCTGGCTGCAGCGCACGAGCGCTTCTCCTACGGCAGCTTGCCTTCACTGATGCTTTCAGTCCTTAATGCTTAGTGGTGCCTGCGAATGCCACGGGGGCAGCTGAGGCTGCTTTGAGACTGGTGAGAACCCTCACTCCACTCCTGTACTTGCACCCAAAGGCAGCACCTTGGTGGCCCTTCCGTTCATCTGCACTGAGCTGCCGACTTGAACGCGGGGCAATCAAACGTGCTCTCAGGATACCTAAGCATGCTCATCGCCAGAGCATGTCGCGTTGCTGTGCGTTCCTGAACAGGTGACGAGGCCAACGACAGAAAACCCCAGGCCGATCACCTGCCTATTTATCTCCATGGCGCTTGTAGCTTGCAACCTCTGGAACCACAAACCACTAGTTTCACTAGTTTCACTAGTTTGTTTCACTAGTTTCACTAGTTTCACTAGTTTCACTAGTTTCACTAGTTTCACTAGTTTCACTAGTTTCACTAGTTTCACTAGTTTCACTAGTTTCACTAGTTTAAAGTTCCTTGCTGATCTTTGGGATCATCAGGATTAGTAGGGATCTTGTGCGACCAGGTTGGAGACTCTGTCCGCCTCCGGTTTGCAAAGCCATCGGGCATGCTTAGAGAAGGAGACGTGGGAGTCGTTGTGCGGCCCTTAGGCCTCATTGTGCAGGGGAGAGACGTTGGACGAAAAGTGAGTGACGAGCCTTGTGCGTGGGGATACGCAGCCCCGAGGTGGCCGATGATGGCTCCGACTGCGTGCCACTAAAAGTCACATTCGGCGAGCGCTATGATTACTACGATGCTTGGCTGCTATGAAGCGAGCATGCAGCGCAGCAAGAGCGCGCATGAGCGTGGTAGGGTCCTTGTCAAACTTAGGAGTACCGTGATCTCAAAGTGTGTGAGCCGGCAGAAGAGCTGCCGCAAGATTCGGATCATGCGACGGAGGATGGCACCAAGCGATTCCTTGTCGTCAGGCAGAACAGAACTTCTTTTTCAAAAGCTTCAGGTCAAGGTCTTCACTTGCTTCGTAGCCACACATGCGAATGGCCCTGCAGTGTTACTTGCTCTGAAAGCGCGTCCAAGGTCAGGAAGAAGCTTGAGAAGCGTTTTGCATGCAATTATCTGCCTAATGTCGAGAGGCGTGCCTGTCAATGCACAAGCGCAAACCTTGCTGTGAAATGCCAAGGGGAGCAATGCGAGCGCTGGGGCGCACCGGCCTCTGTGTCTCCCCGGTCGGCTTTGGCTGTCATCGTCTAGAGGACGACTGGACAATGTGAAGCTGCGCCCCCTCAACCGGGAGTTTATATCACATATTCCATATCAGAATACATATATATATATATACATATACCTATGTACTATATATATATACACATATTCCATGAGCACCATCCGGCACCTGCAGTTGTCCTTTTTTTTGTGTGGAGGATGCCGAAGCTCCCAAAGCGGCCCTGGAGCTGGCAATCTCACTGGGATGCAACTTTGCACCTTGCTCCGAACTTGTGGCGTATGGCGTAATGATACAAGCCCGATAGGAGCCACGAACCCGAATGCAGATACCCATTGTGTCCATGGCAACCAAAAACAGACACGGCGCACGACACGAGATCCGACCTGAAGTGTTTCTTTCTCTCTCTCTCTCTCCATTGTCTGTCTCTGTCTTATCTGTTTTCTCTTGTGTCTTTGTCTTACCTCTGCTCTCCTCATCTCTTCGCTCTCTTTCATCTCTCTGTCTCTCTCATTCATTCTCTCTCTTTCTCTCGTTCATTCATTCATTTATTTCATTTTTTGCTTTTCCCTTTATCTTTCTCTGTTTCGCTCTTTCCCTCTTTCCCTCTTTCCCTCTTTCCCTCTTTCTCTCTTTCTCTCTTTCTCTCTTTCTCTCTTTCTCTCTTTCTCTCTTTCTCTCTTTCTCTCTTTCTCTCTTTCTCTCTTTCTCTCTTTATCTCTTTCTCTCTTTCTCTCTTTCTCTCTTTCTCTCTTTCTCTCTTTCTCTCTTTCTCTCTTTCTCTCTTTCTCTCTTTCTCTCTTTCTCTCTTTCTCTCTTTCTCTCTTTCTCTCTTTCTCTCTTTCTCTTGTTCTCTGTCTCTTTCTCTTTGTTTTTCTCTTTCGTGCAGGATTGGCTCCACCCGCGAACGCTCGAACGCTTTGCGAACACAAATGCACGGTTTCCGGAACCTCCCCAACCCCTGGAACCCAAACTCGTAAAACGTGGATCGCATAGCCCGAGGTTGACCTGGCTCCCAACTACACGGATGGGGTCGCCGAAGAGGCTACTTGACTGAGTAGTGCTCCCTTGCGGAATTACACTCTAGCTCTCAGCCGAAGCTCTTTTGTTGCCAGGTTGTTGGCGAGGTCTTGCAGAAGATGCTTCAAAGCCGCAAGGAACCTGCCTGCTTGCATCAGCAACAGGGTGCTGTAGTGACTTTGTGCTTTTTGGCAGCTGTTCAGAAGCAGGTACGTCGTGACGAGATCGTCGTTGCGACAAAGGCCACTTCTGGGCTAGCTCGTGCGTGTGTGAGACGCCACACCCCCACTTCTCGCTCCCCGCTCCCCCCCCCCCCCCCCCCCCCCCCCCCCCCCCCCCCCCCCCCCCCCCCCCCCCCCCCCCCCGCCCCTTTAGAAAGTTGACAGGTCGGCAACGTATTGGGCAGGCAGATGGCCTTCGCTGAAGGAGTCCCGAATATGTCCAAGATCAACGACAGCTGCTTTGCTGAGAAGTGCTCTTGCCAGACCATTCCATGCACCTGTCTGGCAGTGAACCTCCATGACTGGACATGTTGTTGCCGTGAGGTCTGTTTCATTGCATATCTCCAGCCTGGATAGAACAGGCATGCGCCGTCATGCGACCTTGTGATCTTTGAGCTTCAAGCACCTATTTCGCTTTGTCAGGAGTTGACCCGAAGCCTGGCTAGACTTCAGACCCTCGGAAGCAGTACTCCGCAGACGTTTCGGGCATCGCTGTTGTCACGACTTGTGTGGACTCAGCATGGGTGGATCGATTCGTGGATTCGCCCGTCTGAGGCTCAGATGCATAGACTGTGTACTCCTGCACTGCCCGGAGTATGAGACAAAAGCTGCTGGCGTCAACATGGCAGAGGTCTACAACAGGATACGTTCCTTGGCGACTTCTGGTCAAGCACATTAGCGGCGTTGCAGTTCCTACAGAAACCTGTTGTGTTTTTCAGTTGGTGAGGGTGGAACCTTGAAATACTAGGTAGTGCTTTCGAGTACCTGGAAACGGAAGTTGCCCGTGGCCGTATCGCCCCTCGGAAGCAGACAACGGAGATTCGTGGTGCGGCTGCCGAAGAATCAGATATGCCAGGAGGAGTAATCGCCCAACCGCAGGCTCTGGCTCAAGCAACTTAGCAGCTGGAGGATGCAACGGCCACTGTGGGGTCCCGGGTGTCCAAGATGTTGAAGAGCAATGGCAAGAAGATCACGGCATCTCTGCTTTCAAAGTTACCGAACAAAGCATCCAAGTCAGCCACCTCCAAGAGTTCCGAGGCGAGTTGCTCCTTAGGGTCGGGTGCCGTGAACGGTGCACCTCCCGACATTACTCCTGAAGCGGTACTCCCAACTACGGCCGTGAGCGGCCCTGAAGCTCAGGATAGCAGGCCGCATGGTAACATAGATCCAAAACTTGCTGCTGCCGTGCTAATCTTTGCCGTGCTGGCGCTTTGGAGACCTGCTGTCTGGATGTTCCTCATTTCAGTTGCGATGAATCTGGCGCTCGGCTGCGCCCTGGTGCTGCAAGCATCCTACGCGCAGCGCCAGCGCACGTTGCTCAGCCGATGCTTTGAGAACAGCGAGCGCAGCTCCACGAGGTCCGAGTCCCCCGGGTCCCCCGAGTCCCCTGGGTCCTCTGGGTCCTCTGAAGCAGGTGGAATGGACGCGGACGTCACATCGACGTGTGGCTTGCAGCAGCTCCTGGACCCTGGATGGAGACACATGCGAGAGGTCATTGGCCACCGCGACCTCAAAGGCATCCTCACGCAAATTGAGCTCGGCGACAAGTCGCCGCGAGTCACGTTCGTTCGCTCAGTTAACTCTCCCTGCGAAGGTGTAGTGTGCTTCGATGTGGGATTGCAATTGCTTGCATCTTCAAGCTGCCCATTCGTGCAGCTGGAAGTTCCAGTCCCTGGCTACTCCGATCCCTGGATATTTCACATGCAACTCCTTCAGCTGGATTTGACAGTGCAACTCTACTTCTGGAGTGCGCCCCCTGAAGGCCGTGGAAGTGGCCGGTCTTATTCCCTCATTGAAGCAGCCTTAAGCCCAGAGCCGCCGAAGCCTCCGATGATCTCCGTCGCACTCAAAGCGGTTTCAAGCTCGAGCATGCTGGAGCAAGTTCTTTGCAAGTGTGAGCATGTTGCCTCGGCAGTGATCTGCTCCCATGTTCTTCCTCGTTTCACAGGCTTTGAACACCGAGTGATCCTGGAGGAAGGCCGCGCGCGGCAAGCAATCGACAGCACGGCCTGGCAACAATGCGCCCGGCGAGCTGGATGGCAGCCAAGAGCCGAAGCGGTGGTGGAGTCTGCCCCGAGCTTAGTACGAGCTCCGCTTGGGACCCGTCTTCGGCAGTGTAGCGCAAGGCACTAGGAGCCTAATGTAGGCATCATAGTGAGGGGCCAGCAATCCTTCTTGAAAATCGTTCACATAACCCCTCGAGCCGCCCTCCTTCATGTTTGCGACGTCTGTCAAAGTTTTGCTTGTGTGTTTGATTGGCAACAGAGGCTGTGAGTGAGATGTTTCGAGAAGCGGGAGGTGCTGCCTACGAAGCTGTGACGAGCACGGCAGCCAGCGCAGCGGCTGGGGCCATGCAAACTTTGGAGAGTCCAGCTGAAGCAGCCAGTGCCGCTGTTGGTGCTGCCTTGTCTGCCGCTGGAGGGGCGGCGCGAATGCTCAAGTCATCATTTGGAATGGCAAGTTAACCACTCCAGCTCGCCAATGTGTGCAATGCGAGCCTGATCCATGGCTGCTCTACTGCCTGCGGGCGACAGCACCCAACGCGTAGGATGCAGCGCGCAGAGTGAAGAATTGCCCGACAGCTGCAAGGCTCCCCTACTGCACCGTTGACCGTCACTTGGCTGACTGCGCAGCAAGATCATGGCAAAGGAGCTCAGAGCACAAACAAATTCAAGGTGGCTTTCCCTGGCGTCTGCAGAGCAGATGGCCAGGTGACGACAACATTTAAAGCGACAGAAGCAAAGCGCACCAAGAAACCCAAGGGCAGCCTTTCTCGTATGCTCGTCGACAGGGTCTTGTTGCGGACACCAACATTCACGATAGCGTAAATAGCGTCAGGTTTGCTACGGCGTCTCGGCAGCTTTCATGCCGCTCAGACCCACCGATGCAGAGCACCTGGACTTGTCGATGGTGCCTACCTCGGCTAAGCACAGCAATTCCGCCGACCATTCCCTCACAGCAAACGGACAGCAAACAGCTTCTGATGTTGTCGATGCAGGTAATGCAGCAGCTGCCAGCCAATCACCACTTCCGGATTCTGCAGTTCCCCTTGAACTTCGCTGAGGCGTCCAGAGCAGTTTCAACCAGGTCTAGATGCACATCGAAGCTCGAAACTTTGTCCAGGTTGCCCATTGGTGTCGAGGGCTCGTGTTGTGTTCTAAGTTCCTACATGGTTGGGGATGTGCGGCTACCAGTAGGTTTGCAGATTCACAGGTGTTGTGCTGACTTCACACGCATAATCGCACACGGCGACTGGACACGAATGCCTGTATGATGTGTCAACATCGCACAATCTGAGAGAGTCGACTCAACTCGCTACCCAGTTGCACCTTCAAATACTACCCACGTCTATTTTTTTGGACGACTCGACTCGCTCAAGCGGCCCCGTCCGAAACCTTGAGGAGTACGGGTTCCGAAAGAACTTCGGGAGTTAGCAGGCTAAGCAACTCTAAAGGCTAGTCGCGCCCCATGCAGAAGCGAAGAAGTATCACATTAATAAAACTCGGGAGAAGTCGTCTAAGCAGCTCAGGATGTGGGTACGGAAACATTGAACCCTTGACAGAGCTTGGCTTAGACTAGCTTTAACTTCTAACCCTCAGGGAAGCGTCTGCCATGGTATGAGAGGGGGGCCATAAAGTTGCATAGGCCAACAATCCTAATGGGAAAGCCTTGCCAGAATCCCCAGACCCTGTACCCGGCAAGTGGGCAAGGACTCTGTAAACGCTGAATGCAGTGAGTCTCAAGAAGCCATCAGCCCTATGTTACGAAACAAAACCTCCAAACAAGTTCCAAACTCTAATGCGGAGAGAAACAAAGCCTTGTGTGAGTCTTGAAAAGAACCTGAAAGCCGCAAACGTCACGAAAGAGTCGTGTGTGATGGCAAGCCGGAGCTACCAGAGCGACTTCTGTGGGAAGCTCCTTATTGGAGGAAAGACGCGAGTAATAGCAAGACTCACAATGAACAGCAAGTGGGAGTCTTGCCTTCGTGCCAGGCCGAAGCCATGTGGGTAGGCCAGATGTCCGCAGTGCAAAGCATGTGGGTACCTCTCCTCTTGTAGGACAGAATCTCTGCTGTTTTGGATGTGAGGCCATGTGCCTCGCAATCCGGACGGATCGGCCGTAGATGCAAACACTGCGGTCGCAGCTCCGAATCTCTTTGAGGCCAAGTTGCTGTCTGCGCCCTCTAGCATCTCCAGCCCACTCAAATCTCCATGAACCAACTTTGGCTAGGCAGCAAAGTCACATGGGCTGGCAACGTTTCTTGCCTGAATTAGAGTGCCTCCGGACCAGCGTTTGCATTGGCACATTGGACGCGGCTTCCAAACTGCCAGGCTAATCAACAGGCCATTGGATGGCATCTACAAGGCCTGGTTCAGCACTCGATGCAAGATTGGTATTGCTGGGAGTGTGAGAGAGAGACTCAGAAACGGTTGTGATGAAAGACGGTCAAAGGAAGCCCATGGCGTTTTGCGATTCTCTTCGCTGGACTGCGACGTCCGATCGTATTCAGAGCTGCAGCTTGACAACTGCAGCTCTGCTCATCCGAAAATCTCGCGGCGCATCGTGATCGTCCGAATATGTCCGAAAGCATACCGTTTTCTACAGCTCTGCAAGTAAGGCGATGCTTTGGAAGAGAAGATAACCAATATGTGACGCTTGGCTCTGTGAAGCACGGCCTCTGCTCGGGAGGTCCCTGCAGTCCTCCTTAGCCGAGGCAAACTGAGCACACCGCCATTCAATGCTGATGATGGTGCTGCGGGACAGCTGGCAGCCAAAACCGTAAAGGTACTTGCCAGCTTACCAAGTGATGCTCGTCTCAATATCTCGCAAGCTGAGTGGTTGCCCACTCATGATGTCTGTGCGCACGACACAGTCAAGGTTGATTGTGTGCTGCTCGGCATGCGACAACCTCAATATGTCGTCGGTACGCTGCCGCTCCTCCTTGGAACGCCTTCGATCGACCCTGAGGCCTGAGGCCTACATTATGTGGTCTTGTGTAACTGAGTGTTGGGGTGGCTCAGCTTCCGGTCTGCGGGAGGTAGCGCTCTCCACTTTTCGCGCAGTCCACAACACTGCTTCGATCTTAGCAGACTAAGCGCCAGGATATACCAGGATGATCTTACAGATGCCCAGGCACACATTCGTTGCACTAAGATCTGCATGTGGTATGCCACTGCCATCCACGAGTCGGATCACGGCACCTCCAAGCATTGGCGGCTTCCCGTGAAGGCAACTTGGGACTACAATCAGAGTCTCCTGCACTGCCGGCGAACATCAATGCTACTCGTAGACGCTCACAGCCAAGGAAGGGTATGCCCAAGGCAACCATTCTGGAACATAACACGTCTGGGCGTGTAAGAGAGGACCCATAGCTGTATTGAAGTTTTCGTTGCAAATTTTCGCAGATTTTCGCAGCAAAGTGCTGCCATTTTCCTTACCAGGCAGCTTCTCATGAGCTTGTAGAGCAGTGACATGCAACATGTCTGGCACAGGCCCATTACTACACTGGAGTTTGTTCCAGTAGTCGACAGTGGTGGCCTGCCCGACACGAGCCACGACAGGCTTAATCGGCCCAATGTACAGCGCATGTAAAATGGGAAAGGAGACACTGTTGCGGAAACTTGTGCACAGGGTGATCTTTCAGTTAGGTCTTCACAGTGAGCCGAACGTCTGTCAGAAGGAAGCTCCGCGCTTGACCAGTGGAGCTGCCTTGGCAAGTGCACGAAGTCAGGCCGGAGTTTGCCCAGAAGTGGCATGTCATTTGTCATGGACCAGCGGGAGGCTACGAAGAACTCACACACTTCTGGAATTGGCGGCAGTGCCAATCTACCTGAAGGAGGCGCTGACTCCGCAGAGTGAAGATCAGCCGCCCTGTGGTGATATGTCGAAGTTCAGGTGTTCGGATCTGATGTGTTTTTGCATGTTTTTGCTAGGCGGCTCGTCTGCTGCCGCGTCTGAGCGAGCCTTAGTAACTTGAGGCACCTAATCGCAGTTTTGTTGAGAGGTTTTGATCCATGAGGATATGCACAACTGGGGTGCCCGTGAAGAACCACAAGCTGGGACTAAGCCACAAGGCGGAAGTGTGGATGTGAGCCTAGGACGCGGGGGCCATGGGGGCAAAAGATCTTATATTCGTAAGATTTCGGAACCGCAGCCCATTTCTCGAGCCGCAGGCGACCCCGGAGAGTGGTCTTCAGACGCACTGATGGAGCTCATGCATGGACACTCAAGGTTCATCGATGTGTTTCATATGGGTAGTTCTCTAAGTTGAGGTCCCTTTTTGGGGGGTCCTTTTCGTAAGGTAACAAGGACCCCGCAAAAGAGACCCTGATTTGGAGCACTGCCCATATGTGCCGATAGATCCATCAAAAGAATCTTGTGAGCGGCGCCTGTCAGGATGGTTGGCGTCGATGCAAGGCTGCCCGGCATGGACATTCCGGAGGCTTGGTGCCTTACGTCTTCGTGGTCTCGTTTGGGCCGAACTTAGCGCTGAAAGTCCCTACTGCGCAGGGGCAGGCCGTCTCTCCACCGTTCCCTGCTAGCACCTCAGTGGTGCCAGCTATTCGGAAAGTTGACCCAGTGAACGTAGCTTTGGACCATGCAACCAAAATTATGTGCTTCTCATGCCAATGTTGCATAAGGGCTCTTGCTCAACCGTTGCATTAGGTGGCATCCTCAGCGGCAGCACCGAGCCGGGGCAGTGCAAACCCACCTGGCAGCAGCCTAACTGTCCAAAGCTGTGCAAGGGTCGGGTGCGTCAGTGTGTTTGATGTTCCACTGCCTGATACTGCTTTGTGGCCCCAGGCCGGATGCCGCCTTTGTCCTCATTAGCGCCTCCTCTGCAAAGTGGAGTAATTAGTAGAGTTCTTTGTTTGCATCATCCCATGATGTCAGGGCGGCTTGAAGTTGAAAGAGTGAGGCTGAGAGCCCCTTCACGAGTCCAGCTCGTGGAGTTGCGTTGAGGCTGAGAGCTGAGTTTGCTTCCGTCCTTCTTGGGCTTCGAGGGCTCTTGCCGCGCAGGCGCTCCTCGAGAAGGGACTCGCGAGGAGGCCAAAAACCCTGACTCGACTCCTATCTCTGGACCTTCTTTCTTGCCGTACCCACTATAGAGGGTGATCGGTGGCCAGGCCTTG